TGTGCTTGGGAAAAAACGAGATAATTAAAAATATTGTAAAATGCCAGACGGCCAGACGCTCATAATTGCTGGCAAAGGCAAACTCCAAGAAGACAGACGCAGTCTCAGTCTCAGTCTCAGTCTCAGTCTCAGTTTACAGCTACCAGACAACGCGACGCGACGAAACGGACGACAGAGCACCAGAAGCGCTCCACCATTGCATGTGCATATCATTTAAATAACTTTGCGAAACGCAATGTGTGAAACTGCAGCAGGAGCAGCAGCAGCAGCAGCATTGGCCACAAACTATCCAAAGAGCCTGGCTGAGTGGCAGACCCGAACATACAAGACCAGACCAGCCATGGTCCATATTTGGATGCAACAAACAGTAGAGAACTGCAGCAACTGCGTCGCATCTGCATCTGCATCTGCATCTGCATCAGTTAAGGACAGCATCGACATCGGCAGCAACTGTCTGCGACTGCGACTGCCACTGCCTCCAGACAAACTGCAGACAAGAGTAACATGCACTTGTCTCCACACATGGCTGGGTCAGCCTCGGTCTCTGCCCCATCTCCATCTCCATCTCCATCTCCATAACCATCTCCATCAGTCTCTGTCCCCAACCCCAATCACCATCTCCTGGCCCGGCAACGCATTCATTGTCAATTTTGACTATCAACAAGATGCGACTACAACACACGCCTGGTTAAATGCCAACATCAACATTACATACTTGTGTCTGCTGCCATTGGAACTGCGACGAGCTGTCTGGCTCGGGGTCTCGGTCTCGGTCTCGGTCGGCGTCTGCGTCTCGGTATCGGTCTCGGTCTCGGTCCTGCTTCTGTATCTGTCTGAAAAAGGGGCTGGGCCGAATGTCGAAACATCAACAGAAGCCAAGAGACGGCACGCGAAAGTCTTAAGAACCGAAAACGAAAATTCACAAAAATTAATAACATTCAAAAATGAGCCCAGAGGCAGAAACTAAATATTTCTAACGACGTATTTGTACTCTAATCGTACTCGCACTAATACAGATTCTGTTCATATGGGAGATGCTACATAAGTAGATTTATTTAGATCTGTAAATGGATGTTTGAGATTACGTAGGATGAAGCTTGTAAGTTGGTATTAAGATGTTCACTTTCGGTGAACCCAGTGCCACACCATAAGACCCATTCTTATGGCAGGGTAGCTCGAAAAGAGCAGCTACGGCCAAAGAGGTGGCAGAAACTGAACCGTAGCAGCGAATGCGAACGTACCTCGAGCAGACAACCACACAATAACAAATTGGCTTCTGGTCTTTGCATTCCACATGCAATCTGAGACAACAATCACGGCAACTGCATTTGGCGGGTGCACCGGTAGCTGGTAGCCGGTAACCGGTAGAAGGTAACCAGGAGCCAGCAGCCGGGATGGGATCTGACAAGCAGCAGCAGCAGTGGCCGAGAGCCATTAGCTCTGGCTTCGAACAAGTGAGCGCACGCACCGACATGGTAACACCCACGGAGCATGCTCGACCAGCAAGCCAGCAAGCCAGCAAGCAGCTAACTAACCAATATTCATACATACATACATATATGTACATAAATATGTTCCAATGCAAGTGATGGGGGACACGGACACGGGTCTGGGGTCTGGGGTCTGGGGACTGGGTCTGCATTTGAGCTGTCTTGACACGTCTGCTTCGGTGGTGCTGCTGGTGTTGCTCTTGCTGTTGCTGGTGGCTGCCGAACGTCATGTATTTTTAATAGACCTGCCACCACCAGTCCAGTGAATGTTCCTCCTTCTCCAAGCATGCTCGTATCTGTTGCTTTTGCTGCTTCGGATGAGAGATGACTGCAGCCAGCCAGTCAGCCAGCCAGCCAGCCAACTTGAGAATTTTGTGATCCCTCATGCATCGCCCAGCCTGCGGGTGAGGTACAATTATGTTAATTACGTGTTATATTGATGGTTAAATAATTTTCCTTCAGTACTTGCATAATTAATGACCATGGGGATTTGATTGTACGGAGTGTGTTTACTCTCCCCAATAGCACGGGAGTTATGCAATTTGGAATGGGATGCCAACATTGTATCCATCTTCAAGTTTTCTACAGTTGGCAAGGATTGTCAGTCCTTGTCACATTGATTTGGCCTGAGGAACTCCCAATAAACATCTATTAGTATATTTACCTCCAACTACAAAATCAATAAAACTCAATCGGAGAATTCCAAAGGCCGTCTGTCGCTGGATTGATAAGAGGCTAATTTAATCTCCATGTCACCTGTCAATTAATAAGAGTAGTTTTCGATTATCTTGAGAGATAGTTGGATGTGTGATAAGTTACACCATGCTAATAATAAATATTCCTGGTTGGCATATTAAAGTCTATTATATTCAGGCCAAACTCACAGGGGGCGCCCCAGAGCCCCCCTCCTAACAACAAAGACTATTTACGTCTTGTTCAATCATGTTGTTCCGATAAGCAGGCAGACCCAAGGCAGCTCGCCTTATCGGCTTTAGGGCCCCCCCTATTGTTGGGGCTTATACATAGTTGGTGTGAATGTGATTAGAAATTAATTATAGAAAGGTGCCAGAACTCGAGTGGCAACTTGTAACTATTCAGCTGCTGTTTGTCGGATGGCAGTCTTGCAATCACTTCAAAGTTAAGTGTGAGCAACCGATTAAAGGCCCACTGAACAGCCAGATGTTTTTGATGGTAGGCTCTGATGGTGGTGCTACTGGTGTTAACCGCCGTACCCCTCACGTGCCTGCACCTGCTGATAGGCGCATTGAATTGTTGCTCATTGACGGCAATTGGTATTGCCGGCTACCGTTTAGAATTAAGCTGCCTAAAGTGGCCCGAGCGTGAGACATGCTCGTGGTACGAATTTGCCAGAAAATTTGTTTTGAAAATATACTCAGAGAAATGCCAAAAAGTGTGTTGCGGCTCCAATGTCCATCGATCAAGATCAAAAGAAAACGACAGCGACAACTAACTGCCAATTACTGGGCTGCTGGGATGGAACCAGAAGAAAGTGGCATGCTTCGGGATCAGGCGAGACAACAGCCTTGAAAAGTTAATGAAAAATCAAACACTGAAACCAAATTCTGTCTTAGTTTTGACTTGACTCATTTCGCATTCCAATCGTTTGTAGTATCTACATATATATGTTTGTACCTTCTTGTTGGCGGTCTGGTGTTTATTTTCGTGGGTGTTTTGATTATCCGTCTACATTGTCCCCAAAGTGGGACAAACTCTGTCCGAATGCTCGGGCGAGTCAAATCAACAAACATTATTATATAAACCTGATGATGACAAGGGAGCTCGCTTAGTTCCGTTCCACACGAGTGTTTTTTTTATTGTATTTCGTTCCTCTTGCCTTTTTTTTTATTTCGGGGAGTGGGATTATGATTCGGGGCATTTGATGCGATTGCAATTTTACATAACAGTCGCCGTCTGGGGGGGGGCACGGGGGTTTCTCACACGTCTGGGGTCCGTCTCCGTCCCTCCTTGTGTCCTCTCTTTGTAGGTGTTTCATTTGAAGCTTAAACGATGTGTAGACATATGTACATATAATACGTATCAGATGAATGTCGAGGCAGACGGAGACGGAGACGGAGACGGAGACTCGACGAGCAGACGGTGAGAAATCCAGACTTCACAAAGTGATTCAAATTATACAATCATTTTGAAATTCAATTTTGGTCCAGACGAAACGTTGATAATGATGATGTGGAGATGTGGCTGATGATGATGATGGAACTCTTAAGGCTGATAATGTTTAGATGCTGCAACAACAACAAACGTAAATAAATAAATAAATCAAGAACGTCCTTGAAGTCTCGCTGTTTTGATTTCCGTATCGTATGCAAATTGCCAGAGCCGAACGAATAATTCTTCCTTGGAATACGGGGAATACATGGGTTTCTGTTTAGGGCTTCTGGGGTTAATTCCGTACCAGGCACCACGCACCTCTAATAGGATATATCCGCCTAATTCAGCACCCCACTGATGAGAACTACAATACGCACTTTTTCCTTCCAGTTTGATTAATCCACACGCACAATTTCTAAGCGTCGCATCTAGGCAAAGCCACGAGCAACGGCAAAGCCAATTTATATATAAATCGCATGTGTCCCAAGCCCAGTGACATAACAGACGAAACTTGACTATCAAAACAATTTTATTAAGTCACAACTAATTGTGCGGTCGCCCCGAATCACATCAAATTAATCTAATCGCCCACGCACCCACCAATAATAGGAATTGTTTAAGTGTTCCGCACGTCAATAACATGTGTGAAGCGTGTCGTGATTTGCACAGAGATTGCAACTCGAGAATTTTACTGTTTGGAGTATTCGCGTTCCCCTGCCCGCCGGGCCCATAGATATGCCAAGCAAAAACACAATGATTAGCAAGGATTGATAGTAGTGAAACGAATCTTGGCGCAAACCTACCTCTATGCCACTATGGTTATGACCAGGAATATCACTTTCTATGGTAGGAGTAGGGGCGATAAGACGTCGCGCGAGACCACAAACACACATGCACTGCCGGGTACACCGGCACGCACACGCATTCACATACAGATGCAATACGCAACGTTGATTGGTTGGTCGCCAGCGCCGAATGGCAGCCGAACAATCAGCCGAAGTACACGAGTAAATTACACTGCAAATCGCTTCCGATATACAACAAAGAGCAGAGATTTTATAAATAGAAACCCTGACTAAATACTAGTGTAAAATGTAACTGTAGATCCTCTGGTATCCCATGTCCATTTTATCAATTTTTTAAACCAATCTACAATATTAAAGTGTGGTTTACATTTTGCAAATATCCAAGAGTAGTAGAAATGTTCATATACTTGTACTCCACACTCGACTCAGGAATCTTTTGAACGAGTGTGAGAGCTCCAGCAAGGCAGACACAGCTGCAATTTCTTGCAGTGTCGGCAGCAACGCAGCGTTTACGACCATAACAAAGTACCACAAATTTTTTGTTATTTAAGACTAAAAAACACTCGCGCAAATCACTTCATACTTGGTTCTTAGAGCGAACACATCGAACCCGCGGGAGAGTCAGAAACAAAAAGTTGAAATTGCAAGACATTCGAAAGCGGCTCCAAGCAAAAGAAAAATACATTTCCATACGAACCAAATATGCAATTCAAGTGAAATTTTTGTGCCAGGGAAAATGTGCATAAAGTTGTAGATTCGCGATCTAGAAGCTGCCCAAGTGCATCCAAGTGCCCAAAAACAGTAAACTTTCAATTACAAATCAGGCAAAGCGATTTGACTTCGATTCAATTAGGAACGAGTAAGATGTCAAGTGTTGAGTGCTGTGAGAAGTGCGGCCGGAGCAGGAGGGTGCTGCTGCTGATGGTGGTGCTGATGTCCATGTCGAGGGACTGTCAGGCATCGCGCTTCAACCACTCGGCGTTCATGGACGGTGTCCAGTCGGTGGTGGTGAATCCCTACAATCGCACCATCCTAAACATGTTCGACCTGACCGAGGAGCAAATCCAGAGCATTCAGAATCGCAGCAATCCCAACACCAAGGACGAGGCAACCCAGTCCTCCAATCACCAATATCTAGAGCACGTCGCCTCGCAGCGGTGAGTACCTGGCTCGACACTTGTCAAAGCATTTGCCAAGCGTCTGTCAATCATATCATTGTAGTCCGCCTATTAGGTCCCGAGAATCTATTAAAAGGCAGTACGCGGCACGGGCAACTGACCAGCAGAGCGAAATGTTTCTTTAATCATTTATAAATGTGTTCAAAAAGTACTAGCAGAAAAATTAATTGTAAACAAAGTTTTAAAACAAATGCACATTGCAATGAATCGGCGAATACGGGTGTGTATCTACTAGAGTGGGCCGGATTCAATCTGTAAACACATTTTGCAGCTGCCGATATTGAAACAAAAATATTCGCAATTTTCTCCGTGCGCGATTAGTGCAGATCTTGAATCTGAAATCCGCTCAAGGCTAAACACATTTATGCAATTCTCGAATGGGTCCAACCACCTCGAATGAATTTTGAAACGTGTGCTTCGTATAGTATTGAAAATTGTTCATCTTACGCTTCGGCTAACATTTTTGCAAATGCCAAGATCCAGCAGGGAATAAATAAATATCTATACAAATTGGAAATTCTGTCTGCAATTAATATTTCCGCACGTGTTAACATTATTATATTTTCAGCTGCAGTTCAATTATTAAATAAAATTTACTGTAATGAAAAAATATGTATACAATTATGGAAAGGCTTTAATGCCTTTGGATTCTCCAGATGGACCGCAAAGCTAACATTTTATTGAATGGTTTTCTATCTTAAATCGGTCATCTAATGACCACTAGTAGTTTATGACAAGCAAAAGCATCCAAGAGGGTAGGGAACCTTTCTCAATGGTTGCCAATCCGTGAGACATTGTATCGCCCATACAAATGCGATGCTGCCACAGACATCTCTCAGACGGAAATCTATCAATGGTATCTGTTGTATCCATCAGATACTGTAGTACAACTGTCGCGACGCCGCTGCACAATGCAGACACACGCACACAGCCACATTTACACACACACACACACAGCTGCATGTTGCAGCCGTCGCAGTCGGCGGCGACCTCTGTATCTTTGCGAGCGTCTGTCCATTCGTCCACTCGTCCACTCGTCCATCCGTGCGCCCGCCGGCTGTCTGGCAAATGTCTGGGAGCAGTCTGGGCCATGCTAGCTCTGGCTCTGACTACGGCTCCGTTAATGAACTTTTTGTAGGTCGTTGCTATGCGAGACCGTCTACGTTTCCACAAACATATGTATGTACATATGTAATATGTACAGATGTACATATGTACAATACGCCTACAATGAATGGGTTTGACTCAAACATATAATTGTGTGTGTGTGTGTGTGTGGAGCTCGTACGAGTACGAGTATAACAGCTGATATCTAAATTGTTTCATCTTGTTTGATTGCTTTGGCAGAGTAGAGTTCTGTTCCGCACAGACAGAGCAAAATGCATGACGTATGAGTAATATTGAGACAGTCAGTGTTCAGACATGCTTGTGCTCGTTCCTGTAGTCGCACTCCCCTCCCCGCAGACATCCCATCAGCCACCGTCATCCAACTTGCAGCTGAATGCAAACAGTTGTAGGCGTACTTTTGTGGCTACTAAGCGACGCTGTCGGTCTGAGTCGTTCACTGACTGACTGACTGACTGACTGCCGCCGCCCGACGTCTGCCCGACCAATGTTTGTTGCATGATAATGAAGTGCAACCGGCGAGACACTGTCTAGCCGTTTTCTGCTGCTGCTGCTGCTGTGGCCAAAGGCAACGGACTGCAAAACCACAGACCCAGACACAGAGGCGATGCATTCAAAGATATTTGAGAGCCCCAGCCTCAGACTCAGACTTAACTTCAGGCCTCAGCCTCAGGCCTCAGCTTGAATGGAGGCCAATGCAAATTTTGGTCTCAGTCTATTGCCGTATCGTATTTTTCGCTCTTGCTGCCTATGCACCTGTGCCAATGCCTTGAACTCTGCCTGTGCGCATGCCCAATGTGGAATTCATGCAGATGACCTGCGTGACTCACGCACGAAAAGTCATCTACAGATACAGCTCCTCTAGGCTGCAATCAGGGACTAGGACTGGGAGAATGCCAGACCGACAGACCAATAATATGTACATATATACATATGTGTGAATGTCTAGACGGGTGCCCAGACAGACGGCACGACTCAACGGGTTTTCAAGTTCATGCCACAGCACCTCCAGACAGTCTGAGGCAAGTCAACTCCGCAGCGGGCCATTTTGTCTGGAATTTCTTGGCCAGACAGATTCGATGCGATCGTAGCATAAACATGAACCAAAAAACGCCAAAGGCGTTTCCACTCGAAGCGACTCAACTTGGCTCAGTTTCGGTGCAGACTGCCAACCGACCAGATCTGAACATGTTTCATAATTTTTTCGGCTAGACAAACTGCGCCTCAGGCAATTCCAAATGACCAAAAAACAATTAATCTCTTATTTTCGCACACACTTTTGTTCATTTCGGCTTCTTTTGTGTGCCCCCATTGTTGTTCCTGGTAAAATCACACAAAAAAAGGTATAATAAAGTGAAATAAAAGAAAAGAAAAAGTCATTTGATCAACTTTTGCCAGGCGCGTCTCAATTACCGATCCAGACATATACAATTGTCCAATTTTCTGTGTGTGTGGAGAACGGGAGTGTGCTGTGGACAGATTAGATCATAGCTAAGTAACTATTGTTGTCTTGTCTTGTCTGCTCTGCTCTGCTCTGCTCTGCTCTGCCCCACTCTGATTTTATCTTGTCCGGTATGGTCTCTCGTCTGTGGTCTGCCCTGTGGTCACGATGATTCCACTGCCACATAGAGAGGAGCCATGCCAAGGGGGGAGGGTGAAGAACAGGCACAACAGACACACATTTATTTGTCTCGATCTCAATGGGTTTTTAAGTGACACAAGTCTGCCTGCTCCACTATGCACATTTAGCTCATAATCAACTTTAGAAAATGTCCCGAATAAGCCAGAACCCATGAGGGTGCGGCCGGGAGGGGAGGCATTTAATCAGCGCAAGTGCCTCGGACTAGTTCCTATATTCCACAATAGCACACACTATGCCGAAGTTTATAGCCACTTTAATCGATTTATTTCATGTACTAATATTAGGCAATTTATGAACTATTCTTGGCGACACTCTTTGACACTTCCACAGTTCCAGTTTCGAAAACAAACGTTCATTTGGCATACCATTGCTGTGGTTGAAATCTATATTTGTTGGAAATAGCTTTAATCTATGCCCTTGCGGCTTTATCATCCATTCGGCTCTATTAAGTAGCCAATAAACCGAAACTTCTTTTATCTCAACTATTTCAATTGAATTATGTTCCCAACTCAGGTCCAAAGTTGGCGGCTTATCTCTCGGCAACACTGATTTCTAGAAGCGCAAAAAAAAGATAATCAGGGCTTGAATTTAATAGTAAATAGCACAGGTACGAGTAGATTGTGCGGGGGGCCACGATAGTGTCGGTATCGTGGAATACTTGTTGGAAATAGTGTTTGCTCATTGGTGCTTTTTACAAGAGCCGGGTCGGTCCACTCTACTGCCCTCAATCCTAATCGAAGGAGCTCGAGGCAATATCAACCCAAAATACATATATTAAATCCAGAATTAGAATTTGCCTATTCACTGATGTCGGGTTAAATTGAATCAAATGGGGCAACCGGAGTGGCAGTTTTCCAGTCAGATTGTCAGATTGTCAGACTGCCTCTTGCCGTCGGTCTGCCTCTTGCCTATGTAATGGCGGCAGCGCTCAAATGTCAATTAAGAGAGCTTTACATAAACACTTGAACTAAATTTCTTCAGTGGACGGACAAAAGGCTGGACTGGGCATACGAGTGTTGGAAATGGTGAACTATGAGGCGTAGATGATCGAACATTTGGTGTCTTTTCCTTTGCAGTCTGAACGAGATATTCAAGCGGCTGCACAAGGCAATTTCGAATGAGCCCAATGTCAACAGGTCAGCGGAGAAAGCCGGCTATCCCATCTGCAATGGAGAGACGAGCATCCCCAACTGGCAGCAAGCCAACAACGTCACCCTTCAGTTTGCCAGCAGCGTCTTTGATCACAACGGGGACCGGCCCAGCAGCGCCCTGCTGCGTCTATACAAGACGCACCCCGGGCAAAGTCCCAGCCACAGCCAGAGCCAGGAGAGTACGGAGCAGCCCGCGGCCACACTCTGCCCAGACCAGGCGCAGGTGGGTCCTCAGATCCGAGTGACCGTCTCCATTGTGCATCAGCAGAAGAAGAAACGTAAGTTAGGTGTGTGCAGCCAGCGGGATGTTACGTCTGTCAGTACCTCTAATCCACCGAATGCATCCCTCTGCTCCTCAACAGAGCGCAAGAAGCGCACCTGCAACACCACCATGTTCAGCGCAGGCATGACCGGATGGGTAGAGATCGATGTTAAGTGCGCCCTGGCCTACTGGGAGCAGCAGCAGCGCCAGCAGCAGCAGCAGCAGCAGCAGCACCAACAGTTGCTGCCCAGCGTTGTGGGAATGCTAATGATCGAGGTCCACGACGACGAGGAGAACCCGCTCAAGCCGGGCCTCTACTTTGAGCCACCCACTTGCGATCAGGCAGGTAAGCGTGTTGTTTGCCATGTCTAACTAACTCCCCAAGACCGGGTGTAGATCTCTCCCAGTCTCTCACTCTCATTATCTTTCTCTCACCATCTCCCAGTATCTCTATCGGTCTCTCTCTCTATCACTCACTCACTCTCTCGATCGCTCAGTCAGTAGCCGAGACAGGCCCCTTTTCCCCATCAGAGCGTATTTGAATTTATTTACATTCTCGAAAGGTCAATACTCAGAGAGCGTTTTTTGGGGGCCGGACACAAAGCAGACACCCAAAATTGTGCTGATAAGGCGACAAATCAAAATACAATTCCGAACCACCGAAGAAAACCAACAAAATAAAAGGGAGGAAGGGAAAACCTTGTCGTCTGCTGTCTGCTAGATGTGGGCAGTCAGCAAAAGGCCGCATTCGAGTAGTCTCGCAGAAAAACAACAACAAATCCGTCTGGATAGCTTTCGAAGTGGTTTCAGGGTTGTTCTGTCCGTTCGTCCGTCTGGAATTTGAAATTCATGAGGTGTAAAAGTGGAGCGGAAGTAAAGTCTGGACTTACAAAGGCCCCGAGTTTTATTCATGAATTGAGAGTTTTCTTAATGGATCGGTAAGATACTCGCACACACGACAGCTGCGGATTCAGCTGAAGGTTTAGCTACGATGTAATACTAATCGCTTATACGCACCGTTGTGCGCTCTGCTCTTTTGCCATGCCATGCTCGGCTTTATGTGTTGTTCAGTTTTGGGCGCTTTTTGCTGGCTTTGTCCAGCTTACTGTTCTTATTGTTGCGTTTGCTATTTTTGTCGTTTTGCATGATGATCTTTTGAGTGATTTTCTCACTGCATTGCATGCCTCGAGCTCCAGCAGCACCGAACCATCAGGCGATATTAATATGATCTCTCCACGTGTATCTTTCAGACCCTGCTGTCCCATGGAACGCATACGGATCAAAGACGTTTGTGCCTTATCTGGAAAGTCGGTCAATGCCCAGGTAAGCAGATGCCATTGCCACGTCATAATCTCGCGTTACCCAAACCGTTCGATATGTGAGGAAATTCCATTACTTCGGTCGGCCCAAAAGTATGCAATAATAAATTAAACATATACCGATCCGGTTTCGTACACTGCAGCATTTGTCATCCCAACCCATCTCTGTAGGCGAGAAGTGCATAGAAATAATCAAAAATGCTTGTATCTCCCCACAGATACCCAAGGATAGATGTTGGCTTTAACGGCAGCACATCGTTATCGCTCAATAACTGCTTGAAGAGCATACACAGTATCCCGAAGAGCAAGAGCTACATCAGCCCCGAGTCAACCACACCCAATTCACTAACAATGGACAATTTGCTCGACGAGACCAGTGAGACGGAGAGCCAGCAGGAGAAGGAGCGCGAGAGGGAGCGCGAGCGGGAACAGGTCCCACTGGTCCACCAGCATCACAGACGCCATCACCATAGTCACCAGCAGCACTCAGCCGAATCGGAGTCAGCGGCTGCCCAGACGGAGAGCGAGGTGGAGGCCGAGGAACTGTTGGCAGCGGCAAGCAACAGCGAGCCAATGGAACCGATGTCCAATCATCATCAGCATCGGGTGCTCAACCATCACCACACCACGCACCATCATACTAGCGGTCGCCATCATCACAAGCACCACCACTTGATGGCCCACAAGCAGGAGTAGATCGGCTGCGTTATCCTAGTGCCCAGCCCCATATCACGCGCATATTTTGTCTCTCCCTCGCCTACCCACACATACATATACATACATAGTATATGCTGGTCTTATTATATTTTTTTTTGTTTTCGTTTGTATCTTTAGGGCCAGTTGACTTAACTAGTTTTTAGTTCGTCGGTTTCCTAACCCAACCATAAGCAAACGCATAAACACACGCATAAGCGCGAACCCTGTGCAGGGTTATACAATTGTAGTAATGATAATTTACAATTCGTTTTAAGTTAAACAAATTTTTGGTCGAAATTTGTATTATTAATGGATTAAATCTCTCTTATATTAGGAGTCTGTGATTTAGATGTGGTTGCAAATTCGCCAATTTTTTGCTACAATTGAATTATACAACAAATTAATGGAACCCACACACAAGAAAACATTTTATACGAATATAATTATTAATTACACTTAGAGTTGCCCTTGCCTTAGTCCAAAATTAATCGCTGCTATGCCTTAACAGAGCATTAGAATACATACTAGACTTCTGCACAAGCCCCAGCCCCCAGAGGACATGCATTTTCGACTAATTTGCGATTCATCAACGAACATTGGCCCGTGCCTGTGAAGTTGAAGGTATTCAAAAGATTTGTTATAGTATGTATACACATTATGTAAGTCACTAGGTTAAAAAGTGCCTTCCTGCGTAACGGAACCCCAGAGCCTGATTCCCTGTTCTTAATCTCAATATTTCTATTAGTAAAGGGCTTCTGTTTGTTTTGTTTGTAAGACTTCATAATGAACTTTAAATGGAATTTGAACACACGGTCATTAAGTCAAACAATAGCTATTAAAGGCGTAATCCTCCATACAATACCATACCATACCACACCATACCATACCACTCGATCATCAGCAACTAAGTACATTTGTAAATCTATAAAAAAGATCTAATACAATTTAAAAATATATATGTAAAAGTAAACTATTTTGTACGAATTGTCAATTATGGAGAAGGGACAAGCGACTGTAGCGTAACGCACCATTATCCTCATCCAGTCCACGTTGCGCTACTGGATCTGATAAAGGGGCTCGTGTCGAACGATAAGATATGCTTCCTTTCGTGCGAGTCCCGATTAGATAGAGCTACTTCAACTTTGCACTTTGCGATCTACAGCGCCCTGCATATTTATGACACCCAGTGCTTGGCTTGGGCCATCAATTGGGACATCTGTTTAATCGCAGCCACCTTGGTGAACCTGTAAGGAATGCGGCAGCTCCACTACACATCAGCATATCGCAATCTCAATCAGCTGCCTCCTCCAACGTCATCGTTATCACAAGCAATCTGTGGGGAGTTATATGGCCACACAGCGGCTCTCGGTTTCGTGTGCTTCGTTTTCATTTAACAACCACCTGATAAAGCAATAAACATGTCAACACTATTGCCTTTTCAAAGCTACACTGCGATCGCATGAGCAGCAAAATAAATCTGTTTGGGTATACCAGGCAGGAGGGGGCGGCATAGAAGCTGAATTGATTCTTTGAGTGTATGGAAAATAAATAAAGTACCGACTGTCGGATACCGCAACAAAAAGCAGTCTTTACAGGGTTTTTAAACTTGAATGGATAATCAAAAGATCGTTTATATATAGTTCCTGCCTATCTCAGAAACCTCTTCTGGTTTGACTTTGCGTTAAACGATTCAAATCGCAAAGTATAGTATACAGATTAGTTAATCGTAAATACTTCGATGTGCCTGTGACAATCTATATGGAACTGATATGCTCCGCACTCTCAGTTGGTTACGTTTTTTTAAGCGCCCCAATGAAGTTGGGAGAGTTTAGTATGGCCGCAACTGCCAAACGAGAACAATGGTAGAGCAGAGCAGTTAGCCCCGTCGTCACAGTGCCCAAATCAGTTAAGCGAAGCAAATGCACTAAAAACATCCATCAGTATTCGGGCAGTACGCACGTTTCTACGACTTTGAAAACTCGTTTGTGCCGCTCCAAACGATAGCATAAATTAAACACGAAAACAACAACAGAGTATAAAGGTGAATTAACTGGCGTAAAACGAATGCAAAGCTGAAATTATACTACATATAGGCAGATTTTGAATATTATTTACACAAGTGATTCAAACCGTATATCCCACTCGTATCGCCTCTGTTTTCGTTACAACTGTAAGCTGTGTTTTCTCCAGTGACTAATAACATTCTGGCCAATAAATGGTATTATGGTTCCTTGGAACGGGGATATATCATAACTTTAGTGTGCGATTATAAATTAGTGTATGATTAGCGATTTCACGAGTTCTGATTAAAGGAATTTTGATTCTGCTATCAGCTCGGACAACGCTTTCGCGGCCTTCAAGACGAATTACCTACCTCTAAGTGAACGACCACACGACCGGGCAGAGCCATAAAATCCATAGGAAATAATTGCTATATACATATACTTACTATATTACGAGTGACAGTTGAAGTGGCATATTTACGGCACAAAACAGAGTGGTTTACGATCGATGATTCGCCCTCAACCTTAACACGAGTTCGTTAGATAGTGGCTAAAGTGTCGATCCAGGATCAGTTTTAGATAATGCGTTGGCAACCAGCAACAAGCAAGCAACCAATTGGTGGACAGGCCCACGTGGAGCTATGCAATCTGATTTCCTGACTTATCGCCCGCTCCTGGAGTGCAGCTGTCCCATCGTGATTTGAAGCCAAAACCCCCAATCGGCGGTCACTTGAGGCCGAAATTGTGATACAGATAATGCGAACATTGCGATGTCGAATAACCATTTTGGGGGTATTTTTTCTTACAGATGACAACGGATACGTCAAAGGGAGCCATAAACAATGGCTACGAACTGGATCATGTAAGTTTAGATAGATATAGAAAGCGCATGAGCACCTTTTCATTGGTTGTTCATCTCTGCAGAGTGAACTGGACATAGCAAGTGTGGAACCATTCAAGGAAATCCCACAGGATGGCCTGGAGCTAAACCTGCCACGAAAGATGGAAGACGAAAAGGGATTCTTCAACCAAAATCCAAAAATAGCACGCATCGTGAGGATTTCATTGTACATTCTATTGCACCTTGTGGTCGTGGGCTACTTCTCGTATGCCACCTATCACTATAATGACCTCAGTAAGCACGAATCGTATTACTCATTGTACCCCCAACTGAACTCTTTTCGAATCTGTTTTGCAGGGAACTACGAATGCTACTGGGGACTCTCAGATAATCCGCTTTGTGGCATCAACTTCTGCTCTGGCTATGGCATGCTCCTGCTGCTGCTGGGATTCATCTACCTTGGCCTGTTTTACTATTATATATTCAAGCCCAGAGTGGGTCTCTGGCTGCACAGGGAGTTCCTCAAACCGGCAGCCCAGAAGTGGCACAGCTTTAGCAGAACCAGGTAAAGTACTTTGAAATGTTCGCGAAAGAGTCGATAACATTATGTTGTGCTTCACAGGGTTGTCTCGCTGGTCTGCATTGCCTTGCTGCTGCTCCTCCTGGCCATCTTTTTGTACTTCGAGACTAAGGATGAGCCGCAGAAACTGGTGTCGCTGGTGGCCCCCTGCTTCTTCATCCTGTGTGGCTATTGCTTCTCCACGAAACGCAGCGCCATCAAGTGGCGCATTGTGATCACAGGCATCACCTGCCAGTTCCTGCTGGGCATATTCTGCATTCGCTGGGAGGTTGGGCGGAATATCTTCGACTGTCTGGGCCAGAAGGTGGCCACGTTCCTCGACTACGCCAAGGATGGTGCTCAGTTCGTCTTCGGTGACTTCCTCATTCAGGCCGAAGTCTTCGCGTTCGCCATTCTGCCCGTGATATTCTTCTTCAGCTTCTTCATTTCCATTCTGTACTACATGGGCGCCATGCAGTGGGTGGTCATAAAACTGGGCTGGATACTGCAGCAGATATTGGGCACCACCGTATGCGAGAGCGTGACCGCTGCGGCCAACATCTTCCTGGGCATGTCCGAGAGTCCCCTGCTCATCCGGCCTTACATCAACAAGCTGACCAAGAGCGAGATACACAGCATAATGGTGTCCGGATTTGCCACCGTGTCCGGCACTGTGCTGGCGGCCTACCTGTCCTTCGGGGCATCCGCCGCCCATTTAATAACCTCCTCGGTAATGGCTGCCCCGGCCACTTTGGCAATCTCGAAACTCTACATGCCCGAGACCGAGGAGAGTCAGACCACATCGGAGTCCATTGAGCTGGAGAAATCGTAAGTCCCTCAACTATCCATTGAGAGAATGCAGCTTGACCTTTTCCACACACACACACAGGCAGGACTCGTCCCTACTAGATGCTGCGTCCAGCGGTGCCAGCAATGCCGTGCCCATTGTCCTGGGCATCATTGCCAACATCGTGGCGTTTGTAGCTTTTGTCGCCTTCCTCAACGGCATTGTCAATTGGCTGGGATATCTGGTGGGTGTCGACGATATAGACTTTGAGTGGATATTCTCCAAGCTGTTCATTCCGCTCGTCTGGGCCATGGGCGTGCCGAGCCAAGACTGTAATCTCGTTGCCAAGGTCGTGGCCACAAAGACGATAATCAACGAGTTCGTGGCCTACGAACGACTGGGCGCATATATAAAATCCGGCGAAATCACAGTAAGTTTTGGCCATACACAACTATTCACTAATCGTCAATGAATCGATTTAGGCTCGCAGCGCTGGCATTGCCACGTTTGCCATCTGCGGCTTTGCCAATCCCAGTTCGCTGGGTATCCTCATTGGATCCCTGAGTGCCATGGCCCCGCATCGACGCTCCACCATCACATCGGTGGCATTCAGAGCCTTTGTTGTAGGCAGCATTGTGTGCTTTGTGTCTGCCAGTTTCGCAGGTCAGCAGACTATAGTTCTAACCATAGAATGAACACTACTTAATGTGCTTTCAACGCTTCTTACAGGCATACTTTTACAAGAAGACGACGAAAGGACGAACTACAACAAGATCATACAGAAATTGAGTCGTAATTCCACCCACGTCTAGGAATACACAGGTTTAGATCTTAGATCTTTATAGATAAATATCTGATCAACTTAAGAATAATAAAAACAACGCTTTATTTATGAAACTGATAAGAGGAGAGATAGTAAATAAACCATTTCATTGAGTAATTGAGTAATTGAGGGATAAATCTAATGACAGCCATTATCATTTTACAAGTTTTTCGGTGACACTATCAGGCTATCCTGACTTATAACATCGAATAAATATACAAGTAAACACATAAATTTATTACATTTTGAGTTAGCTGATCAATCCAAAGCAATGGAACCACTAGATCCCGAGGAAGAACCCTCCAAAAAGAGGGCACTTCCAAAACTCTTGCTGCATATATTCTTTCACATTTTGTTGATTTCGTACTTCATTGCCGCAACAGTTGTTTACATAACATATGGTAAGTGTCGTAATTTATTTGTTTGCTTGATTTGTTATACTTACGTCATGATCACGCCCAGACAGCAACACCCGAAAATGTATTAGTCCGAGCAGTTCGGACGAGCCGGAGTCCTCGAACAACACTGCGAATGCAACAGATAGTGATGGAGATAAGGAGGACGAGACCAAATTTAAAGCGTTTATTCTATGCAAAATGAACTGGTGCCATGGCTACGGGTTTCTCATATGTTTCTTTGTTACTTTCTATATCCTTTGGCTGTACTACTGGGTATTCAAGCCGTTCATCGGGCAAAAGTTGTATGACGAGAAGATCGATCCGGCCCTCGACAAATGGATTGAGTTCAGTCGCCAAAAGTGAGTTTTGTTCTGTTTCTTGTTGATCCGGTCCTTAAATGCGACCATGCTCACAGGGTAATCTCGTTGATAACGCTGCTAATTGTTATTGTCCTGGCGGTGGCCTATCTAATATTCGAGTGCCGCGACGATATGAACAAATTGATGGGTCTTGCGGGACCGGTGGTTTTCCTACTCATCGGGTTCGCCGCATCAAAGCATCACAAGGCCATTCCATGGAGAATCGTCACTCATGGCATCCTGGGACAGTTATTGATGGGCATTCTGTGCCTACGCTTGGCCTTTGGGCGAGACTTCTTTGACTGCGCTGGCGAGAAGGTGACAGTTTTCCTGAATTTTGCCGGCCACGGAGCCCGCTTTGTGTATGGCGATCGCATTTGCGATGAGTTCGTGTTTGCCTTTGCCATACTGGCGGTCATCTTCTTCTTCAGTGTTGTCACCTCCTGCCTGTACTATCTGGGCGTGATGCAGTTCATCCTGGGCGCTTTCGGGTTCCTGCTGCAGTCCATGGTCGGCACCACGGTCTGCGAGAGCGTCAATGCGGCCGGCAATGTGTTCTTGGGCATGTCCGAGAGTCCTCTGCTCATTCGACCGTATATCGATATACTCACAATGAGCGAGTTGCATACGATCTGCACCTCTGGCTATGCCACAGTGGCGGGAACCGTGCTCGGTGCTTATATTTCCTTTGGCGCGTCGCCAGCCTATCTCATCACGGCCAGTGTGATGGCGGCTCCGGCCTCGCTGGCGTTCTCCAAACTCTTCTATCCGGAGACGGAGGAGTCTCAAACTAGGTCAGAAAACATTCAGCTGGAGAAATCGTAAGTTTCAGTTTGATCTAACAACATCCGGCTATTCTGGTCTTCGTCTGCAGGCCAGACACTTCCATTCTGGATGCAGCAATCAGCGGCTCTGCAGCCGCTCTGATGATTGTCCTGGGTATTGTCTCGAACATAATTGCATTCCTGGCCATGGTTTACTTCTTCAGTGCCGTCATCGAGTGGTCGCTAGAGATGCTTGGCCAGGAGGAGATCACTTTGCTCTATTTGCTTAGCAAGTTGTTCATCCCACTGGTTTTCGTCATGGGTGTGCCGTCCTATGACTGTGAGCGAATTGGACTTGTGGTGGCCGAGAAGACGTTCATTAACGAGTTCGTGGCCTACAAGCACCTGGGCGAATTGATTAAAGGAAAAAAAGTTGATGTAAGCTCACCCCTCTCCAAGCTATCGAATCGAATCGAAACATTTCAGCTGTTCCTATGCTTGCAGAGTCGGAGCGCAGGAATTGCCACGTTCGCCCTCTGCGGATTCGCCAATCCGGGCTCTCTGGGCATTCTAATAGCAGCTCTCAGCGCCATGGCACCATCTAGACGCTCGGACATAACGCAAGTGGCGGTGCGCGCCTTCTTCGCTGGCAGTTTTGTCAGCTATACATCGGCATCGCTTGCTGGTAAGTTCGCATTTAACAGGAGCACTGGCAGGCTGCCATAAAGAAGCATTCGCACTTTATTAGGTATTCTCATTCAAGAACGAGACCTGCATACTATAAGCAATAGATTCTCACGCTATGTGGAGACCCACATGTCCGACGATGACATCCAGCACCAAATGCTGACTGTATAGCATGATCTCAATGTTCGAGGACTTTTTATTAAAGCTTATCAACGATCTACGGCTCTCAGAATGCTACACAAGTTGTCGACGACTCTCTTCACCTGCTCCCTATCCGCAGCATCCAAGCCGGCTATACTCTGGCCCAGCAGCAGCGAACTGTCGTGGAGTTCGCTTATGATTTCCTTGGGTGTTCTCTCGCTTCGCTTACGCTTCAGACTCCACGCTTTACAGTGGTGGCCCGTCTCACGCTTATAGCTCGATTTCGTCAACACTTTACAGTTTGTGACCGCTGCTTTGGTCACTGGCGTTAGTTTATGCAGCACTGTTTGCAACAAAAGGTGCCACTCTTTATCTATGGAGTGGCGTACACTAAATGCCCTCAGCTGTGCATCATTGCTGTTCTTGCAGGCATGCAGAAACTTCTGGACATGCCAGTTGTAGTGGCCGACAACTGGAGCTAGTCCCCGTAACAGCTGCAGCTGCACGGATGGGCTGGCTTGGCCCAGCAGCTTGAAGTATACACTGGTGAATGAGTCGTACTTTTCCTCACCAAGTAGCTTCTGCACGAAGTTAAATGTCTGCTGAAGCCACTTGGAACAGTCTGTCTTCGTTTGTTGTGCCAAGAGCTCCATGAGTGCTACCTGTTGGCAAACCACAACTTAGATATCCATACTCCAAGTACGAATCTACTCACCTCTTCATAGTAGAGTTCTATTTTATTTGGTGGGTCACTCCCCATGAGCTGCAATCGCTGCAACAGACTGTCCCCATATCTACTGTCTACAGGTGCAACAGCATGGAGATACCGGTAATTCTGTGCACTGAATGGGGGTAGCTCTCGCTTGCCCAAACCATGGAAATACTTCAGGAAGCGCTGCACATGCCACTGACTCGGGTTATGAGAGAACATTGCATACGCGTTGTTGCACTTGTTCCAGTAGTTAGTCGCCTGGACTAGTGTGTTTCTGTTCCAGCCCGGATTTAGCTCAACCAACCTGTAATATAGATAGGTAGGTCATAACCAGAATGAAAAGGGGATTAAGAAGGGTGCTAACCGAAAGGATAACATAAGTATATCTGCGCAGGCTTGGGATGTGACGGGATCCTCTTGAAATACACCAGTGCAAATATAATTGTTTAATTCCTCGCTTTCTGCCAAGCACAAAAGGCAGGAAAAGGCTTCAATTACTCGATCGTAGTGATCAACATTTACAAAGTGTGAGGCATCTGCGGGCGAAATACAAAAATGTAGCAAGAACGATCCATGTTAGGTTTTGTACCCCACCAGAATATACCTCTGAATATGTATTCAAATATTTTCTGCAATGTTTGACACGTATAGGGCGCCACGACTGCATTGTCTAAATTGACAACAGCTACAAAATCCAAGCAAAGATCAAAGAAGTCATGTTCTGCTTCCACCGGGTCGATGAGTGAAGCAACAAGCCGCTAAAATGTAGGCATTCGATTACAAAATATCTCAATAAATATGGTTACACTTGCCTCTTGAAAGTGCTGCAATGGATAAGCCAACTCATTGAGTTTCAGTAAACACGGTCGTATATATTTAGATACGAGTAATGGAATATCCGTGCCCAGATCTTGTGTCCTAAAAAAAGCATTATAATATACGAGAAAAGTGTGGAAATGAACCGACATACGTTGTGCCACTCATTAGCAGATCTATGAGGGTTTCCGAAACAGAAACGTCAACGTACTTCAACTCAGTCTTAAAGAGTTCGTACAGCATTAATAGATATGTATGCGTTACTTTCAGATACTCTTCAACCTTTCCCAAAGGCACAGTCAGTGTTTCCTGTAAAAAAAACAGTGATTTTTGGTACATTTTAACTAGTTAAATGGGCTGAAGAGTACTGACTTCCTTTTGGATTGTCTCCATTTGATTGAGAGCCGTGTCGCACAGATGCAGGATGGTTTCCTTCAGCCAATCAGGCATGGTCCCAACCTCCCAGTGGCCTCTATCGACATACTGCATGTAGTGCAGGCAAATATAGGTCATGGTTTTACTTGTTTTTATAAATGCCTGCAGATGGATTATCTTAGTGCCCAAGAATCCAGCTATCTCGCTCATCTGTTTGATCACTGTAAAAGAAAACCTTATGGCTGAGCAGTTCGTGGAAATTCTACGACTTACGAATTCCAATGACTTACGCGGTGTTATGCGAGGATTCACTTTCTTTGCACTGGCGGTCTCTTCAGTGAGCAGGGAAAGCACAGCCGAGTGTAGGCCGATGGCATTTGGAATATGTCCCTTCAGTACATTGCGGTTAGAGTTATTTTCACTGCAGGAAAATTCAATATGTTTTAGTCTTGTAAATGGAGCTGAATCGGCAACTCACCTTTCACACAGGTAGCCGTGCACGATGGAAAATAGTAAGTAGGCGGCTGCGTGTACCAGACGTCCGCCTGCCTTCTGCAATTTTTCCTTGGACGTTGTCATAAAATGCAGGGCCTCCGTAAGTACAGTGATCAAATCGCTGCAGTCCACTGATCTTGATGACATCTGAAAAAAAGATTTGAAGATTGGCTTACGGGTAGTAAACAGGGTGCATTTACTTACCATCGATTGAAACCAATCACACATTTCCTTAAATGCAGGAACACAGCATACCGCCTCATTAATATATGCCCCAAGTACTTTTTTAAGCCACAATGCCAGCACGGTCCCAGTCTTGACACTTTTATTCCTTATGCATTCGCTGCAGACTTTTAACGCCGACGCAACATCGATAAGGATAACAATGTCTTCTTGGTCTATGCTCTCTAACTCACTGAATGACACAGATATTTCTTGTTCACCTGAGTTTTCAGCCATTTCAATAGTGAATTATTTACATTTTAATGTTTTCGACCGATTGGCGCCAAAAATCACTCGATAACAAATCGAGTATAACAGAAATGTACTAGCGCGAACGAATTTAGTGTGACAGTTCACTTCTAGGTCTCGCGCACGTTGTGTTTTTATTTACACAGGAGAGGATTTCCCTGACCGTTCAGGCACAGGATAGGATTTCCCTGACCGTTTTGACACAGGAGAGGATTTCCCTGGCCGTTTACGGAGTTTGAAAAACTAATGAGAACAACTAAATATAAAAAAAAAAGTTATGTTAGTTAGTTATGTAAGTTAGTTATGACTATAGACAATATATGTTTTATAGTATCTATTTATTTTCAATTATGCTTTATGTTGTAAAGATAGAAGAACTGCCCCGTTCCCCTTACCTTTCCCATTCAGAAAAATAATAGAATTTCTTATGTCTTTAGTTAAGTTGGTCTCAATAACAACCATCGATAGTCAAGAAAATATCGACAGCCCCATCATCGAACTGAAGTACCTGGTCCATGCGGACTCATCGCCGTGGGACCATCCAATTTCGCGGCAGCGATTAAACACCAAACAAAAAATGCAGCGAAAGGAGGCAAATCCGTTTCAGAGCCTGGGATTGCGTCCTTGGTTGGTCAAGCAACTGACAAAACTAGGTAACTATATATATTTGCCACTCGGTAGAGACAGCTAATGTGTGAACTTGTTGCTGCAGGCCTGAAAGGCGCAACGCCCATCCAACAGAATTGCATACCCGCGATATTGTCGGGAAAGGACTGCATTGGCGCAGCCCAGACGGGATCGGGCAAGACCTTTGCCTTCGCCCTGCCCATACTGGAGAAGTTGAGCGAGGAGCCTGTGAGCCACTTTGCCTTGGTTCTAACCCCCACACATGAGTTGGCTTATCAAATATCGGAGCAGTTTCTGGTGGCTGGCCAGCCCATGGGTGTGCGTGTGTGCGTCGTGTCCGGAGGCACCGACCAGATGATCGAGAGCCAGAAGTTAATGCAGCGTCCCCACATTGTGGTGGCCATGCCCGGACGTCTGGCCGATCACTTAACGGGCTGTGACACGTTTTCATTCGATAATTTAAAATATCTCGTTGTCGACGAGGCGGATCGCATGCTGAACGGCGACTTTGACGAGAGCCTGGCCATTATCGAGAGATGTTTGCCGAGCACCAGGCAGAACCTTTTCTTCTCCGCCACAATGAAGGACTTTATGAAGGAGTCTAGTATATTTCCCATAGCCAATGATGTAAGTAGACGCCAATAAGAACAACAGGGTCATATTCAACAGAATTGTTCTTTGCTTTTAGTGTCTCGAATGGTCGCAGGACTCTAATGTGGCCACCGTAGACACTCTGGATCAGCGATACTTGCTCTGTGCAGACTACGATCGTGACATGGTTCTGATCGAGTCGCTTCGCAAATATCGCGAGGAGAACGAAAACTCGAATGTCATGATATTCACCAATACAAAAAAGTACGTTCAACACCATTTACCTCAAAAATCAAGACTCAAATGTACAATTACAGATACTGTCAACTGCTTTCGATGACCCTAAAGAGTATGGACATTGACAATGTGTGTCTGCACGGGTTTATGCGGCAGAAGGAGCGCGTGGCTGCCCTCAGTCGCTTCAAGTCCAATCACATTCGCACACTGATTGCCACGGATGTGGCTGCGCGCGGCCTGGACATACCCAGCGTGGAGCTGGTGATCAATCACATGCTGCCAAGAACGCCCAAGGAATACATTCACCGCGTGGGTCGGACAGCGAGGGCTGGACGGAAAGGCATGTCCATTTCCATATTTCGCTTTCCCCGCGACCTGGAACTCCTCGGCGCCATTGAGGCGGAGATCAATACAAAGCTTACAGAGCATCCAATAGATCGTATGTAATCAGTCTTTATTTTTAAATGTTCCGTAGTTAAGCCACTGTTTTGCATATTTTAGAGCGGATGGTGGAGCGAATTTTCATGCAGGTGAATGTGACGCGACGTGAGTCGGAGATGCAGCTGGACAACAATGACTTTGACGAGCGTGCCCAAAACTACAGACGCAAAACGTGGATAATGGAGGGCAAGGATCCAGATGAAATGGAAGCGCTGTAAGCTGTCGAAAGCGCCATTATGAAAAAATATATATATTATCTCTTAATTTATGTTTGCAGCTATCGCAAAAAGCAAAAGGATAAATTGAAGGAAATTCGTCGCAAACGGAAGCTTCAGCAGGCAGAGTCCGCCACTAGTGAAGAGGGCAAGGTGCTCCTACAAGACGAACGTTTCAAGTCCGTGGACAGTGCTCGATTCGAGAAAAACCGTAAAGCCCGGAGTCAGAGCCGACCCACTAAGGATGGGAACCAAGATGTGCCACCAAAGAAGCTGGCCAGAAGCAACCCCAAGGTTTCATTGGGCAAACAGAAGAAGTTGAAATCGAAAAGAAGAGTTTAAGAGACATTTTTAAATAAATGTTTGTAGAATAACAAAATAACTTTTGAGCTTAAACTTCTAAGTAGACTGCAAAATGCATACTTAAATAATTTTAAAATTTCAGACACGCTAAGGCTAAGGCATCGGTAATCAGTCTAGGGCAATCGTCAGGAGGGCATCCTCGGGATGGACCTCAAGCAGTGCCTTGGCGCCATCGTTGAATGGATAGGATATGCTTCCATCTATGACCAGATCTGTAATTAAATGCAAATTGTAAATGCCACAAGATGATGCCCATAGACTACTCACTGGCATCGATGCAGTGTGACTTCACAAACACATTCTTCACGAAATCGCGCTCCTTAAATGTCTTCGGCGAGGGCCAAACGCCCACACAGATCTGCTCCCTGATCGAGTAGCACAGTCGTGGATCGTCTGGTGCAAAGAGAAGCCCTTGGTTGTACCGCTGGGCGATCTCCTGAGCATTCTCTCGTAGCCGGAGCACATCGGCGGAGTTGCTGTTGGGCAGCGATCGAAGCAAATCGTCCACGTCGCTGCTTGTGATGCGATTGATGCTTGTGTGCCAAGATGTAGAGCCGGTGCCAGTGCTAACGCACAAACCCGAGCACTTTGTTTTGTTCACCACATCCTGATGATCGAGCACAAGCTGCAGATGGGACACACGGGACGAAATGTGCTCGCCAATGAAAACCTGAAAATAATTCCCGAAAACAATAGCCATGAATAGTTAGAAGCTAGTTGGCCTAGAAGCCTTGGACTCTTTCGGACTCACCTCGTTCAAAGCTAAATAGGGTAGGATGCGCTTCATCTTTGCCTTGTATTTGCTGGCCATGTGACTCTCCAGCATTTCGGGATCCGTTGTCACCTGCTCCATCTTGACTTCTGTGTGCCGGAACAGATCCGTGGACTCCGGAATCTTGCCATTGCTTCCCAGCAGCGTGGTGCGGACTCTTGAACGATGCATCCACTTGAAGTCACCCTATGAAGAACACATAAAAATCAGAAGCTACAATCAAGCAGAAGGGAACTTACGCTCTTGATGCGGGCCACTGCATCGGCGGGATTGTCAGAGTAGTGCTTCGGCAGCATGAGTCGACCCTCCGAGTGAAGCGGATCCGAGTTGAAGCCCACGATTGGTGTCTTCTGCTGGCTAAGCGCAAAGAGGGGACTGGCGCGGCCGGCGGACAAAAGGAAGGTGCCGTCACCGCCCACAGGAACGATGAGATCCGCCCAGCTCATAACATCTTTGCTCAAAGAGCTTCTAAATTCAAGTCTGCTCGTTTAGTAAAGTCAACAGCGAGGAGGCCACATGAGAGACACATTATGTGGATGGTGGAAATACAATTGTAGTAGGTAGTAATCGAGGATTATGACGGCGACGACACAAGCACCACATAAACACAGCAAACATTGACAAACGTTAGCCACACTCGCACTCGCACTCACATTGAAGGTAGCGATACGCACCTGCTGGACAGCTTCACCTCACAACCGACGTCCTGGAAGCTCTGCACGATGCGTCGCTCAAAGTCCTTGTGGAGATTGTGCAGATAGAGGACCATCTCCACATCGGTGCCCCGGTCGCGCAGCTTCTGCTCCAGCTGCTCCTTCGACAGTCCCGGATGGCGTAGCTGCTCGAATTCATAGCGCGAGAGTTTGGTCACCACCAGGGCCCGCTTAAGCTTGAAGTTCGCAGGCGTAAACTTGGAATATTCTGGAACCAATTGAGCGCAATTAAAACTTTGTTAGTTTATCCTTTTAGTTCCCCACTGCGGCGGATAATATACTCAGCCCCTCTGGTACAATCTGCTTTGCTCTCAGGATCATTATGATTTTGTTGACTTTCAACAGAAATAGCTTAGCCTACCAGGGGGTAATGTGATACAATGTGGGACAGGTCAAAGTACGGTGAAAGTTAATTTAGGAGAGTGCAGAGCAGCAATTTGGATTCCTCTCAATGCAATGCCCAAAACACATGCCCAATCCGAGCTGATAATGATAATGGTGGAGTAACAAGTGCACACTCATCAGCGAGAAGTGTGTGTGTGTGTGGGTACTGGAACTGTGAACTGGAATCACCTCTGCCGATATGAACTGTCCTTACCTTTCGAAAATCTCTGCAGGAATTGCTTCGACTTCAACATGCTGGGCACTGGCGAACAACAAACATTTATTTGAGTGTTATACGTTTATTTGTTGCTCTTTCTGCACTTACAAAACTAAAAATAATTGGATTTTCTTTGTTCAGATAATTGTCGTGTGGGTCGTATGCCGGCATTCGACCAGAAATCAAAATAATTATTCACTTGATGAGGCTCTCTCGACATAAAGGAACTTTACAACTCGATTTGCTAGTCTACACGATCAATTTCCATTCGGCTATGTCACTTCCACGTTTTAACTATTGAGCAGATTAACTGATTGATTATTATTTTACTCTGTTCTGCGTTCTGCTTTGCTGTTCCTCCATCGGCGAATCGCTTCGGTATGAACATTCGCCTTTTGCTGTAAATTTATCGCCGTTTGTTTCTATTTTCGTCCGCTTTCGCTTCTCTTCTCACATCTCGGCTCGGCTCGGCTGTCCATGAGTACTTTTTGTTGTGATAAGCAGCTCAGCACGTTCTTATCAGCGAAAGTACATACTTATGTACATGTACAAGAAAATCTCAACTCTTGTTCTCTGCTGTGACATTCACTGCAGCCACTCTTCTTCTTACCTCATACAACACAAACGCGCATTCACACATGTCCGGCACAAACGGCTGGCAGCTGCCCGCTAATTCTTCTCGTTTGAAGTTGTTACACTAAACCTAGTGTCATGATAAATTCTTAATTATAGTTTCAGCGACGCAGCTTGCTTCCAGTACTCCATCCAGTTTCAAAAATGGCGATCCTGCGATACATTTTTATTAACGACCCCATAGTCTGGCTAAAATTAAAATTCGTTTATTATATACCAATTCAGAGTCCATATATTAGACATTTTTACCTTGGTTTGGGAATCATTATCAGCAGTAGCCAGCAAAAACAAAACGTTCTGGGCCACAGTACGGAAGTCGGCCGTTTTGCAATCGCTTAGACTCATGCCAAGCGCCTCACCTACAAACATACCGCTTTTTGGCTGATCTGGAGAAGCCAACAATGCTTCAAGGTTGCCCTTGACCGATGGCTCAGGGCGATTCTGACGTGCTTTGATATTGACTGGACTTTTCGAGCGCATCTCGACCCTGCCGGCCCAAATGTTTTCAATGATATTGACTGGACTTTTCGAGCGCGTCCCGGCACTGATGCCCCAATTGTTTTCGATGATATTGGGTCTGGTGCTGTTCGCATTGTTCGAGAACATCGCCGCGTTGTTGCTCGAGAACATGCCTACGTTGTTTCTTGAGAAAATTCCGTTGTAGCTGCTAGAATAGGCTGTTCCTTGAATTACGCCGAAGCTGTTTGTACTGCAAGATCCTTTATTATTCGATAAAAGTCCAAGGTAGCGGTTTGAATTGGCAGATCCTTGACTGTTGTGAATCAGCCCGCCGTGGCTGTTCAAATTGACGGGTCTTTGGATATTCTGGAAACCACCGCCGAAGCAGCCCGAATTGATAGCTCCTTGATTTTGAGCCATTCCGCCGAAATTGTTCAAATTTGCCGATACTTGAGTATGATGCAGCAACACTTCGTTGCTGTTCGAATTGACAAGTCCTTGGTTGTTCAAGCACATCATGGTGTTGTTGTTGTTAAAATGTAAATTATTATTATTGGCACTGGCATCGAACGGTAATCCATTGTGAGCAAAGTTATTATTCTGGAAGTTGTTTGCCCTGTCAAATACGTTTTGCAGTTGACCAACATTTGCGTTACACATTTTCTGTTCTAACGAAAGGTCGTGACCACTATGAGCAGTGGCACCTACTCGTCTTTGATTGAAATTTGACCTCTTTTTGTTGCGCTTGTTGATATGGTTAGGATAAGCTCCGCCGCGCTTCTGAATCGGTCCATGGTTTTTCAGCTGAGGCTGTTGTCCGCGATTGGCCCCGTTTTCGGTGGGCCTCGGGCCAAGACGCGATTTAACGCTCGGACGTGGTGGCGTTGGATTAGGTGCTTCTAATGGTTCAGCAATCGAATCCACATGATAAGCTTCCGTACGAACATCATACATTAGCTGATCGAAATCATTCTTTTCAAAATTCAGCTGGTTCATATTCGCTGCGTGTGCGTCATCGTCTACATTAAAGCGTTTCTCCACCATAGGAAAACTGAATTCCTCATCATCGTCTTCGTCCTCAGATAAGTCGACGTCCTTGTAAGACTGTAAATGCGCAGATTGTCGAGTGCCACCGCTTGCCTCCTTCTTCTGCTTTACTTTTCTGTTAATTGATATTTCGTCTTTGCGCACTTTGATGTAGTCATCTGCAAAATCGAATGTTATGGGAATTTACGTAGCGTTTCCTTTTATAGAGAGAAAACTAATGGGAAGAAGGCTTACCGAGGCTCCAAAGTACGGTGTTTGCATTGAACTCCGTCATTTTGCTTTGGTTAAAAGTTAAAAAACAAATGTGTTTTATTTGCGCTGAAGCGCACCGACGGAGATTTACAGTTACGAGACAGGGTTGCATGTCACTGTCGACTTTAAAAACTTACCAACATCGTTTAAAAATGAGCGCTGATCGATAGTGACATCGTTTCAAGACTTCGAAATTAAAACTATGTGGTGTGAAAAGGGTGGAGAATCTGCTGACAAATATACTATTTGGTTAATGGACCTGGACAATATAGTCTGATGATCAATTTTGGCGGGCGATACTATCGATGTACGCCGAAATAACCGATGTTACGCTATTGTCAATAATAAATAATATCGATAGACGAGCGCAGCCAATTTCCTTGCTTCCGGTCATGGAATATTTCATCACCTGTTATTTTTCTGCGGGGCAGACGGTATAATTCGTCCGTCAATCCAATTTCATACTGGCTTCATGACACTATTTGGTTAGTGCTTCCGGTCACTGATGGGCTATCAGTTAGAACATCAAAGTCGAGTAAATTATTTAAGATTTACGGTATATTTAGAGTATATTTTGAAAAAGCAAGGGTATATTTCGGTATATTTCCGAGGGTCTGTCGGTATAATTTATCGATAGCGGTTTCCGGTCATTTATAGCCTATCACTTAACACTTGTCACTTTTCTCTCAAAGCCGGGACGTGGAACAACCGTAAAAAATGTAAGTGAGAATTTAAAGATGAATGTATTTATTGCATCGAATATAACTGCGAATTGGTACATTAAACTTGTTTGCAGAACTCAATGTTGCAAGATTAAGTTTAAAGTGCGCAGATAAGTGTTACTAGTCCGATTGCAATGTATTTTGCAGTCACGTGGTCTAGAATCGTCTGCTGCTTAAACAGCATTTTTCTATTAAATCCATCAATTAATACGTTCAACTATATTCCAGGTGAATTCCTGTGTATGGGATGTTGCGGCTGTACGCATGGCAATTGAAAATGGGTAAGTTTTAGCTCACGCTCTCCGTTTAAATGTGCGAACACGAGTCGCTGGTGTAAAGAACTCTCCACTTTAGCTAGTGCTTTTTACTTGTTCGTAGATCAATTGTTCTTTGCCCAAGCATAACCCAAATCTGTGATATCTAAATTTGCGGTGCATATTTTCTTTGCAAAGTCGACATTTTGAGTACATATAAAATAAGGGTGCTACAATTATATCCCAGACTGTACTAACAAGTCAATATTTTCTGTACAGATACAAAATGGAAGTCTTGATATCGCCAACACGTGTTCGAAGACTGTATACGCATACAATCGCACTTTAATGCATGTGACTGCAAGCGTGCCCATCCCTGGTAACTTAATGGTAATTATACAATTGATACTTGGAGGGGGGATACTAGATCCTAGACTAGATACTCTGATGAATATAAGTATTTTCTGACATCTCTTATGAACCGTTGTGATTCAATAATTAACTGCTGAAGTCGATTCTAAATGAAATGTAGTTTTTCTTGTAACTCATTTGACTAACGAATGTCAATTTATGTTTTGTACGTTTTCGGTGGATACATAGAATCTCACTTCAATAAAGATGCCCGGTTGAAGATCTAAATCTTTTTGGCGGCAGCGGTGTCATAATAAGAGGTAATTATAAAGCGACGCTCCGGCTAAAATATTGAACACTCTGATGAATATCTATATTTTCTGACATCTCTTATGAACCGTTGTGATTCAATCAACTTAATTATTAAATACTGAAGCTGCTAAAAGTAGTTACCAATGATTAATTGTTGATTAACTTTGTTAAATAGTTATTTTTCCTTCTTGTAGGTCTACTTATTGGATTCGTGGCAGACGGAGCCTTGGGAAAGTGAATAAATGTGGCTGACCAATTTAGGTTAGTGTTGATTGAAGTTTTTTGGTAGCATTGTGGGGATTTCAATGATGATCACTTAAACCATTCACAGACACCATATAAAAGTTAAGTGTGGACAAACTTCTTCAATATTTTTTTGGAGATAGCGAGTCTTGCTTGACCGGGTATGGACCATGGTTAAAAAATTGGCACTGAGCTTCATATACCAACGTTTTAATGTTAAAGATGTCGAATGCACTTTACTGATAATTCATTTTTCTCTTTGCAGGTCCAACACGGCTCACAGTAGCGTCGCACGTGTCTATCCCAGATAGCAATATATCCACATAATAACCGATAAATAAATGACTTTATTTTAAATATTAAAAATCGTTTTTTACTAAATTTGCACGTTCTCGAAGGGCCAGCTCTTGGTCCTGCCTGGCGATCATGCGGTCGCCCTTGGACTTCTTTCCAATGCCCAACTTGGGCAGTCCGCGGTTGAGACCCTCGAGCAGAACACAGGCTTTGCACGGTTGCTGCGACGAAATGAAACCGCAGCGATTGCACGTGCCGCGCACAGGAATTTTCACCGTATCTTTAAAACGCAATTGCTCGCCCGAGTAGATAATGTCCATTATAACGGAGGGACGCACTTTCTCCAAATCCTTGAGGAAAGCCCGGGCGTGACCGCGATACGCATTTGGGGCAAATACGCATTCTGTCGAGAAGTAGACGAGCTTCTTGTAGTGCGCGTACATAACGATCTCCTTTTCGTAGCTATATTTGAGAGGCTTGACGCGCGGTATGGAGTCCTCTCCGCCACCAGTTCTGATGTCTGTGCAGCGTCGCAGACGAGCCGTGTCTCCACGCAGTACATTCATCAAAACTGTCTCTGCAATGTCGTCCGCATTGTGGCCAGTAGCTATGCTGTCGACGCACAACAGTTTGGCACCCCTGTCCAAGGCCTGGCGACGAAACACTCCGCAAAACGTGCAGTTGTTGGAGCGTCCGATCTGAGATACAATGCGATCCATGGTCCAGCCGTAAAGCTCTTCGTAGGACAAGATTTTCAGTGGCATTTTATAATCGTCCCGGTTGCGTTTAACCGTCTCCAGACTGTCGTCTCGATAGCCAGTAATGCCCTCGTCAATGGAGAGCAAAACAAGATCTAGCCCATAATCGTGGCGTTCATTTAGCAGCTTCATCCTGCAATTAACATCTTACTTAACTGGTGATTAATGGGGGATTACAAGATGAACCTACACGTGTGCCAGAACCGTCGAATCCTTGCCACCGCTTGCCGCAACGGCCACCTTTTCGCCCCGCCGGAACAGCTTGCTCGAGGTGATCGTGTGGTGGATTTCAGCCTCAAAGGCGGCAAAGAAACACTCCTTGCACAGGGCATCTCCGGTTTTTGGGCGCTGTGTAAACGAAACACTTTGTTACTACTTACGGGGTCCATAAATTGGCACTTACCTTGAGAGCTGCCGCTTTGCCACATTTTGATTTACAGGTTACAGGCATTTTCCAAAGCACATTCGGATTTCGTGATTGTTATTGTTGTGGAGTGGACCAGCAGCGCATCGAGTTTTCCAACACTAGCCATAGCTGTCACTCGCCCACATTTAACAGCACTGTGTTTACATTGCAAAATAATAAACACAAAAGAAAATTCTTTAGGATGAGTTCCAAAGAATCTAAGGCTCTAATCAAGGATATTCGCGAGACAATCAAGCTTGGCAAGCATGCTGACGCCATTCACAAGTGCCAGGTGCGTACACGTCATATAGTTGTTGCATTTATAAAGTTTCGGACTTCAGCGCCTACTAAAAGCCGACCCAAAGAGCAACGCCATGGGATACTTGTTGCTGGGTGCTGCCTATCAGAACGTGGACAAGGCAGAGGCGGCGCAGAGCCTGAGAAAGTCGATTGAGTACACTGATGGCCCCGCTACCGTTGCTCTGCAGGGTCTCGCCAATTGCGCGCCCAACGCCGAGCTGCCAGAGATCTACGATGAGCTCGTGGATCTGCTACCGTAAGAGGCTGTTGAAATGATGGACCCCCATGCAAAACCTAATTTGCGAATTTCAGGGAAAAAGCCTTGGACTACTGGGAGAAGCTTTTCGCGCTGGCCTCGGATGTAACTGTGGCCCCCCTGTGCTTCAAAGTGCTCAAAAAGCGGGCTCAGAATCCAGACGATTCCCATTATGCCAAAATCCAAGAGTACTTGGGACGCATTTGGTTTGCACAGGACTTTGAGATTTCAACAGAAGATAATGCACTCGTGGGTATCCCTTCCATAGCACTCAAAAAACAAACTAACCCCTCGAACTTGCAGTACACCAAAACGATGGAAGCGCTGCTGGAGATCTCTGAGCCTAGTGTGAAAAGTTTGTTGTACAAACGCTACCTTAAATGGCTATACAAGCAGAGGGACTATGTGGCCTGTGTGCGCCACGCCTGCAACATGACCGTGTCCCATCCCAAGGATGTCTATGGCTACGAGTGGATATGCAAGACATACTGCGAAAACCGCAATCAGGCAGACAATGATGCCTGGCAGCAGGAGCTGAAGCTGCCAATCCAAGCATATGCTGAAAAATTGCTTGAACTGAACCCCAACTCCAACTTGGCGCTGCTAATCAAGGCTTTCGATCTCTATGCGCAGGGACAGTATGTTCCAGCGAGACAATTTGCTGTGCAGGCCCATCAGAGCCATCCCACCTACAAGGTGTCGCTGGAGCTCCTGGCCCGAATCCACATGGAGTTTGGGGCCTTCAAACTTGCTCTGCAACTTTGGCAGCAGCTCGGCCAAGCGCATGAGGTTTCTTTGGCATGGTGTCTGTCTTATGAAAAAGATCAATCCAAATTGAGGGAAGCCGTCAAAGTGCTGCTGGGATACGATAAATCAGAACCGAATGTTCGAGCGTTGGCTCGGTAAGCTAACCTACCTTATTCGACCATAAAATGGGTAACTCAAGTCGTTCCTTTCAGCTGTTACTTCAAATTGGGCGAGACGCAGCTGCTCAAAGATTTGCCATTGGATGCACTCACCAAAGCGGAATTTCTCCTGTAAGCGAAGATGGAATCTGTATGGAAAAGTTTGCCCATATTATGCCTTTTATTACCCAGATCACCCGCTGAAGCCATTCAGGCAATTGGCAGCGATGACTCTTTTGAGGCGCTGCTTCTTTGTGGCAAGCTGCAAATGGAGCAGAAAAACTATGAAGAGGCGCTAAGCTGCATGCTTAGGGCCGCTCGGCTGCGGCCGCATGTTGCCGAGTGTTTCGACTATCTGGGTCGCTTGTATCCACTGGCCACTGGTGATGTGGCCCGGGCGCGCAAATGCTATGAGAAGTGCATTAGCCTCAATGCTCTGGCGGAGGAGGCTGTGGATGCGTTGAGCTTTATCTACCAGCAGCTGGGCGAGGAAGATCTAAATGAGGCGCTCCTGCTTAATACCCTTCGGTACTTGAGCAACGACGAGTCCATTCGCTTGCAGCACAAGCTGGGCCTGCACTTTCTGCAAGTGAAGAAATGGGATAATGTACGTACAGACAGGCACAGGGCACATGTCACATGTCAGAGTTTAAGGCTCCCTCTTCTAGGCAATCCAATGCTTTCGCATTGCCATCAAGCACGACTTTCGGTGCATGGTCTATTGGGAATCACTGGGCGATGCCTATGCAGCTCGAGGATCGTACAACTCGGCTATTCGTGTCTTCCAGAAAATCCTCGAGCTGTCCCCAGTCAACTGTTATGCTCTGCTCCAGATAGCCGTGATCAAGACGGTAAGAAGCGGGTAACCATTTCAGGCTATATATTAAATATGTTTTGCCTTCCAGACGACTCGCATGTACTCCGAGGCTGTAGAAGATTTCGATGCGCTGCTCAAGCTTAATCCAAACTACCTTCCGGGCCTGAGAGGCGCCGCAGAGGCGCACATCGGCATGGCCAACAATCTGAAGTCCCAAAATCTTTACGGGCGAGCCAAACAGCATTTCCAATACGCTGTGGGACATCTGCAAAGGTTAGGAACCTTCCAGTCTTGATCGCCTTATTTTTACCCCTTTTGCTCTTGCAGCGCATTCACCCAAGTGGAGGCTCAGGGTATGGTTTGGCTGTGGCGCCTCACGGCAGGCGTATTTCTGCAGACGGCACAGCTGCCGGCCTCCCTGGCCAACTTGGACGTGGCTGGCAGTTTGGCCAAGCGCGAGGAGGCGATTGCCTATCTATCACGCAAGGATCTCCTGCAACTGGCTCAGCGCTTCTATCTGGTCGCCTTGAAAGTGAAGCAGAACACATATCTGTGGTACGAGATGGCACTGGCCAGCTATTACAGCGCTATTTTCATTCCCGAAGAGGCAACGAGCCACCTGGAAACGGCTGCCAAGGTGTGCAAGCGGGCGATCAAGGAGCGCAGCAATCGCTGGCAGAACTGGAACCTCCTCGGTGTCATCAATATGCATGCGGAGCACGAGAACTGGCCCCTGGCCCAGCACTGCTTCATCCAGGCGCTGAATCTGGATCGCAAATCCTTCACGACATGGACCAACCTCGGCGTATTGTACATCAAAGCGAACGACATTCGACTGGCCAATGAGGCCTTCAAGCGCGCCCAACAATCGAGTCCGATCTATGCAAATGCCTGGATAGGACAGGCAATGGTAGCCGAACTGATTGGCGACCAAGAAGAGGCATTCGATCTGTTTCGTCATTGCCAGCATTTTGATTATCATCCGGAGGCGGCACTCGGATTCGCCTACTGGGTCTGTGAGGTGCTCTCCGATCCCATTGCCCGGGCCAAGCCCCACAACAGGCATGCGATTAGGCACATGTATGCAGATGTCTACGCTTTGGATGCTATTAATTGGTACGTTGCATTATTCAACTGAAATGTAATTTTAAATTTACGTATATTTGTACGCAGGTATGTTCAAAATGAAGAGTCGGAGGCCAGCATAGCGTCACTCACGTTTCAGGGATTCTTATGCGCCCGCAAAAAGCTTTACCATCAGGCCATCAAAGCCTTTACACGCGCCTGTCTGTTGTGCGAGCCTGGCCCTGCGCGGGACACACTGTATACGAATCTGGGCTACTTGTACCTGAAGCTGGACCAGCCGGATCAGGCAGTCAACGCTTTGAATACGGTGTCCCACGCCACATTCAAGCCCATCGTTGGCTTGGCCCTGGCATATTACCGATCGGGTCAGCTGCAGGAATCGTATTCGATATACAATTCTGTACTGAACAATGTGGCGGGACAAGATGACGACAAGGCGGCAACCATATTGGTGGCAATGGCCTCCATGATTTATGCCTTCCAAGGCGAGGCAGACACCAAAACCCTTCTCTATCAGTGGTCTGTATTGATTTTTAATGTTGTGTGTTCCTATAAATCAAATGGTTTTTGCACAGTATCCTAACGAAGAACGCGCCCATCCAAGCCCTCTACTCATCCTGTGCACTGGGCGTTCTGCACCGCGATAACGAACTAAACCGGACCGTAATGTCGGAACTCAGGGCGTACGCTTTAAATGAGAAGTATTGCGTCGATATATCCTATCTAACCGCCCATTATATTCTCATAAATGTGAGTAAACGAAAGCAATCTACAATTTTGGGGATACAAATCTGAACATATTTTCAGGAGGGTGTCCTAGAGGCGCTTCGCTATTTGCAAAACCGTGTTCGCATGTTTCCCCGCTCTGAGGGACTTCGCAAGGTGTTGCTCAAGTTTCTTCTTGATTATTTCGCGGATGATGTTTCTTATCGACTGGCCACCTCGAATGTCGGCCTGGGAGCTATAACACTGGGCCACACAAGCCTGCGAAATGGGTATGTCGCAGTGGGATATCCTTTCCTATCTCTAACCAACTTACAAATGGATCAATCTATTTGCAGCATTAAGGCCAGCGAGGAGGCGGAAACGCTAATCTATGCCAGTCGGGCTGTAATTCCTGTCGACAAGGTGTGTTCCCTGAAGTTGATCCAGCGCGCCATAAAATTAAATCCAACTAACAAGCAAGCCAGACAGATGCTGGCCACCGTTTCTGCCCATTAAATGAATTTTTTCCTGAGTGTTTATGTCGAGAATAAAGTGAATAGATGTGTATTTCTATTTAAAGAAAATATTCTGTCCTTGGAATGCAAAAAAAAGGAATATTCTTATATATTCCCATATATAATCCTTCGAGCCGGATTTGAACCAGCGACCTATGGATGTCTACTTTTGCTTTCACTTCTACAGTCCACCGCTCTACCAACTGAGCTATCGAAGGTGTTGGGAGGTGAGCGGATGTGGGCGGGAATGATCATATTGCATTGATTTAAAAATCAGTTTTTTTCCAACAGAAACGCTATAATATTTAAAACTTTTAAAGACTAAATATTTTAGTTACTTGTTTGTTTAAAAAAAACCATGGCTAAAAAATTTATTTGGCTTCTCTAGCCAGTGTTGGAAAATATATGTTCTTTGATCAGTGTGACCAGATGTTTCGGCTTCTTGTTTGTGTCCACACTACGTCGGGGGTGAAGCTAATTCGTCCAAAAAGAAAATAAAAAGCGAAAATGTGCGTGAAATAGTGAAAATGTGTATGAAACAATTATGCACACGCACATTGGTGATAATGTGTTGCATTATTAGTTAGAAGGACTCGCAATACAACTTTGCAACGTCTCCAATGCGCTCACATCGAACGGCGTCTGCCACCGACCCGACTCCGCCCTGCCCTGCATACCTACATATGAAAAACCTGCTGCCGTCGGCCGTAATTACAGTTAGACACTAAAATAGCTGCACGGCCAGGTTGAGATAATTAAGGAACAAAGCGAGAGCGTGGCGACTGGACTGCATTGCCCACGCACGCGGTTGCAATTGCAATGGAAAACGAATCCGTCAAGTCGGAACACAGTGGACGCTCAAGACGCTCTCGAAATCACAACAACAATAGTAATAGCGGTGGTGGTAGCGGAGGTGGTGGAGGCTGTAGTGGTGGCGGTGGAGGAGTAGGCGTAGGCGGAAGTGTGAACAACGGCTACCACAGGGAGCGAGATCGCTCCCGTCATTCCCATCGCAGCACGCATTCGTCCAAGTCGGGCAAAGGGTTCCAACGTGGCGACATGGCCCCCTATCAGACCAGTGTTAACATGACCGGTAAGAAGAGTGAGAAGTGAAGTGAGATGCATTAAAATAACCATAAAAATTGTTTTGTAGGTGATGAGAGTCGTGACGGCCAGGAGGTTATAGAGGTGCAGATTCTGCCCCAGGATGAGAATTGGGGGGAGAATACCACGGCCGTCACTGGCAACACCTCCGAGCAGAGCATATCCATGGAGGACATCAACAACATGTGGCATCGTGAGAGCGACAAAGGCTTCGGCTTCGCCTGTCGTCGCTATATAGAGTCGAGCTTCTACTTTTTGCTCGGCTGTGGGGCCTTCTTTTCACCTGTAGCCATGGTCGTGATGCCGTACGTGGGATTCTTCCCGTCGGCCTTTGATCATCCGGAGCTGACGCAGACGGTGCGCACCCAGCTCCTGGCCTGCAGTGAGCAATGCAAGGGCCAGCTTGTGTCGCTGGCTGCCCGCTTGCTGCTCCTGGCCATCGGTCTGTGGGCGGTGTTCATGCGTCGCACTTCAGCCACCATGCCGCGCATTTTTCTATATCGGGCCATAGTCCTCCTGCTGGTTACCATCTGCACATTCGCCTATTGGCTCTTCTACATCGTGCAGGTCACGAACGGAGCCAAGATTGTGGTGGAAACAGGCGGCGATGCTGTCGACTACAAGTCGCTGGTGGCCTATGCCACAAACTTTGTGGATACGCTGCTGTTTATCCACTACGTGGCCGTGGTCTTGCTGGAGCTGCGTCACCAACAGCCCACCTACTATGTCAAGATCATACGCTCCCCCGATGGAGTGTCGCGCTCCTACATGCTCGGCCAACTAAGCATACAGAGGGCAGCCGTCTGGGTGCTGCAGCACTACTACGTCGACTTTCCCATCTTCAACCCGTATCTCGAGCGCATTCCCATTTCGATCTCCAAGTCGCAACGCAACAAAATATCGAACAGCTTCAAGTACTACGAGGTGGATGGTGTCAGCAACTCGCAGCAGCAGAGCCAGAGTCGGGCCGTTTTGGCCGCAAATGCCAGGCGCCGCGACTCCTCGCATAACGAACGCTTCTACGAGGAGCACGAGTACGAGCGACGGGTGAAGAAGCGTCGCGCTCGTCTTATCACCGCTGCCGAAGAGGCCTTCACCCACATCAAGCGCATACACAATGAGCCCGCCCCAGCCCTGCCGCTGGATCCACAGGAGGCTGCGTCTGCTGTCTTTCCCTCGATGGCCAGAGCATTGCAGAAGTATCTACGTGTGACTCGACAGCAACCCCGGCACACCTTCGAGAGCATACTCAAGCATTTGGCCCACTGTCTGAAGCATGATCTGTCACCCCGAGCCTTCCTGGAACCATATTTGACCGAGTCGCCGGTGATGCAGAGCGAGAAGGAGCGCCGCTGGGTGCAGTCGTGGTCCCTGATCTGCGATGAGATCGTCTCCCGGCCCATTGGTAACGAGTGCACGTTCCAGTTGATCCAAAACGATGTCTCCCTCATGGTCACCGTGCACAAGCTGCCGCATTTCAATCTGGCCGAGGAGGTGGTCGATCCAAAGAGCAACAAGTTTGTGCTCAAGCTGAACTCTGAGACATCTGTATGACACCATCACAATGCTCCGCCCATAATCACGCCCACGCACAGCAATCAGACACAATCATCCTACCTGCATGTCTTTGTCTGATGAGCTGTGTTCTTGTCCTAAAGAAATTCTCATTCCTGGATGAATTTATATCATCCAAAAATTAAATTGGATCATCAATTAGCTATGAAATCGAACTTATGACACCAGAATATCAATCAAATCAATGCTCAAATGCCCATTGTATCTATCATCCTAAACCGACACGAACACATATCACTCGTATCCGTTTTAGCCCTCGAAACATGACTTAAAAGTTCCCAAAGTATTAATTATAAGAATGATGACGGTTCTTCGCGAAGAGATCAATGCAGCAGCTATTCAATGTAGCTCTTTTATACACGATTTTTATTTTAGAAAATATATCTAGTGTAAATTGGGTTTGCTACCCATAAGTAGCCCTTAAGAATGAGAATGGGGAATGAAGCCATGACGACCGACCCCTGAGACATGATATTCCAGATGGAATTTTAGCCAAGACTTGGACTTGCGCCGACAGTGGTTCGTTCACTCCAATGATCCACTCTCTGCGCGACTCGCACCGATTTTATAGACGCACATTTTAAACCGAAACTCATGCCGATTAATCCTAACTGTAACAGATGACAAAACAAAATGTAACTCGAATGCAACTGATGACAAATACATAATACTTTAAGCAAAGAGACTGCCTGATATGCATTTTATACAAACAAAAGAAATAATTGCCAACAACTAATAGAACGCGAGTACTACAAGCCCCTGTACTGTGCATAGCAACCACGCATACATACATATTAATGTGTAATATTTTTAGAAGCAAAATTATAGTGATAAGAACTTGTATTCGTATTCGAGAATATACATGCAGACATATATATGTACGTTCCAGTGAACAACCCAATCTATATATTTACACAGCAGCTACTTAGATAACTCCTTCGCTTAAGATACAAGCATATGTTTATGATATTTGTTTCGTTTTCTAGCTAAATGCTTATTATCAAAGCACATTTTTTGCATTGCAATTTCTATGGCAATTACTTAAAGCAATTGGAAACCCAATGAACATAAACATATAGCAAACATATGGGTATATTGTATATACCACATCTCCTTATATACATATATACATATATATACATTAACAGCTCTCTCTCAAACTGTATTCTGTTGTAAGAGTAATTAGATTATGGAATACCCAACCCCAACCCCAACACCAACCCAATCCCATTCCCATTCCGCATTAATAAAACAGAAAACACTTTTTAACAGCTTTAAACGAATGTGTGCTGAGCTGACGCCAGATGCTGAGGCAAGCAATTTATGAATTAAGCCATCAGCTGATTGGAAGAAACCCGAATTCTGAGGGTCACTTAAAGGTTATCCTAGGCCTTTGGGACTCGTTTGAACCTAGATTTCTTCGGTGGATTCAGCAACTTTAACTCAGGTTCATCAAAATCACACGAAAATTTGTCTATTGAATTGACTTATCGATCAATACAGCTGACGGATTCAAATTATCTATGAAAAAATCCCATTAAATGACGCTCTCTGATTTCGAAGCCTATCAATCAGTTCCAGCAATCGATTTTGTTTAGATTTTCCATATCGTTGGCACTCAAGTTTCCAAGATTAAAATATCAAGTTCAATTACTTCAAGTGCGGGTTGACGAACCACACATTGCTCACTCCACTCAACTCTTCGGAAAACAAGAATCCACCAGGTACATGAATCGCCCTTATCTGGATCGTTGGGGATGGGTTTAACATACAACAATTATTCATTGAAAACAAACAATTGTAGATCCCACAGTGCATCAATTATTATACAATTATCAATTGGCGCTGGGTTTCTTAAACAACAAGAAAGCCCCTAGCAGCGGTAGACCCTTGTGCTTTGCAGCATTAAATTGTAAATCTTGAGCAACATGCCGCTGATTAGTGCGAACTGAAAACTTATGTGCACGTTTTGTTGGTGTCGCAGCCTGGTCTTTATTTCATTCATAAATATATGTATTGCCCTAGTATAAATATAAGTTATGTACTTATAACTACATATGGTATATTATCATTTAATGGCTAATAGACAACAGCTTTTAGCGCAGTGGCTTTTTTGGCTTGTGCATTTATCAATTGTGGATTGTTGGTTAATTCTTGCCAGGTCGTCGTTTCGTTTTATCACGATTTTCGATGTCTGTGGGAGGTTCAATGTTTTCCTTCTTAGTCCTTCTTGCGCTCCAGGTTGTTCTTTGCTGGCTGATAGAACTCCTCGACAATGGCCTCGACCATGGTATTCAGAGTGTTTGTCAATTTTAGCCAGTTCTTTTCCTCGGGCTTGCCGATTATCTCGGCATAGTACTTCACCTTGGGCTCCGTGCCACTGGTGCGCAGAGTGACCACCACGCCGTTCTTGAAGGTAAACGTGATCATCTGGGAGCTGGAGCTGGTCGGAAGGGTGGCCTTTTTGTCGCTGGTGCTGCTGTCGTAGCCAGTGGTAAGGTCACGGACGTGCTCGATCTCGTACGTGCCATTCAGAATGCTTTTGGGATAAGTGTTGGGCTGGCAGTTGTCAAAGTTGCGCAGACGCTGGAAGATACGCTCTATAACCGGCGGACAGCGGCAGATGACATACGAGCAGATGCTGTTGTGGTAGCCGTATGTCTCGTAGAGTTCGCGCAGCTTCTCCTGCAGAGTCATGCACTGGGTGCAGCGGAGGTAGCAAGCCATGGTTGCCGTATGGGCTGCGGCGCTTACTCCATCCTTGTCCAGAACGGCGGTGCCCACCATAAAGCCAATTGCCTCCTCGAAAGCAAATAACACGGTCTTGCCAGCCTCCTGCAGCTCGATGGCCTTGTTGCCCATCCACTTGAATCCCGTGAGAGTTTCGTAGAATTCAAAGCCCTCCTGCTTGGCCATGCTACCGAGAAATTTCGAACTGACCGTGCTGGCGATCATGGCACATTTGGATATATCCGCATTGGGGTTGCGTGCCCGGTAGTTCTCCAGGCACCACCAGCCCAGCAAGGCGCCCAGCTCGTTGCCGTTGAAGAGCTTGTAGTTGCCGTCTTCGGCAATCTCGGCAACGGCAAGGCGATCGGCATCCGGATCGTTGGCCAGTATGATTTCGGTTTTGTATTGCTTTGCTGTCTTTATGGACAGCTGCAAGGATGTCTTGCCCTCCTCCGGGTTGGGCATGGGAGTGGTGGGGAACTCTGGATCTGCCTCGGCTTGCTCGACCACTGAAACGAAAGGCTTGAGGCGCACCTTTTCGAACGCCTGCTTCACATAGGGATGTCCCACGCCGTGCATGGCTGAGTGCGTGAAGGATATCGGGCACTTGGCATTCATCTCCAATAGCTTACAGGAGAAGTTCCGCTTTAGGGAATCGTAATAGAAGGGAACAACGGAGTCGTAGGGATCATCCAAGAAATCAGAGCAACACAGTGCCGTCTCATCCCAGGATTCGGACCTAGGCTCCAGATTTTGCATAATCGACTCTTGTATACCCGCATCGTGCGGCGGAATAATCTGAGCTCCGTTGGTCCAATACACCTTGTAGCCATTGTCCTCCTTGGGGTTGTGCGAGGCGGTCACCATCACGCCGGCCAGACACCCCAGTCTAAGAATCGTATAAGGAACAAAGGGCGTGGCCACCAAGCGCTTGAAAAGATAAACACGAAAGTTGTTGTTCAGAAAGACAATGGCCGAGAGCTCGGCAAAGCGGTGGCTGTTGTAGCGCCCATCGTAGCCAAAGACAATGCCGCGCTCCTTCCAGTCCTCGGATTTCGGATACTGCGCCTTGATGTACTCGCACAAGCCTTGGGCGGTTCTGCAACAATTGAGATTTTCCTGAATATCGGGCCGGTTACAAGGATTATGTTTGTTTAGGACTCACTGAACAACCACCAACTCATTCATCGAATCGAAGCCGGCGCGCATGCAGGCCCGCAATCCCGCCGTGCCGAAGGTTATGCGGTTGCACAGTCTCTTCCTCAGCCTGGTTGTTAATGCATAAATTATTGTTGAAAACTATTTATTAACGGGGGGAGTCTTCTTACGTTTCCCAGTCTTGGGCCTTTACGGCGTCCATAATCTGGGCGGAGGTGCTGGGGCACCGGTCCCAGCGAATCCATTTGCGGATCTGGCCATCCAGCTCCGGATCGCCAGACAGAGTCATATTCTTGAGCTGGCATATCATCTGCGACGTTGGCTGACACATGGTGAAAACAACGGCTCTGCCGAGAGTCGCCGAATTGTCAATTGAGTGGATGACTTTAATTTGGAAGAATGCTATCGAAAAAGGGGAGGCAGGCCGAGCAATGGAACTATTGACAGTAATTTCACAACACGAAAACGACTACGGACACACGGAAAGGGCTGATTAAGCACACACTCGCATTAGCAACTAGCTGCTTCGATGGGCCGGGCACTTTTAATTGATAACGCTCTGCGGGAGGTCGCTTGGAGCCAACAAATTTAGCTTAATCACAAAACAAATCAAATAGTATGAGTACCCGTGTGTTTATATATGAGGCAGAGCTAGGGCTGCAGAACCAGCGATACTATCGATAGTTTCAACGATTTTTTAGCAGCCCTACTTTTCATCCCTGACAAGTTCGTGACAATCCAGGCCGACGCTGAACAAAAAATAAAAAGATTTGTTTCTGTTGTTTAATTTGTATTATTGATCAAAAATGGCTGATGTACTGGACATTGACAACGCCGAGGAGTTTGAGGTCGACGAGGACGGCGACCGTGAGTATGCAGCCGGTTTTTTGTGGCTCGCCGGTCTCATGGCTTTCATTTTCTCTCTCCCACGCTGCAATTAAACTACCAATACCCTGCACCGCACACAGAGGGCATAGTGCGCTTGAAGGAAAAGGCCAAACACCGCAAAGGACGCGGATTCGGGAGCGACAGCAACACCCGCGAGGCTATACACAGCTATGAGCGGGTGCGCAACGAGGACGACGACGAGCTGGAGCCCGGACCACAGCGCTCTGTCGAGGGCTGGATACTGTTTGTGACCTCCATACACGAGGAGGCCCAGGAGGATGAGATCCAGGAGAAGTTCTGCGACTACGGTGAGATCAAGAATATACATTTGAATCTGGATCGTCGCACGGGCTTCTCCAAAGGCTACGCTCTGGTTGAGTACGAAACGCACAAGCAGGCACTTGCCGCAAAAGAAGCTCTCAATGGCGCCGAAATCATGGGACAGACCATCCAAGTGGACTGGTGCTTTGTGAAGGGACCCAAGCGTGTTAAAAAGTCCGAGAAACGTCGCAGATAGTCGGTCGGCCAGGACTTTCATCCAAACGAATACTTTTTCAATTAGTTTAATGCATAGGCAACAGTATAGAGTTCGCACTCCAATGAAATAAACAAAGTTGACACTTTACATAAAAGCCGAATTACTAAAGGTAGTCCTATAACTTTAATATATAATGTATACCACATTCTATTGGGGGAAAAAACAATCTACCAACTTGTACATTTCGCCACTATTTCATTTTCTTCTGGTGCAGAAGATGCTTCCGCAGGGATATCTGCTTGTCCCGGAAACTCTTCTTCACCTTGGAGCGCGCCTTGTGGCGCATCATGCCAAAGTTCTTGGTCTTGCGCTTCTCGCTGTTCGTCTTGGAGCAGTGCTCGTTGACACGTCCATCCTTCCAGCCGAAACGTTCGCGATCCTGCCGGCCTGCCTGCACAGTTTCCAAACGCGACTCCTTGTCGTGCTTGCGCTTCTTAAAGATCATCTCGATGCTGTTCAGCTTCACGAATTCGGCCCGATCCTGCTCTAGCGGACGTTTGCGCGAATTTGTGACGGTCTTTTTCAGATTAGCAGCATTGATTCGCTTGAAATCTTCGTCCGTAAAGATGCGTGTCAGTGCCAGTTCTTGCGCAGCCTCTTTTTGGTTCAGAAGTTTCACATCTTTCTTCTCCTTTTTCTGTTGAGCTGCCTCTTCGTCGCTGGCTGCATCCTCCTCCGCGTTCGAGTCAGCCTCCTCCTCTCCTTCATCGCTGTTGTCCTCGTCATCGTCGTCCTCTTCATTCTCATCATCCTCTTCCTCGTCTTCGTCGTCATCTTCTTCTGCTCCGCCTCCCTCCCCATCGCTGTGGGCCACGTTCACCCACTGACCATCATTGGAGTCGGTATCTTCATCGCTTTCAATGTCAATGGTCTTGGAGTCCTTGAGGAGTGCCTCGGCGCCGAGTACTGTGTCATGGACTTCGCGCTCCCCATAGGCGCGCACCTTCCGCTCCGCCTGGGCCTCTGTCTGCCGTCCGCGATCCTTTTTATGCAGCAGAGCCGGCAACTGTTCGCGGTAGAGTGTGATTAGCGAACGAGCCGCCATCATCACAGACTTCTCCTTGTACGTTTTGTACATGGCCAGATCCTGCAGCAGGTCCTCGCCCATAGCCAGTGGGCAGCGCATGCAAATCTCTCGCGTGGCATTCAAGCCGATGGCCATGACATCGCTGGAGTTGCGCTCTGTAATGAAATTGTTGGCTATGGTCTTCAGGATGGGCTCGATGATGTCGCCGGGAACCAGCTCGTGGGACGCCTGGGCGGCGAACTGCAGCACGCGGGTCACCTGACGCTGATGGGGCTGCAGAAAGCGAGTTATATACGGATAAAAGCCAAACAGGAAGAGCTCGTGAATGCCTATCAGACGGGATATTACATCAAGGTGCATTAACTTGACTTCAAATCGCTCGTTGGTGGCTTGCAGCTGCTTGAAGAGGCCCTCGGCCATGCCCTGGGGGTTGTGCACCAAGTGAATGCCAGAGAAATTAAAGGCTGGTGCATTCTTTTTCTTCTTCTGTGCCTTGACCGCCTGCTTTTTTATCTTTTGCAGTTGCTTCTGGCCCTTCTTCGTCTTCTTGCTGACCCGATTGGCCAACAAAGCACCCTTCAGATCCACCTCGTTTTCACTCTCCGTGTCCGGTTCTTCGTCCTCCTCGTCGTGGCCAAGGAAGAACTTCAGCGATGTGACCAACACCTTGGTTACCTTGGAGAAGCAACCCACTGTCGCAATGACATTCACCGATTTGGGATCATTCCAGATGTTCTTCTTGTACAGCTCGATCATTATGTCCACAGACATCTTGGCGGCTTTCGGATTGGCGTCCTTCAGCATGGCGTACATGAAGTTTTGCAGGCTCTGCAATTTGATTATATTGAGAGATAAGAACAGTGGCTTGTAGTCAGCAACAAGTGCTTGTGGAATGATTTGTTACCGAGTTGAGCTTCATATCCTTGTGCTTGGCATTCATATTCTTGATGTCGGTCACAATGTGCGACTGCAGAAAGGTCCTAAGGTTCTTGTCCGGGCAACGCAAGAGCTGGAAAAACAGCTCCAATATGTCCAGTGCTGGCACCAGATTCTTGTTGCGCAGTAGAATCAGCGCCTTCACAAAACAATTCCTCATGGCCGGGTCCAGCACGGTGGCATAGTTCCTGAGCAAATCGGCCAGGTGCTTTGGAAATAGCTCACAGGCCGCCGGATAGCACTGCGCCACCTGGGCCACGAACATGACAGTGTCATCCAAAGATTTGTTTTCCTCGCTCGGGTTCAAAGCAAACACTTCCAGCAGACTGAGAAAATGCTGGTACTGTATGTGAAACTCATCGCTATACGACTCCGGATCACGCTTGATCAGATTCTGCAACTGCGGAAGATTTTCCGGCAGTTGATTGTTGTTGGGCCGCACCATGGTCAGCCGTAGAAATTAAAATTTGCCAAAATTAAAGTAACATTAAAAGGTGCACGTGTTGGATTTATCGATCAAATATACCGCATGGCCCCCAAAAATATACGGAAATATACTTTCTCAACTATCGAATCGATAAAATCATTTATACATTGATAGTTTCACTTTTACATTTATAGTCAATTTGATAATTTGTTTCGGATGACCTTTTTACTTTGCTCCTTATTTGGTAAACAATCCAATAAATAAATGTGATGAACTTGCCAATCTCGTGGAAAATATATTGATAAATAACATCAAATTATAGTTTTCGCACTGAGAATCCTAACTAGCAAGTAATATTAATCAGAACATCAAAATCGGGAAAAATTATTTGAGAGTTACCGTACACTTACGGTATATTGTGAAAAGGTATATTTCGATATATTTTTGAGGCTCGTGCGGTATCGATAAATCCGCGGTCACACTGCTTCTTCGCCATCGAACCATCGATAGTGTCCAACCATTGATAGTACCGATAGTGCCATCGATAGTTCTCCACCTCTATTTTGCAAAATGATGGAACTGCAGCTGAATGACGTTGATTTAGAGGATGGCGAGGTAAGTAAAACTCTTTAGTGACCAAGGACATGGTGGTTGCTAACCCAGATCCATTCGCAGCTATCAGAAAGCGAAGACGACGAAATTTATACACCGCTGCAACGACCTGCAGCCACTCCCGCGCCGGGTACAAGTGCCGAGAATGTTGCAAGCCCTCACACTACTTGCCACCCAACTCAAACCGCTCTAGATGATGATGATGAGTCCCAGACAAACAGCGAGTCCTCTTCGGGAGAGTCCTCAGAGGAGGGATGCATAAAGAAGCTTCGCAAAGATCCAGACAGCGGCCACAAGAAGCGAAAGAAACGAATCAAGCGCACGGTCATGAGGAGAGTTCCCCCCACAGAGACAGAGATGCTGCCCAATCGCACGCGCTTCAAGAAGTACAATGTGTGGACAGCCGCCCTTCAGGAAGATGCACTCAGTGAGAATATGCGTGGATGTGACGTTACTCGTAGTAGCCGGGACCGTAACGTTGAGAACTATGACTTCTCGCTGAGGTACCGGCTTAATGGCGAAAACCGGCTAAAGCGGCGGTTGTCTAATTCATCGGAGGATGAGGCGTCGTCACATCCCGCCCACAAGAGGGGCCGTCCCTCGAGTCGCCTCACGGAAGCATATCCTCAGCGGGAACCGGTCAAGAGCCGCCTCGGGCAACGTGCGCGACGCGGCGCATCGTCGACCAGTGGCTCTTCTGACAATTCGTGCGAGCCCCGACATATTCTCGACCTAAACGATATAGCTGGACGCGATCCATCCGATGTGGCAACAGAGATGGCCAGTAAACTGTACGAAGAAAAAGACGAGTTGCTAAGTGAGTATTTTGGGAATTTCAAAATACAGGCAATAATGACGATAATCCATTTATTCAAATTGCTAGTCCGCGTTGTGGAAGTTCTGGGAATGGACTTGCCCCTGGAGCTGTACAAAGAAACACAGCGGATCGAAGCGGATGGCGGCATGATGATCAAAGTAAGTAGCTGCCAAGAAGAAGGACTTTATACTGATGATTTAATTTGCAGAATGGCAGGCGAAGACGTACACCAGGCGGTGTATTTCTGTTCTTGTTAAAGCACCACGACAATATTACGCCAGAGCAAAAAAAGTCAATCTTTGATGAAGATCGCCAGAACATGAACAAGTCTCGTAAGCAGATCGAGACCTTGATGCGTGACCGAAAAGTAGAGGAGCTGAAGAAGTGTTTAAGCAAACAAAGCACCGAATTGCCTTCGCTATGCCAGCGCAAAGAGCATTATATGCAAGCTGACGAGCTGAGCACCCAGAGTCAGCCTGGCAGTTGTAAGCAACGTGTGGATACACTTTGAAGATCTTTTTCACTAATACTGAATGTTTTTCCAAACAGTATCGAACCCTCCGCCTTCTCCAGTAGGGCACGAGCAGGAGAGCCCAGAATATAAGACACACGAGATTAACATAAATCTAGTGGACAATGCTGAACTACCATCTACATCGAAGGCGGCCGCTTTGGCGTCATCGGCGGCCCTTAAGGAACTGGTTAGCTATGATGACGATTTTTTGGATGTAAACTGTGGAGAAATGGACTTCTTCTAGGCTAACGCATAGCGTTAAACGTGGGTCCCATTTTGTACTAAATTTACATAGTTAGAACCTCATTTGTACATTTAAATAAATGCCTCAGACGCCGGAATTAAATATAAACAAATTCGAACCCGTTATGGTATTGCTAAAACGCGTTAGGGTATCCTGGTTGATGGTTTGTTGCGTTAGGATATCGAAAAATCGATTGGTTGGCAACTCTAGTCGAACTCACGACGGACGCCGCTTAAAATATTTTGTTGTAGCGTTTTTTTATATTAATTAAGGAAATACTGTTTACATTTATGTGTTGTGCGTGTCCTAGACTAATGCTCTTGAGCTAGCAACTTGTGTGTTGACAGTGTAATCGACCAAAGGAATAAAAATAATAGTAATGCGAAAGACCCGCTCGCAAACTCGCACGCAGGCGGAAAATGCCGCAACATCCCCAGCGGCCGGACACCAATCAACGTCGACTGCGCCAACAACAGTAAACCCCTTTGATGCGGGCAAATACAAGGTCAGTTTTCCCCGAAAGTTTAATTCAGCAGATTCCCAAAACAATTTTCAATAAATATTGGATGATTGATAAGCAAGCAGGGTGACCACAAGCAAATAATATTGTGGCGCCACCTCGTGCACGAAAAGGCAATCAAAGCAGTACAAACGAAGCCCGTTCGAAGTTTGCCAACACTGCCATCCGCCATATTATTTCAGACCGTGCGGACAAAACAAAATTGCTGTGACAAAAATAATTCTGTTCGGGCGTTTGTATTAACAAGTTACAGGAAGTAACGAAAATCTTGTCAACTGTAGTTTGCATGCACGGTTCAGTCGGGGGGGCAACTAATCAGAGGAGCTCATCGGTTCAGTGAAATGCAGCGCTTTCTATGAACGCCATTTTTGCCCAGCAAGGTAATGTGTTTTGCGGGACATGCCACAATTTTTCCCATGTACATAGTGGCTGTCAACGCAGACCTGTGTCTGTCCGGCTGGCAAAAAGGAAGTTGAAATCTACCTGAGGATTCACGAAAAGTGAAGACCAAGCCCAAGAAGCTATTTAAATATACGAGGCGAGACCATGCCGGACGCCCTTTCCGCACACAGCACACGCTCGCGTCTAAGCACATAGATGCTCATACATATATGGCATACACAGACATATGTGTGTGAAAGATTGTGCGAGTGTGAGTGCGCTTGGTGTAGAGTCCCGCTTTTTTGGAACCGCGATTTGATCAACATTGGATTTCCCCATTTTCTTTACAGGAATGTGAGCAAATGGTGCAGATGCTCCGTGTCGTAGAGCTGCAAAAAGTCTTGTCGTTCCTTAACATTTCCTTCGCTGGACGAAAATCCGATCTGCAAAGCCGCATTTTGTCATTTCTGCGCACCAATTTGGAGCTCTTGGCCCCAAAGATACAAGAAGTTTACGCTCAATCCGTGCAAGAACAAAGCGCCACGCTGCAATACATAGATAGCGCGAGAATGTACTCGCACCTGCAGATGCCACCTTCGGTTCAGCCGAATTCTGTAGGTCTGGTGGGCGGCGGATCAGGCCAGGTGCCGGGTGCGCAGATGTCCGCACAGATGGCCTCGCAGATGCCAACCAATGTTCTGCCCTTTCTGCACACGCACGGCAACCAGCTACCCATACATCCGGATGTGAGACTGAAAAAGCTTGCCTTCTACGATGTGCTCGGCACACTGATTAAGCCGTCGACGCTGGTGCCCCGCAGCACACAGCGCGTCCAAGAGGTGCCTTTCTACTTCACATTAACGCCCCAGCAGGCCACCGAAATCGCATCGAATCGCGACATTCGCAACAGTTCAAAGGTGGAGCACGCCATTCAAGTGCAGCTTCGCTTCTGCCTGGTGGAGACTTCATGCGACCAAGAGGACTGCTTCCCTCCCAATGTGAATGTCAAAGTGAACAACAAATTGTGTCAGCTACCTGTAAGTGTGAATCGTTTCAACTCCTCCCCAAAACTCTCACAGTGGACTATTCTAATACCATATCCCTTTCCCACCACCAGAATGTCATTCCAACAAATCGACCAAATGTGGAGCCAAAACGACCGCCACGGCCCGTGAACGTTACCTCCAACGTGAAGCTGTCCCCAACCGTTACCAACACCATTATGGTTCAGTGGTGTCCCGACTACACGCGCAGCTACTGCCTGGCAGTGTATCTGGTGAAGAAGCTGACATCCGCACAGCTGTTGGTGCGGATGAAGAGTAAGGGTGTGAAGCCGGCTGATTATACACGAGGCCTGAGTAAGTATACCTCTTGGTAGAATCCATCTAAATATTAAACAATCTTTTTTTGCAGTCAAGGAAAAGTTAACAGAGGATGCCGACTGTGAAATAGCCACTACAATGCTGAAGGTATCGCTCAACTGCCCGCTGGGAAAGATGAAGATGCTGCTGCCATGCCGAGCTTCAACGTGTTCGCACTTGCAGTGCTTCGACGCCAATCTCTACCTGCAAATGAATGAGCGCAAGCCCACCTGGAATTGCCCGGTGTGCGACAAGCCGGCCATATATGACAACCTGGTTATCGATGGGTATGTGAATAGAAATCTCTGTGAACAAACGACATGAAAGTAACTGATCAAACGTGAAATTTGTGTACTCCCAACAGCTATTTCCAGGAGGTCCTGGACTCGACCCTGCTAAAGAGCGATGACACTGAAATACAGCTGCATCAAGATGGCTCATGGAGTACCCCGGGGCTGCGCAGCGAAGCTCAAATCTTGGATACACCCTCCAAACCCGTTCAAAAGGTTGAGGTCATATCGGACGACATAGGTGAGAACATTAAGCTACTTATTATCTGAGCCGAACTGACCTGATTGCTGTTCATAAATCTCTCTCCTTGTAGAGCTAATCGCGGACGAGACCAAGCCAGTGAAGAGTGATTTGTCTCCGGCACCAGACGACCAGCCAACGTCAACGTCAAACAGTGAAACTGTAAGTTTTGTCTGCAACTCTGTCGAGTGTCTTTTGTAATTCTGAAATCTGATCTGACAGGTCGATCTGACGTTAAGCGATTCCGACGACGATATGCCTCTGGCCAAGCGTCGTCCTCCTGCAAAGCAAGCCGCCACTAGTTCCACTTCCAATGGTAATGGTGGTGGCGGTCAACGTGCCTACACGCCAGCCCAGCAGGCCCAACAATCTGGTATGTTGGATCCATTTTTGCAATAAGCACAATAAGTAAACCAATAATAATTGTATAGCCAAGAATTCTTTATATATATATTTATAAAGTGCTGTTTGTAGACTATATATATAAATTTATATCTATATATAAGGTTCCATCCACACCTTCCCCAACTCACTTACACACCCACACCCACACTACAGACTCAGTCACACACATCTCATACACACACATAGTACATTTAAGGCATTTTAATCGTAGCGTTAGAACCGCAAGCTACCAGACTCGTCCTGTCCCTTGCAAGTATATTGGTTTTAGCATTCATCCAACTGACGGGAGACTCTTCTCTTTTAAGTTAGATTTCTTTTAGGGAACCCCTTAGTTGAGTTGTCTGTCAGTTTTCCCCATATTAAATGAGGTTAATTCTCTCTTGTTTGTTCCGCTTCAGTTTGTGTGAGAAAGTATAGAAAAATTTCCTAAAAAAACGCGCCCTGTAAATTGTAAAGCTTTGAAAATTCTAAGACATGGATATACTTCAATTGGAAGACTTGTGCATTGTTGGCGTCGGGGCGATTATGCACTTGAGCAATTTGAGCCTTATTTCGGCACTCAATAATAAAGCCACAGTGCTCATGCCGAACGCAGCTTCCTTGTTGGTGACCGTGACCTTGCTGGCTTTGCTGACTCAATGGCGCCCTGGCTGGAGCAACTTGATGGCATCGACTCGTTCGCAACATTTGTTCCTACTGATATTGGAGCTGATGATCATCGTGGGCTTGGTGGAGCTGATGTTGGTGCAGATCTGGGTTCCAATGCTCATTGTGCTGAATGTCGTGTGCGAGTATACCACCCACGCTCTCCTGACGGCCAACAATGAATACCTAGTGTACAGTACCCCACATTTCGCCTTCTGGCTGCGTTCCAAAGCCTTCTACCAGGCGCGCTTCCTTTTGGCTTTGGCCCTTGCCTTAGGAATCTTCCTGTCCCAGGGCTGGCAGTCAGTCATACTGAAGAGAGTGCAAAATATGCATGCTATTGGCAGTAGAGCTGGTAACAACACAGACTACAGACCGCCACTAACTGTCAAGCATCGCGGAATGGAGCAGCTTACACGTAGAGTTCGCTACATACCCTTGGGCGACGGTCAAGAACTAGAAGAGTATAGCTGCTAATGTTTAAAATTTTGGTGTCTTCATATTCTTGTCTCTATTTTGTTATTATTTTATTTGATTATATTGTAGTTGCTGGAAATGCGGGTTCGTCTCTTTATAAGCGTGTCAATTTACAGAACTGGGTGCGCTCACGGTAGGTTCAGGTCCAGCTTTCGTTTATGCGAACACTTTACTGTGAAAGTGCGTCGCATATACCTTATCAGGTCGAAATGAATCTCTTTCTGTGCACTCACTCTCTTGCAGTAAAACCCATCAGAGAAAAGTCGGCAAGGACGGTTCCGGTGGTGGTTCCGGTTTGAGGCATCCAAACGTGGGTTGATGATGAGCAAGAATCCATATATTTTATTAATTTTGTAAACCAAATAGTCTGTTCTTTTACTCTGTATTTTATTGTCACTTGTCGAAACGAGTTTATCAAATGTACCCGCATCAAATAAAATGTTATTTATCTTAGTAGAGTTCGCCAGTTGAGGGTTTTTTGTATTATGGCGTGCATCCATGCTCCACACTGCCACTCCCTTGCCCCACGTGTCAATGCGTTTTTGGTTTTGTTTTGTTTTGTCCATTGTTGTTGTGTTGATATGATGATTATGTATTTGTATGTACTAATTGAAGTAACTGTGCATTTCTTGTCTTTTCTTCTCTCTCTCTCTCTCTCTTCTTTCTCCGCTGCTCTCCCATTTTGTGTATCGTTTGACTCTGTGCTGCCGCCGATGCATAGAATCCCCAGACCAGCAAATAATGGCACATCAATCGTCTGAGTCGCAGCAAGTGTTAGAACTAGAACAGCAACTGCAGCTGCAATTGCAGCATCAACAGAACGAGCAGCCAGCATCAGCAGTGCATGCCACTCTACTGGAATCCCTGGCTGCTGCGGTGGCGGATCAAAAGCACTTTCAACTGTTGGATCTTGCTGCAGTTGCTGCTGCTGCTGCTGCCACAGCGTCAGCATCGTCCGGGCAAAGTCAAAATGGTGGTCCATAGAAACACACAAAAACACGTGCACTTGTCACATCCACATACATACACACACACTCATTCGAATTATTATTTTCGATTATTATATGCATTTACAGTCAGTTTTCTCTTTTAATTTCGCTTGGTCTTCCCTCCCCTCGCACACTCGGGTCTCATTTGGCGCCATCATATTTACTTTAACCTCAGAGGCTGGCTACCCTTCGACAAGCTGTTTGCATAGATTCCATCAATTCGGTGGCATCCATTCATCGCGTTGCAGAACTTGATATTTTAAATTGTTTTATGTATGTGTTGCAGGATGCAGACCAAACTAGTTGAAGTTGCAGTAGAGACTATTGCTGACCTGCCCGCCACCACTTTATGTGTGCAAAACTGTAAAACAAACTGTATCCATGTCCCCTTTTCCGTTGTTTCTGTGCCAGTTGTGATTTTCTTGTCTGCACTTATTTTTAATCATCTCGCGGGGTTCTCCATTTTACCCAAAAACGGATTTTAAACGAAAAAAAAAAACCCTGCATCTCCCCCACTAGAAATTACAATAGGTAACAATCGTAATTTATTTATTTTTTCATCACCTTTGAATGGCCGATCGCGGAATGTAATAGCCCTACGCACCACTAACATTAGTAAACATAAATCAAATGTTAATATTTAAGTCCTACCAATGCAATTTGGACGTATTCCTATGCACTAATCGAGAGGAGACAATTAAGCTAACTAAGTTATTTTAGTTATCATTATCATATGATGTGGAATAGAGTGTTGCTGCCGAGTGCTCGCTCCCCAAGTGCGTTTGGTTTTATTATATTTAGCACATCAGAGCGAATAAATTCAGTTCACCACAGAGAAGCATCAACTAACAAAAAAATACATAGTTCGGACTAAGTAGGAATTCAAATTTTAAAGTAAATATTACAAATCAATAACTCCCTATTAAAGTTTTAACTCTTTTTTTAAGCTTTAAGTTATAATGAACCCCAATTTAGTATAAAAACTGCTTTGATTTTGATTGGATGCCAAACCCTTAAGTTTCGATCTTAATTAAATGAATGAACAAACATGAAATCAATGTACAATAAGATGTGTACTTCAACTATATTATTAAAAAAAATTCCAAACAAGGTCATGTTGTTTTATTTTGCACGAGGGGCGGTTCATTTAGAAATTCCTAATTTAAGCGGAGCAACATTTTGTTTGTAGTTTTAAATTAACTTATCATTTGGAATCTTGTTTTTATTGAGCACATCCGAAACTTTTTCTTTACTTGCAGAGGATAAAAGCGGATTGGTTGCTGCGGTCAAAAGCAAAGAGGATTCTGTTATTGATCTTTTAGATTCGCCCTAACGTTAGCACAGCGCCGCCGCCGTACGCCCGTTCGTAAGATTCTGATATTCATTGTTAAGAACCCCCAAAGAATTTAGACTTGTCCCTATTATATATGTATATGTATGTATACATTGGGTCTGAAATTCAATAAAGTACAAGTTCATAAGAGTATTGATTAAGCTTAAAACACTCCCCATATAAATAGCTAGACGTAAGGAATAAATTTGATTTCAGTATCCGTTTGTTTGTTTGCGTTCGAACAGCTGTTTTTTGTTTGTTGCAGAGATGCCACCTCCACTAAACTCGCGCAGGCTGGCAGCCCCACTGTTCTGTACTTTTACCTGTTGGTGTTTGTTGTAGCCCGTCTAAATATATTTTGTTAAGAAAATCTCAAAGTTTTTTTTAGCATGTCAAAGCCAATTCTGTACTACGCTCTGTTCAGTCCTCCAGCCAGGGCTTGCATGATTACTGCAAAGCTAATTGGCTTGGACCTGGAGCTCAAGTAAGTCGCCCCCGCAACTGCCTGCCATTTATCTCATCGATTTCTACAAAAGTAAATTCTTTTTGCAAGCAGGCTTGTCGATTTCACCAAGAAAGAGCATTGCGGTGAGGAGTTTTTAAAGGTATACCACACAGACTAGTATTACCTTTCGCTTGTTAAGAGCTTTGCAAACTAAACTCTTCCCACAGCTCAATCCCCAGCATCAGGTTCCGGTATTCGTGGACACCGATGGCGAAGTTTATGTGGACAGCCATGCCATCATATGCTTCATGGTGGGCAAATATGCGAAGGACGATCAACTGTATCCGAAGGATCTAAAGAGACGGGCTCATATTGACCACCGCTTGCACTACGAAAACGGGGTGCTATTCCAGGTAATCAAGGACATTGTGGCACGCAACATCTATGGCGGCGAGGGTGACCTCAACCAGAGATCGCTTACTCTCTGCCACAATGCCTACGCAGACCTCGAGCACTTTCTGTTGAAGGGGAACTTTGTCGTGGGCAACGAGCTGAGCGTGGCCGATGTTTCGATTCATACCACACTCGTGACATTGGAGTTGCTTATACCGCCGGATCCAGATCGTTATCCACATATTGCTGCCTGGCTCGAGCGCATGCATTCATTGATACCCGACAACGAGGAGATCAATCTCAAGGGAGCCGAGGCACTGAATGCACGGATTAGGAGTTGTATGGCCGCAAACAAGTTGAAGTAGACCCTCCACGAGGAATACATTCAGTTAGCGTGTTTGTTGTATATTAAACTCGAATTTATTGATATATTTTGTTAGGCTAATTGGTTTAAATCCTTTCTACAATATTTTCTGTCTGTCTTTTGATTTTTGGAAGTCAAATTTACAATTCGTGTTTTATGGATAGCTTCCTTTTCATGCAACCTACTAAATACAATTATTTACACAAGCAAGACTCTTAATTACTTTGATCTGATCTGAACGAAAGAACCGGCCACTGAGAAGAACTCGACTCCTAAGAGTTATTTTGCTGTCATCGGTCATTGATCTTCGTGATCCCATCGTGACTTCCGTTTATCTCCTATCTCCTAGCTATTTACAACACATTTGAATGAACTTGAATCACACTTATTTTGGTATATATCTCTAGCAGGATGCGGTTGCCCTCTAATCGAACGTCGTCCAGTTGTTCATACCCTTGCCAGCTGCACTTCCTGCCGTGATTATGGCCGGCTTCTGCTGCTGATGCTGCTTCTCCGCTGCGTTGGCATTTAATGTGAACTGATCCAGCCCGTATTTGCGCAGCAGCTCAAAGTCATCGTCCGGCCTAGCGGCAATGGTGTTGCGTTGAATTTGCGGCGGCAAAGGAGGGGCTCGACCTCCGGTCACAGCAGCGACTGTAGCCATGTGCTTGGGAGCGAAATACGGATAGAGTGGGTTGCTGACACTGTTGCCCGACGACGCTGCGGTTACCACACTGCTGTTGACGCCCGCTGGAAGTGTAGAAGATTTCTTGTTGAAGACTTTGCCCAGCGGAGGCATTGGCCGTGCATTCTGGTTGAGCGGGTCAAAGTCCTCCAGGTCGAAGCTGGTGTTGTTGCTATCGTCCAGCGATATCAGATCGTTCATGCTGTCCTCCAGCGGCTGATGGGGGTGGTGGTGATGCTGCTGCTGGGACTGCTGCGGGAAGGTAGGCACAGACATAGGTTGGGATTGGTTAGAATACGGTTAGAGCAGAGGGTGTGCGGATGTTTCTATGCTTCGATTTCAACTGTGCTCTCAAGTGGATGATGTACAATATGCAATAATGGCAATTGGGGACTACTTTCTACCAGTTACAAGCAGCTACGAGTAAATTAATTAAAAACAAGTTCAAAGCATTGAGTATGAATGATTAGATTAGATTCGCATTGAGAATGAATAAGGATACAGAACAGAAAAGAAGCAGGACACGTGTGTATATCCCACAAAATGCACCAAAAACAGTACAGAAGAGAGATAGAGAACGGAATTGGAAACCACTGGAAATAGGTCATTTCTTCAAGCACATTCACGAAATGTCACGATTTTGTGTCTACAGTTTCTATACAGTTTTGATTGTATTGGTGATCAAGGAATTACACACATTTCTACTTTATGTGGGGGGTCTACAACTACTCTCTTTATAAGAGAATTAATTCGTTAAATGATCAAAATGAAAACTACTTTCTCGCGAGAAACAGATGAACGGATTTGAAACTGAAAGTGAGTTAGCTACGTTGGCCAAATGAGACATGTGAACAGGTGGAGGAGGTGGCCGAGGAGGAGTCAGTCTCTACATGGGTAGGGGGGCACGTCATGTGTGTGTTAGTGTGAGATGGTATGGGGGGACCACAACCAGGATGGGCTTCTTTTCTTAGTTAATTAACGACGCAGCTGGTGTACCTCTCTCTTGGCCCTTGGTGTCGGAATGGGCGGATCGGAGACATTCAGATGCGAGAACGTTGAGGCGGCCGTCACAAAGGAGGCGCCGGAGGAGCAGGAAGACGACGTCGATGTTGTGGAAGATGCGTTGGAGTTGCGTACGGAATTGTTTGGTGCTGCTGGATCATCCTGCCAGCAGTTACGCTCCAGCTTGCTGATCTCCGCACTGACGGCGGCTGCTGTGGCGGCCACAGCATTGGAGCCGCATTGCCTTCGCGGTGGAATGGGCGGTGACTGCACATCCGGTGGACTATCAAAACTGGAGTCCGTGGTAGGCAGTGGCTGACGTGGTTTGGTCGGCGTGGAGGTGTGGCGCGGCGGCTTCGTCTCCACGTGCTGATGCGTGGCATACGGATGATTGTAGTAAAAGGCGGAGGCTGGCTGCGTGGGCTGCATAGACTGGGGAGGCGGTGGTCGAGCCGGCGGCGCTCCTCCTCGCTGAGTGCGTGTGGTGTGGTGATCTGAGCTTGGCTTAAGCTGCGCGGGTCAATGGCGATGATGTTTATGTCGTTGATGTGGTGTTGTGGCATGTGCATGTGGCATGTGTATGGTTGTGGTTTGAGTGTTTGTATGTTTGTGAGAGACATGAAGCGACAGCGACAGACAGTTGGACACAGATACGACACAAACACGGAAACAAAAACAAGAAGAGCATGAGAATAACATAAATTTCACAGTACATCGAGATGAGTGACGGACGACACGCATGGAGTCGAGTTAGCTGGGGGCAGGGCAAGCGGCAACTCAAGAATTGGCAAGTCTGGCAGCTATTGGAGCTGTTGCAGCTGCAGCCGACTCTCGTACGCCCGCACCAGACTACTTACACTGCGATCCACAGCCGGCGTCTTGAAGAGTGGATGGTTCTGCAGCTCCTGCGACAGGTTCATCTCCGACGATGAACAGAGCGAGCTCGCCGAGCTGACAGCAGGAGACGCAGCCAGATGATGACCATAATGAGCAGCAGCATGCGCCCCGTACGCATGACCGTTCGGCTGTATGTGGCTACTCGAGCTAGACATCGCCAGTGGAACTGGCCCGCGTCGTGCCCCGTACTCCCGGGGCTCTCTGGCCAGCGAGCCGTTTGTGTGACTGCTGCCGGTGCCTGTGATGGCACCCGTTCCGTGGGTGCCTCCGATTCCATTGTCTAGCCGCTTGCTGGTGACTGGCGAACTGGGTGCCGAGTGGTGGGCTGCTCCAAGACCTCTGCCACTACGGACGTATCCACCACTGCCGCCATCCGGTCGGTCCGAGTGGGTGGGCGAGCCCAGACCAAAGTGGAAATTGGTTCCGCCCAACTGGTTGCCGTTCTCTCGCAGCTTGGTCTTGAAGCCCTTGTAGGCGGTCTTCATGCCCCGCGAGCCGTCCTTCACCTAACGATTGGATGGCAAAACACACACAGGTTAGCAAGGGGACCATAACCATTGCAGAAGAAGGTCACACAAAGAGACATAATTTGGATATTCGTAGCTAGGGACTGTGACCACTCACCGATTTGACGGCAGACTTAACAGCAGGATTAGTCTGGCAGAGCGGAGTCGCAACCGAAGCAACAGAAACGAAACGAGAGCAAGTAGTACAGAAGAAGCACAGTAGTACACAGCGGGTGCGGATTACGTGCGTGGCATGAGAGATATCCAAGCGGCATATGAAAGAGAGACGAGACGGAGACACGGATACGGGCGATATACAATGTGAATGAGAGATAATGATGTCCCAATGCTGGGATATTAAGCCTAAAGCTACGCTTAAGCTAGCACTCAGTTTAATGTTTACGATGGCACTGCTGATAGAAGCTACGAGAGCAATGAGGCTTGTCGAGTGATGAATGAGATCAAGATCAGAGCCAGGGGGACAGGTAAAAGTCACCTTTGTCCCTCAGTTCTGAATGGATTTTCAGCTTAAAAAGAGCGTTAATGATGGGCACATGTATGAGTTAGTACACAGTTCTTGGGAGACTACAGAGTGAGGGGAATTCCTAGGGAAAATAGAGTATGAAAAGGTTAGGATAGATAGCAATATTAAGGGTGTAGCTACCCATAAAAATATATGTAGCGTAGATGGTTCGTTAGTCCTTACAGAGAGTGTTTTTGTATTAGTACGAAAGAAGCCTGCTTTTATTCAACAAAAACCATAACCAAGAATGTTGTTAAGCAGCGGTGGACATGCGCTTTTGGGAGTTTGGGAGCAGTCCAACAACAAGAAAAAACATTTATCAGTAAAACTCGAAACGAGCATCATGCAGAGGGAACTCTCTTTTCACTTGTGCGTCCCGAGCATTCATGTGACAGCAGGGACGTGCCCACCGCTGTTCTACAAGTTTTTTTTAGATGTACTGCCGACTAAATGAAGACTGACGGATCATGTTTAAGCCAGTGACAGATAAAACGCAAACTAACTAAAACATTCAACTATTTCATCAACGTAGGAAACTGTAGATAACTGTAGATTTTGGTTTTAGTTTTGCCAAACAGAAATTAAGTGGAGTTATGAAGAAAGTGCAGTTGCAGTTGCAGTTGCGTTTGCGATTGAAATCGCTTGTTGTTAGGACGATAAATCGCTTAGGCATATAATTTATATTGAACTAACATTTGTTGAGAGAGAGGTAGAGGTGTTGGTTTGGGGAGATAGAGTTACATTCTACTCGTTTGGATATTGGTATTTGCTATTGATGGGCTTTGTATTGTCATGGCATTTGGCCCTCTATACAAGTTCTTGGCAAACACTCGCGACACACTTCGCTTTCCCAAATAATACTGCGAAATAGAGATCAAATCAAATGTAAGAATATCATATGGAGGGAAATAGTGGGGTGGGTGATGGGAAACTTAAGCGTAGGGCGGTAGCAGGCAGGGTCTGTTAGCGGCAGAGCTTTGTTCTGTTCATTCCTTCTCCAAAACCGACAAACCCGACTTGATGGGGATGATGCTTTGGTGGTGGGGATGTGCTGTGGGATGGGATGGGCTGCAGGGAATGGTGATGGGCTTAGCGGCTAGCGGCTAGCGGCTATCGTTTGCCTGGCTCTCCTCCGCGGCTCACCTTGTCCTTGACATTCTTGAGAAAGTTGCGGCCACGCTTGCGCATCTTCTCCGCATAGCGCACGGTCTCCAGCTCAAACTCGTCGGAGAAGCCTAGGCCGCTGTTGAGCATTTTCAGGCGATCATCGATGAACTGGGCAAAGATCTGTAGCTCCATCATTTTGGCAAGAAATGGCCGCAAATGAGCCGGCCGAGATTCAATGAATTTGTCGTGGTTGAACGTCTTGCTGGTCTCGTGGTACTCAACGGCGTCCCGATAGCCGCCAATCAGCTGCACCAGCGCATTCAGAAATATCTTCGAGATGCGATCACCGATGTGGTCCTGCGTGTGATTCAGATGCTTCTTCAGCTGCGACACAATCTCCGCAGGCATGTCGTGCACATCGTCAAAGGGACTCTCAAATGTATTTGTATCACAGTTTAAGATTACAACTTCCCCGAGCTCATCCTCGGATACCTAATGAAACAGAAACACACAATCATCATAATCAACACTATGGGCAGTCCATCTACGTACGGTTTCGAGCACTGGCTTTGGCACACCAATTAAATATGGCATCGGGGCACCCAGGTAGTCTTTGAACTCCCACGGCAGCACCGGGATGAATATGTGCTGCCAGACCATGGGGAATAGGAATGCATTGGCCGCCTGTATGCACGAGGAGAGGCGATCCAGGTGTCGCGAGGTGAATATGATCCGCCGCTCGGCCAGCATGGCCGCAAACACAGCAATCATCTCCTTGGGATCCACAAAGTTGTAGTACAGACTTAGATTGTGCTGTCACGGATAACCAATAACCGAATAACAGATTAATTAATTAAATATTTAATTCGATAATGCTTGAGACTCACGTTTTCCGGCATGCTTGGCAATTGGAACTGCAGCGGACGCTCGAATATAAAGTGCTGTTTAAAAATTAAATATAAATATAATTACAACATCTAGCCGGATAAATTGGGACTTACACTCCGTCCACTGTTGTAGAACACCGTCAAGCTGCCGCCCGAGTCGGGCACTCCACGATTGTAGGCCTCCGACAGGAACGTCTTGAAGCCAGTCGCATCGGTTCGCCTCAACTCCGCTAGCACGGGCAACAATTTCAGGAAGGTGTCGTGCCACGGCAAGTAGGTGATCAAAACCATCGCTGTGTTCGCCTTGGGATCGTGTCGACAGAAGCCAAAACGCCATTTTGAGTCGCCGGTGGTGTGGACAAAGGAATACGATTGCACCGATTCGCTGTGTGGATGATAAAAGATGATATGCACACATAAGTAAATGAAGAATGAAGCACAATTGGGTTTAATCTAGGGAAACATTTGCAAATCTCGGTCATCAGTTGTAGTAGGCTACAGAGCTATTTTTGTATAGAGTCTCTTGCTTTATAGATGATCGTTTTTAATGCAACAGATCTACATGTATTATTTCGCATCACAGTTCTGCATCACTTTTATTAGATCAAAAGTGGTCCAAAGTTCGCCAATTCCCCTGGAAGGTTATTCATGAATCGTTTTCCCTGTTCGCATCCGCTTGGGAACACCTCATCGTCCATCGCATGGCCTTGTCTTGAGTTGCCCAATGGCTTGCCATGCCTGATAAATTGTAAACAGATGTACAAAGTACAACAGACGAAGAACAGACCTCCAAAATCCTCTTGGAGACTCACTTCAATGACTAACGCTAACCGTTGGCGCGTTAAGTCTGCTTTCGTCTTCTTTTATTTCGGCTCTTAACCCACATAAAAGTGATTTCGCAGCGCACTGACCACGCCAACAACATCTACGCGTCTGTACACATATACAACGCGAAAAGCCGCACAAAACGTCTGATGTGAATTCAAAATTAATTATTAAAACATACAAATCATTTGAATTTCATTCACTTCGTCCGTTAAGCTTTCCCGTGATTTGTGCATTTAATTTTAAGCGGCCCTTTCAATACCCTTACTATATTATTTTGCTGTAAGTGCAACTGTTTTCTGTCATTAATTAACAGCTTTCTTAGTGATTCAACAACTGAGATAAATTTCTCAAGAATATTTCTTATCAATTAATAAGAAATCGAGGAACAGTTTAAAGCGTAAAATAATGTATTTTGGTCGCTTGCACTCGAAATGGTTTTCGCCTTGACTTTTTGACTTGTTTCCGTTACTTTGCTGTCCGTTATTCTGTTCGATATAGGAGCGAGTAAGAAGTGTTGGTGGGTGCAAGTTAAAGGGAAGGGAAAATGTTGAATAAAGAGTATCGAGAGCACCAAAGCTACCCTTTTAGCATAGATTGTGTCTCTCTTTCATATTTAAGCATTCAAAATGAATGGCAATTTCGCAAGTCTAAGCCACAATGATGGAGCAAAGTCCTATTACCAGAGAGCACGTTTCCCATTGTCCACTAACTTTGCATATGTCTCGAGTCGAGTGTTTTCTGCGCTTTGCGGAGCGTTACATAAAGAGTTGTTAGATTTAAGTGTTTCGGATCCGATCGTGTCATTATTTAATTCAATATGCAAAGGCAGACCGGCCAACGACAAACAACAAACAAAGCGCAACTCATGCGGGTGTTGGGACAAGGAAATTGGATGTACGGACGGATGGACGGTACATTGACTTGGACTTGACTTTCGTTATCGCTACTGCTCTGCGTGTGCTTCAAACTGCTTTTGTTGGAGAAAATCAACAAAAATTGATAAGCTGTAGGTCAAAGCGTTTTCAGGCAATATTTACTGGTCTAATTAATTTGTAGCGAAGAACAGAAAATATAATTGCTTTCAATTGTTGGCTTTTCGGAGTATTTTAGTGATTAGAAGGGTACTCTACTCCTGGTACTGGTACTGAGCAGTACCAGCTGCAGAGATAAAGAATAAAAAGGGTTGCGAACGTCGAAAGGTTGCAAAGATTTCGGGCATGACTAAGTCCGTAAGGTTGAAGAACGCGGATGGCGTAGCTAGCAGATTGATACAGTTGCAGACGACAATCCAGGAAATAAAATGACGAATGGTGCTCAACAAAAAAGAGCATTGAATAATGATCGTACGTTATGCGAGCAGGCCGTGTAAACAAATGCCAAAAACACAACAGCACAACAGGTTATACATACATTTGTATGTACGCTTCATGGACGGAGTGGAGTAGAGTGGAATGGTAGTGGTTGGTCATATGAATCATCAATGGAACATTCACAGGCAGCTGCCTGTTTTTGTTTTTGTGGCCGTTGTCTATGGGATGATCGCGATGCCAACCAAAGTCGACGGTGAGTCTTGCGCAAAGGCAGCGAGCACCAGCAACAGCAACAGTGCCAGTGTGTTGCATATTGTTTATAAATGGACGTCTCTGACTAATGCCAAGTGACCGGAAACACGCAAAGAGCAAAGAGGGGATACTCACATATAGAGTGAGGGAGGGAGGGAGCAGTGAAATACGCACCTTTCGAGATCGCAGGGAAACGCAAACGATGGTATGCCGGTTAGCACCTCTTTATCGCGGAATCCTTCTGGGAAGCTCTCCACGATCACGCCTGCGGGAGTTGCGGCGGCGCCGTTCCGTGGGCTTGTTCCGCGCTCCAGGCCGGGTGTGGGCTTGATTTCGCACCAAAACTCGAAGAGTTTCTTTACATCGTTCCTGTCGATGACAACAGAGCACAGCAATTATGAAGTTGGAGTTGTCATTTATAAATATTATTATGCACGACTCGTGAGAGTAGGAGCAGGGGGCGAAAAGTCGGCTCGGTTCTATCATTGACTGGCCAGGCAGGCGGCAGCCAAGCGAAACGCCCACTGCAAGCAGGCAAACGGCAGGTTGAATGGGAATATACTCACTTGATACGCGATCCCATTTTGAAGCGTAGTTGATGTTTAGCACATGTTTTCCTCTCTCAGTGGTATTGATTTTAAGTTTGTTGGTGTTTTTACACAATTTTAATACTGATTATGCTGTCAACCAGCCCAGCATACGGGTGGGAAGCAGATACAGTCCACTTTTCTTGCTCTTTCTCTTTGTCGATTCGGATTCGTTTCGCGACGTCATTGAATCATTTTCGTTGTTTTCTTGTTTTACACGTTCACTCACTGCCCTGCTGAACTACTTGCACGAAGGGAGGGGATCACTGCACAATAAAATGCTGCCACACACATACGATGAGCCACAATATATTATTAATTCACTTGAAACCCTTATTTTTATGCAAGCAATTTCGGAAGGCTACAAAAAAAACGCGAAACGCACCCGAAATGACATGGACGGGGCCCTGTTATCGAATATGCTGCCATCGAAATATCGCAACAGCTGTGCACCTATCGATGGTATCGCGGGCGTATTCGATGTGCAGCAGATCAGCTGTTGGTGCTTCGATTCGAGTTATTGGCGTTGGCGTGTTTTTGTTAGTTTGTGTGTGTCCACATTATCATTTATTTACAACAACAAACAAATGGGTTTTGTTAATATTGTTTAGCTGTTTGTGCGCAATAAAATGCATCATATTTGTAAGCTTACATAAGTGCGTGTCTGCCCAGCAGTTGCTTGCTATATAGAATTGTTCTGTGCCCAGCGACAAAAAGTACAGCAAAAAAGTAAGCAAAGAGTGTTATAGTATACATCCGCATGTATTCGGTTGGTTGGTTTCGTCATTCTTGGCACCGTAATTGCCAGCACCTATAACACCCACTAAATATGTCGATGAGTATCCAATGGTTGCCCACTCGCACCCATGGCCGCGTCTGGGTTGTCTATTGATTTTGGTTGCTGCACGTGATGATGCCGTTCGAAGCCACCTCGAACGGGGGTCAGTCATTAGTATCCGTACACCCACTGCAGCTAACTCAAACAGGCTTTCGTCTCACTCGTGTTTCACATCAATAATATAAAAATCATTCAAAATTATTGTCCAAATTTTATTTAAAAATTTTTATTTTCCGTTTTTCAAGGTAAGCGCACTTTTTGGACCGTTATGCAAAGCAGTAAAATTGGCGGTGACCGGACACTAAATTGTAGCAATAGCAATAGCCATATCACTTGTAGCGTAAACTCTTTTCACAGTATCGAATTGTAGTAGTGATAAGCATTAGTTTAGATACGGCTTGATTGCCAGCCATGTTGTGTGCTCTTGCCCGCGGACCCCACCACCTAAAGGTAGCGGCCGTCTACTACAATCTCTCCGACTTGCTATGCACAAGTCGCGGCTGTGCCGTCCAGGCTGTACGCCTGGCGTCCGGCAGTGCCAGCAGGAGAAACAGCAGCCACCAGCACCAACATCATCATCATCAACTACAACCCCACCGAGAACTGCTGTGAGTGAGACAGATAAGAGAGCCGTTAACAAACTTGTGTGTCCCATTCAAGGCATGTGCCAAGTGCCAAGTGCCATGTTCTATGCCCCATGCCCGCTCTTGATAATGACTCGCTCAATCAAAATCCATATGCATACATTAAACACAGCCACGATTAGATATGCCACCTCCTTGTCCAAGTACTTTCGTACTTAGCCATAACAACCAGTGACTGTGGACAATTTCATTCATGCTATTCATACAACAATTGTTATAAATGATTTCATTCCTGATTTGATTCCACCCTTCCAGTTGCCGCTCGTCCCGTTCTCGTGCACAAAGTTCCAAATTAGCAGTAAGAAAGTTTCACTCGGAGCCAGTCGCGATGTTCTACTCGATGTACGCGTACCTCTCAAACCTGCCGCGTCTTCATGTGCTCGGCCTGGCCATTATTGCCTATGTAGTCTATTACCTAATCCAGGTGGTCAAGGTGAGTGCGATGTCGTCATTTCCCGTGGCTGGCTAATGCAATATAATTACAGCGACCGATAATCGCTTGTTCGGACGGGCCGTTCAAGCAATACCTGATTCGGATGGTGCCCACCCTGGAGAACAAGTACTGGCCCACTTTCTGGTGCGTTGAGAGCCGTGCCCAGACCGTTCTTGCGAGCCTGCTGCGCTCCAAGAGTCTGCCGCGAATCAATTACCGCCGCGAGATACTCAGCCTGAAGGATGGCGGAGAGGTGGCCTTAGACTGGATGGACGAGGGCTGCAACGAGAATGCTCCTTGCATTCTCATACTGCCCGGACTGACCGGCGAGTCGCAGGCGGAGTACATCAAGTGTCTGGTCCTCGCCGCTCAGCAGTCCGGAATGCGAGTGGTGGTCTTCAATAATCGCGGCCTCGGTGGCATTGAGCTGAAGACACCACGGCTCTACTGTGCAGCTAATTGTGAGGATCTCTGCGAGGTGGTTCAGCATGTGAGGAAGGTCCTGCCGTCTCACTGCAAACTGGGGGCCACAGGCATTTCCATGGGGGGCCTGATATTGGGCAACTATTTGGCACGCAAGAGCGAGGAGGCCCGTAGCATTCTGTCGGCGGCCAAAATCATCTCTGTGCCGTGGGATGTCCACAAGGGCAGCGCCAGCATTGAGAAGCCAGTTATCAACAGCCTGCTGGGTCGCCATCTTGCTGGCAGCCTGTGCCGAACGTTGGCCAACCACTTGGAAATTTACAGGGACATCTACCAGGACTCGGACATTGACATACAGCGCATACTGCGCTGCACAACCATCAAGGAGTTCGATGAGCTGTTCACCGCCAAGCAGTTTGGCTATGCCCATGTCAACGACTACTACACGGATGCCACGCTCCACAACAAGCTGGATCACATCTCAGTGCCGCTCCTCTGTCTGAGTGCTGCCGATGATCCGTTCCAACCGTTGGACGCCATCCCCGTCAAGGCGGCCAATCAGTGTACCCATGTGGCAATTGTTATCACGGCGCGCGGAGGCCACATCGGTTTCCTAGAGGGCTGGTGGCCGTCCACAAGGGATCAATACATGGGTCGACTGTTCACGGAGTACTTTACCAAGGCCCTCTTTGACGTGGATGGCGAGTTTCAGCACACCTCCAACAAAATGCACGAACGCTTTCTGGCCAAACAGACACTGGCTCTGGCTGCGTCCCCACTGCTCTTAAACAAGAAGGTGGAAGTGGTGGAGCATCTAGACCACAAGGTTAAGCTCATGTAGAAGCTGTTTGATGCGAGCATCACAATACTCTTGCTCAACTATTGCCTAACTAGAGGCGTTTCGTTTCTTTACGATAAACTAAACAAAAATAAACAAAATTACCTGCGCATACATGAATTCCGTTTGCGATTCCGAAGACTTTCCGAACACATGTGATAGATGAATAGTTGTATGGAAAAAACAATTGATCAAAATCCTAATCCAAAGTGTTGTAATACTCAGTAAGTCAAAGTCAGTTAGGGGAACAAAACAAAACAGGATGCTGTAGAGATGCTTAAATTATTAATAGTATTCGTGACATTAGGTACATATCAGATTGGAATAGAGACAAAAAGCTTTACGATTCTTAGACGTAAATTCAAAATATATGTGACACAATGCAATAATCTTATATTTTTACAAACTCCGTATATTTAACTAATAAAAAATACAACGCTTAATAAAGAGAACAAATAAAATACACATCCCATGCGACTTGGCAGGCGAGATACGAGTGAATATGGATTACCATGAACACTCACTCATTAAACCCAGATTCTTATAGCTAAACCAGATGACCATCTGTCTAAATGGGCTTGTAGAGCAACGTCGTCACGTATTTCTTGCGGTAGCGATGTGTGGCACTCAGCACCATGACTCCCTCCTTGATGGATAGAGCATACAAGTGATTCAGCATCACGTGGTTTGGTTCAGGCAACAATGTGGGCTCGCACTGCAACAACGAGTTGTAAAAGAGATCCCAGTAAGATGAGATGCTTATCGATATACTGCGGATAGTCAGTCAGTCAGTAACTCACCGAGAGAGGAGTGTCCTTGTTTAGGATGACCTGCAGCAAGTGGGGCGGCAGCACGGGAGGGCCGGACACCTTCTCCCAGGGCTTGGCCTGCGGCACCTCCTGCGAGTACTCCTTCTCCGCATAATTGGTCACGTTCTCGCTGTCTTTGGCCAGAGCTTGGAATACCTCGAAATCGGATGGCCGCACAGACACCAAATTGTTCTTCTCTCCCTCATCGTTGTCCACGCTTTTCTGTAATGCAAAACAATGAGTAATAGCAATTGATTGTAATTACATTCCATTCAACTTCATTACAGTGGTGTCTATAAATATTCGTTCACATTACATGTGTATGTATTAAAATTGTTGTTTCATAATGTTTACATTTTTCTCCCATTAAAATAAGTAAAAACTGTGGTGGAAAAATGGCCAAATGCTCATCTCTCACATTGACACCCAATAGTGATTACCCTGGGGCTTTCGCTCTTGTTTACTGCGATTACACAACAGCAGCAACGAAAATCAGTAACTGCGTCATTCGAGTGGAGCCCCAAAGAATCTACATATGATATGTAAGTACATATAGAATATCGATTTTCCCTAATTGACTCACCAGCTTTGGATCGTGCTTCCATTCGCCGTCCACACAAAATTTGTACTGGTGGTCGCCCTCGGGCAGATCGATGATGGTCACAAAATTGCCATGGCTGCGGACCATTGTGATGGGCCGCCAGTTGGAGAAGGTGCCCGAGATGGTCACATTCTTGCCACCGCCATCCCAGCGAAGGACTGTGGGCAGGGCCGTTTTCGGTGGCTCGTCGTCGTCACCGCCAATCCCAGCAATTGGGTCCAGCAGTGATCCAGCGGCCTGCTGCTCTTCTTCGGTGTTATCCATGATTAATTTCTCTCCACTGCCGCTGCGTAGAACAGCTGTTGCTTCGCTGCTATCAGCTGTGCGTTTTGCTCCCGCCCCCGCGCCCGTATAATACGGGTCGTCGTCGTCTTGCGATGAGCCTTCGTTCAAGACTGCTGTATGTTTTTTGTCGAACGTGAAAGCTTGGCCTCCCGCTCCAGTTCCAGCCAAAGCTGCACTCCCGCCATGTGCGCCAGCCGCCCCACCACCCCCAGCCGCGCTTGAAACCGAGTCACGAAAATGTGCGGGAGAACTTGGCGTTGAGAGGTCGGTGGATTTGTGGCGCTCTCGCATATGGACGGTGGAGCTGCCCGCATTACCCATATTGTAGAGCAGTTATTGCCGTCGTCGCAGTCTTTCTAGAAGGTTACGGCTCGGCTCGCCTCTTGACGAAATCAGTTCTCGATTCTCTTGCTGTTTTGGCACTTTACTTTGTTTTCCTTGGCACGTCTCTCTCGTTTTTGGCTTATTCGCTCTTTCGTTTCCGTGTTTTGTTTGGTCCAATACACTTTTTACGGCTCGGAGTTACGATTTGTTTCGATGCAAAAGCAATATTTGGCATTTAATACGCAGAAAACGGCATTATTCAATCGGTTGTCTCGCCAAAAATGGCTAATTATAAACAATTTACATATGTATATTCGCAGTATGCGGACTTGTCGATCAAATATACCGTCGGACCCTCAAAAATATACCAAATATACCTTTCCATTACAAAATATACCGTACATATACCGAGGAAAATAATTTTCCTCAAGTTTGATGTTCTTCTTAATATTACAAGCTCATTAGGACACTCACCACTAAAAATATAATTTTATTCGTTTGTTAACAAGATTGTCTATAAGATTGGTTAAGTTTGAGGACGCTCTTTGATACGATTCTTTATAAAATATGAGTTTAGCAAGAAAGCTCAACAAAAATTGTATTTTTTGTACACGATAGCTCGGTATCGGTATTTTTGTGCGATAACCGGAGCTTATTGCCGTTTTATTTTGAACATTTCAGCAGACCTTAAAAGACCAAGCAAATACATCGAAATATAATTTTTCCAATATAAATTCTATAATTGCATGCCAGAGCCGTCCTCCCCCAACAGTGTCTCCCCCGGATCTTCTATCCTGTCCAGTTTTTTCTTCTTATTTTCGACTGCCCGATTGCTTTATGAACGCACGTTTCAACTATATGTATATTTGTACTAACGAGCAGGTATATTTCATGCTTGAACAGTTAAAACGTTTTCATTAGGCCCTCTCTCTTCAATAGGGGACATTATTTCATACCGAAGCTCGTATCCAAGGGAATGCTTTCCCGCGTACGATGGAGCTTAAGAGCATCTATGCTTCGGATTGGGAAAGATTCTATTTTTCGCAATACATAATATCAAAAATGAATTGATGTACAGGTTTCCAATTGCCAAGTAACAATGACAGCGATCAAATCGTTTTCGCAAATCTCTGTGATATTGCTTGCATGCGCAGTTTTTGACGTAAGGAGGGAGACGGACCAAGGATCTTGGCCCATGCTAACTGAATATGGCTTCCTCTTTCAGGTCAGCTGCAAATTCGAGTTCACCAATCTGAAATGTACGACCTTAGAACGAGAGTTTGTGGAGTTTGACAAGTGTTTTCTGAAGTCTTACAACCGAACCTACAAATACCTCACCGTTAGCACCAATATCCACGTGCTCCCGCTGAACAGTGCTACCGTTAGTAGTTTTCTCCACCTAAACTTCGATCGTCATCATCATCCAGTGTCATTCCAGGTCCATACGCAGGTGTTCAAGCGATTGAACGGCTACAAACCATTCCTGTTTAACTTCACAACCAACGCCTGCGTGATATTGGCTGGGAAAATGAATCCGACGACTCGATTCTTCTTTGGGCTGATTTCCCCCTACTCGAACTTGAACCATTCCTGTCCCTACGATGTGAGGTCATACATACCTATAATACATTGCAGCTCGACTGATGATTTTCGCTTTAATATTCACAGCATGACGTATTTGTAGAGAAGCTTCCGATCAGCTTTATGAACGAGAAATTCACCAGGGTTCTGCCATTCCCGGAGGGTGAATACTGCGTCAAAAATAAATTCTCCTACCGTGGAACACCACGAGCTGAGATCGCGGTATACGCACGCATTTTCTAAATTGAAACGCTTTTAGCTCTATCACCTTATAATAGCACTAACCATACAGTAGGAAGAGGTTGCACAAAAACGTACCAGCAGGAATTGGAGCGAGAACTACAAGAGGTCTTCGGCTGTGGTCGATCACAGCTTCCAAAAAGTTTAAACTTCGATTGCGGTTGCTCGAGCAAGCTTTCGATATACGAAAATCAAAACGAGAGTCACCGTGTAGTTACTATGTAAAAATAATACAAAAAATACCTTCTTGTTTAAACTTTATTCGATCAATAAACTAATAAAATAAGTTCTTAATTTTAACATATCATCTAAAAAATTAATTCATCAATCGGATTCAATTATATTTTCAGTGTGCAGAGCTTTTATTAGCTTTTAATATTTAATCGAGTATCAATCTTGAGGAATATAATTATTATCGGTATGTTTAAGATATATTTGAAAAATATCGGTACATTTTCGATATTTGATCGACAAGACCGCGCCACTAACCATAGAGTATATACTATATCCGCGCTCACACTGGACTGGTTAGTTTTGTTTCACTGTTTTTCTTGTGTTGTCGTCGGTTCGATCGCTGCCGAAGCGTGAATTATTTCGATTTGCGGTTGTTGTGCAAGTGCAAGGCAAGGCAAGTCACGTACCCGTACTCGTACCCGTACCTGCCGTTGCAGTAAATAAACCAACAAAAATATACAAATCAATGCACCAAATAAATAACGATCGATGCGGCGATCTTTGATTGATTAACACATCACTCACTAATACACACTGCAACTGCACTGCACTGCACTGCTTTGTGTGGGAGTGCCCAAAAACAAACGTTAATAATAATAAAAAGTGCCGCGCGACTTTGATCGTGTGTCGGAGTCCACCGCCTGCCAGCCCTCCAGCCCCGGCCGCGAGTGCGTGTTGTAACTTTTGATTAGCTGCGGCGTTGGAGTCGAAACGGATTGGATCTGAGGCTTCTTCCACTACAGTGCACCTCTTTGGAACATTGCGCTGCTTGAGATTTTCGTAACTTATCGCCGCCCACATCTCGCCGTTGCTTTGTTGTTGTGCTTCTTACGGAGGTGAGTGTGGAATGCCTGTTATCCTCTTTCAGGGAATCCAAGAGCTGCAATAATTGAGCACGACTTTGGGATACCCTCAGGATATATAACCTACACACAGAACATTGGCTAATTAGTGTTTGTTCAATAGGATGGGGAACTTACATATATAGAAGATAGTCATAAATAAAACTCATAATTAATGTAGATTCTATGGAATGCTCGATCCTTTTTTAATCCAAAAACATACATCATACCGCCTTGGCCTCAACAAGTACAGGGTACCATAACAAGCAGAATACCTCACGAGTTTTGTTGAAATGCTCACTGGAATTGGCAATGCCGATGCGCATTCATTTTGGAATTGCGAATTCCCTGCACATGCCACAAGCGGAAGATGCCATACCATGGGCCAAAAAGTGAAATTTACGACACTTTACGACTTTTGTAATTATTGGCACAGACCCACACACAACAAATACTTGTGGTGCATATTATCATGGGGGATGGGACTGGATTGGGATTGTTCTGCGAATATCGATGTGGGCCGATGCCAGCGGATGCGAGCACAGATGAGATCATTTCTAAAACCGATGCCGCGCAAAGGCCCAAACAATGGCCAAAAAGGCAAAGATCTTGTATGCGCTTTGTAAAGCCATTAATCAAGCAGCAAAGAAGAGATGTCGAATCCAATCCCAGTGTTGTTTCTGGCTTTGTGAGTCACCGCCACCTGTATCCCAAAAACCGAATCCAGAATCCAAGAACTTCTTAGCTTTCCATTAGTCATTTGGAGAATGCTGACCGCTGTGCCTCTGACTCTCATTCCATCGCTTGTTCGGCAGCGGAATCTAATTAATTCTCCTTTGTTTCCATCAGTAAGTGTTTGTCTCAACTAAATGCTGGCCGGCTAATGACCGATACGCATCTGAAGCGCATATGTGGAGGTCTTTCAGCGGTTCAGTGTAATCGATTGGGCCAAACAGCAGCGTCATCTTAGGATTGAACGCAGGTGGAAGCCCCCCACACACAGAAGAAACAGAAGAAGTGACCTTGAGGGTAATAACTCACCCGCGACACCCGCATCACCCCCTGCGACCATCGGTTAGTCATGCGCGGAATGCAGCCGAGCAGCATTGCCAGCTGCAAAGCAAAGGCCAAAACCGGATGGCATCTACCAACATAACATCTAACGTCTAATGTCTAACACACATACGCTTGTACACACTTCCATGTACTGTATTATATCTGCTGGCGGCCCACACCACACCACACCACACCACACGGACACGCAGGTTCTCTTCTCCATAACATATTTAGGAGCATTATGGCATAAAGTTTTATTAACAAATTCCAGCTGCTGATAAACAAAACAAAAAATGCCAATAAGCCGCGTACAGCACCGAAAAATAACAACAAAAGAGCCAAGCAAAAACAACTAAAAGTGAGAATGTGCGCAGGCAAACGAAACCAGAATCAGAATCGTAGTCGGGCAGGTTTCTCTAATGGTCTGCTGCGGGGGGAGTTCGGGGGCGTTCAGGCACACATCACATTTGGCTAAAACAAACTGGTTAAGAGTACTCACACACACATACACGGATAGACACTCTACACTCTACACAGTGGCACTGCGATGGGCAACCTCGAAGTCGGTCGAAGTCGAAGTGAGGAGAAGGGCAGGGTGTTGGTGCTGGTGCTGGTGCTGGTTCCACCTTGAGGCGCATCTTGACTCCTCTCAGAAGTCATTTGGGAATGTCACAGTCGAACAGAAATCCATTTGTAATTTATGCACTTGCTCCCCCGACTCCCATTGCCATTACCCATCCAGATCCGTGTCTCGACCGTATGTGCAATATTTCTGTACAGTGATTAGCATATCGCATTCCTAATCGTTAGCCAAATCGTTAATACCTCCCCGTGTTTACTTTGATGTTTTATTATTCTGTTTACGCTTACGAGTGCAAGTGCGAGTGCCAGATGAGGTTTCCTTTGCTGCCTTTGAGTTCGTTGCCTAAGTCTTTCGTCTTGGTCTTGATTTTTGGAGATTGGCATTTGAACGGCGTACATTTCATGGTCATACTTGTAGATTTGTAAGCGGTCCGTGTAAACGGCCATAATCGCCCATCTAATTACGCAAAGAGCCAAAACAAATGCGAGGGACGGGCAGCAATCAATTTACGAGTATTGGTCGGGTCGGTTGGCTGCTACTCGTACAAATGCGTGAAGCATTCGAAGTCCATCTCTAGTCCGCTCTGACCTTAGCCACTTGGCTGGCAGCTAGATTGCTGGCCCGAATCGCAGACCCAATTGCTCTAGGAAAAACGATTAGCCAACACGCAACAACATGGCCCAGAGAAAAACAATAAAGAAATCAAAGAATCGCCAACCGATTGCTGGTCCATCTACACAGGTCGAAAGAGAGTTTGCCAGAAAGCTATTCAGCGGAGTTTTCATCAACCCAACTCAAAGTTGGATGAAAGTTAGATGCTATCCCCGTTCCCTTGCCCCTGCCCCTGCCCCTGCCCCTCCCCCAGCAGCCATGAGCAAATGATAGAAATGAAGAAATGGAATTTGCCGCTAACGACTTTTGAGCAGCAACTTTGTAAAGATTATGTATATGCGAGTATTTGTGAGTGTTTATGTAAAGCCTGGACAGGTTTTTGCAACTCATCAATAAATTAACAGGTGGATGTGACTGCGACTGTAACGCCCCAGCCCCAGCTCCAGCTCCAGCCCCAGCCCCAAAGATGAATTGCACGTGAAACCCCGTCAAGGAGAAGGGCATGATTTAATGTTTATAAATATAATTTACGCTGACATCAAGTGGAGCTGCGATGTCCCTCCTTTGTTAATATAAATAAATATGTACATTCATATGTACCCCTTCCCTGTCCCAACGCTCGCTTCTAATACCGAAAGCCCACTCAGCCGAGACGGCCATCATTTAATCTCGCGACTGTTTGCTATTTCTGTTACTGTCGCCTGACAGATTGAAATATGATCTTATAGGCAAAGTTTACGGCGGGTACAACGAACAAATTGTGTGCTTGGAGAGGCACATCTAGAGATCAAGTTTAATGGCCACAAAGCGGCAAGCAAAATAAACATTTTGGTTGCTTGTTTGGTGGCGTCTGGGTGAACCTCTGGCCTAACCCCAGTCCTAGCCCTGATCCCCAGCAAACCCGTGTAGCTCGTTCTGCCGGATTCTTGTGAAAGTTTTTGGTTGGAAATCAACCGCTAAGCAGCGAAATTCATTTGATTTGGGAAGCATACTGAAAGCGAAAGACCCAGAGGCGGCTGCACAAGTTCCACAAGATTAAACGATGGTTCCACTTCCACTGCCATGGATCGTCCGCTAATCAACGGAAATTCAACGGAAAGAGACATCGCTGGATTCACTCGTTCATATCGCTTTCATAATGGATAGAAAACCATCGAAAGTGACAAGTTTCTGTTTACTCATCCGCAGGTATTGCATTCCGAGGCATTCCGTCGAGCATTCCGCGGCATTCGAGCCGAAATCGAAGGTGAAATAGAAACACAAATTGAAAGAAAAAATCAATGAAAACCCCCTGGGACCTGAGTCAACTTTCACTGTCCGCAGGCCGAATAAGTTGTCGAGTGTTGTGGATGGACTTCATTAATTAAATTGATTAACGAGCATTAGCACTTGCCACACGATCTGATCTGCCTCCGTTTGCGGCCACCAGCGATCGTTCGCCGTTCCATTGCCAGATCCATTGCTCTAGGCCATACTTATAATGGACTCACTATAATGTTTGTCAATCAAACAATCATTGACGACCAACCACCACCAACTGGGGATCGGAACTGAAATCGTGTGGTGCGTGACATTAAAGTTGGGAAATTTCGCGCCAACAGCAGTGCCGCAGCAGCACTCGCATTATCGTCTGAGGAGATGGCTTTCGCACCTCCCAGTAGTAGTCTCAAACCCAAAACAAGCAACAAGAGTCACATGAACACACCAATCGCTCATCGTTCATCAACAAGGCATGATTAGAAAGTTTGTGTGCACGGCCAGTCGCCAATCCTCCCAAAAGCAAATATGTCTTTCGGATAGCTAACTATTTTATTGGATAATAAAAATCTGCTAATATGGAGGAGCGCTTATGCTATAGATCTCAGCTGGCAGCTCCTGACCTCTCCCTTGATTACACAATCGATCGCCTCTCTCGGCGCGCTGCCTGGCGCAATTGATTCCATTTAAAATCAATTTCAACTCTTTTACCTAACAATTTTGTACTTAACTGTGCCGTGGCTGTGCTTTCAGCCATTCGAGTCTGTTCTCTAATTTTGGCCAACTGCAAATGGAAATGGAGCGCGCGCGCATAATTTCGTTAAGGTATTTTGGTCAAAAGTGTTGGGGTTTGCGGGCTTTGATTTCGTTGCTGGCTGCCACGAGTAGGCGCGGCCACAGGCAATACACTTGACGCCCGAATCGAAGTCGGAGCTGGGAGTCTAAATCGGAGCCACCCGATAGCATCGATTTATCGCCATACCAATAATAGTTGACTATATTTTTGTTTTGGGGCCAGTAACCGGTTTCCGGTACAAATAGAAATAGCCACAGATACAGAAACCCATACAAGAAAGCAACAAAAATAAAATACTCGTTGTGGCTGTGTTTGTATTTTGAAAATTGTATCTCAGGCCCGAGACATGAATGAGCTTTTCGAATATTTCGTAACCAGTTGGACTGCATTTTTTCCACTCTTCCACTCGTCTCCACTCGTAGTTGTGGGTTGTGGGACGGGGGGCATGGAGATGGAAATGGAAATGGAGTAGCGTGGCCAAATGCTTATGTCCGCAGCTATGCCGCGCCATAATCGATATCCCATTGGTGCGAAACCAAGTCAAGTGTTCTCCCATCTGTTCCCAAGTGTTGTGTGTGCCTCGAGCAGAGTGGAGTGGCGTGGCGTGGAGTGGAGTGCAATCGAATTGAGTTTAAGATTTTCAGTTTAATTGCGTGTGAATTGCATTTGAATGGGGTCTGTTTTGCTTGGGGTCTGAAGAGTAGTTTGCTAATTACATTTCAGTTCTAATTAATGGAAATGCCAAGGAACTCGAGACTAAATTCAGTTCAAGTAATTGCTGTAATTCAAGTAATTTACTGCCATCCAGCTCCAGGTTCCCTCTCTTCGTTAGCGGGAATTTGGCCAACTCATGATGGCAGCAGGCAACAGTTGGAACACGCAGGCCCATTCGGAGAATACATGGCCAGCACCTAGGTCTCCCACAGCTGCGTCTGTCCAGCTGTGCGCTCGATTCGAGGTTTTGTTGTGCCCCGAAATAAATGCCAACTGGCATTAAGTTTCCCCATTTGGCCAAGTGGTTTGTTCTAGCTGCTCCAGTTACGCGTCTCTGCCTTATCTGAGCTCTTTTGGTTGACCATCCACAGTGTGTGTTTGTTTATTGTGTTAATTAACATTTTGTACATGCTTTTCGATATGGTTTGGTTTCGCTTTGGCCGCCTCAATGTCAAGCCATGTCGCAGCTGTCCGCTCTCAATGCCAGACGATGGCCAAGCCAGCAATGGATGGCTGGAAGCAATAGTAATCAAAACCAGACGAGACGGTCACCCAACGCCGAAGCAGCTGTCTCAGCTTTTGCTCGGAAGTTGTCGTAACGGTAGCGGCTTATAAAAATATCCACAATACATGTGCATTTATGGCATACAAGATAGAAACATATTTCTGCGGGCTCTGGCATTGGACACTGACTGGGAGATTAAGTTGTGCTTTTGCCTGCTGCCTCAAATCTTAATTGTTGTCGGTATTGCTACTTGTTCTCTCCGCAAGCTCTCCTCCACCCAAGAGATGTCACTTGGAAAAGTGGAGCAACAGCAGCAGCGGAATGGTCAAGAGAGGTTGTCCGCTCTCATTCCCGTGGAGTGGTAGAAATTTGGCCAATCAGCGGACAGCGGACAGCGGACAGTGGAACGAGACCAACTAACATCAATTGTCGATGATTTATCTTTGGGGGCCACAACAAACAGCACAAATTTCATGCAGCATGCAATTTGTCTGTCCAAAACTGTGGCACCACACACAAAAAAACGAGAAAAAAAACAACAATTGTCGGTGTGGCATATTGTGGTTTGGTGTGCCGTGCCGTGCCACATTTTGACGCCCATTTCAGCGCCATTTATCAGAGTGCCTGGAGGCATGGAGGCAGGTAGCTGCCATTAGGTTTTGCTCTGCTTATTTATGACAAATCATTAGCCAGATTTCTGGGCATTTTGTCTGTCTCAAGTTGAAGTTTGGCCCGACAGCTGTCATTGGGATCGTTGATTAGTTTGTTGAACGCCAAAGCCTTCGATTTCTCTGCGCTACTCGGATGGAGCGGGGGTGGCAGCGTTGTTCCCGTCGAGCATTGAACTGCGAGCACTTCACACGCAGCTTAGCAGCTCCCATCGATGGGTGGGTCTGTCCCACCAAAATATGTACTTACTATGTATCCATCTAAAAAAGAGAAACGTCGTATCTGTCGACACTTTCTGCAACGAAACGAATCTCTTAATGGACCCGCGGCAGCGGTGGTGTTGCCTGGGAAATTTCCTTGTCATTGTTTTGGACGTTGCAACAAATCATTTTCACAGATCTCCATCTCCATCTCCATCGCCATACCAAGACCCCAAAAATTGTGCAATTCTCTGGCTAAACTAATAAATATTTCTGTAATTTTCAGGTGCTGAGATGTGTGGCCCTACCATCGCTGTGTACCCGAAGATGTGCTGATCTTACATATATTATTATTATATAATATACCGCCAAAATCCCCGTGCAAAATCAAACATTCCACCAAACAAAAAGAAAAGAGAAAGAGCGGGAGAAGAAATTGAATAGAGACGCGGTGCTAATGCGAAAAGAAACTCCCCGAGAAACGCCAGAAATTGTAAAGAAATCAATTATACCAACACAAAATGTCTATGAATAGGGGGAAAGATCCCCAGCCGGAGCGACAGCCGAAGCACCGCACCAGCAGCCGCTCCCTGGAGGGCTTCGCTTGGGGCACTCTGCTGGCAGTGCTCGCCACCTGGTGTTGCCTCGAAATGGCCGAGGCACACGTGGCCCTCACCTACCCACCAGCACGGCAATACGATCTGGACTTTTTGGACAATTCCCGGACCAAGGCGCCCTGTGGCATGCCCAAAGGTGAGTCTCTCTTCCAGCATTTTGCTAGCAATTTGGGGAATCTCTTGTTCGTTGTCCGTTGTTCGCTGCCCGGAGCTGCAGCCATGCGATGAGTAACATTTCCCATTTCCCAATTCCATTCGCTTATTCAGCTCCTCCTCCAGCGCGTGCTCCCCATTCCATCGATAGCTGATTGCCGCGATCGTAATATGTATATGGCTCATTATGGGCTGTTATTGCTTTGCTTTTTGCTTTCTGCTCACTGCTTTCCGCTTTGCTTTGTTGTAGTAGCAATTGGTCAAGCACGTTCGGTACAGTGCGTTACACAACAACTGTTTGCCTAAATACCTTCATGGTGGGTATTTCTGATTTGTTGAATGCCAGAACCCAGAGAGAGACTCAATCTATTCGATTCTGTTACTGCCGAAAAGTCTCTGCCTTTGCAATTAATTGTTTTCTAGTCTTGCCTGCTGCCTGCCTGCCCAATGGTTTCTGCTGATCGGGAGATGAGATAAGCACGGCAAAAAACCGTTATGTTGTCGCTCACCTCTCTCACTTTTGCACACCGCAGCAACTGCAATAGCAACTGCTCGCTTGCAAACGCATATTTGAGAGGGAGAGAAGAGAGCAATTTGTGATTTTCATATACAGTTTTGAAACTTACTGTTTTGTTTTGTTTAGTTGAAATTCATAATTGAGAGAGACGTGCACTTTTGCTTTTGCTTTTGCTTGCATAACAATTTACCTACACATGTGCCACCTACCCCCATGCCAGTGCATATTATGAGTATGCCTATGCTTTTGTTGTTTTGTGTTTCATCTTGCTCAATGCTACTTGTTGCTGCTGTTGTTGTTTTTGTTGCGGCTGAAAAGTGTTACCAATTAATTTGCATATCGCGAGCAAAGCAACAGGCAGCGCAGCAGCAGCACTGTAACAGAGAGAGAGAGAGAGAGAGAAGCAAAACTTTGGGGGCCATTCGCTTGCTCGCTCACATTGTGTTTGTGTTTGTGTGTGTGTGTGTGTGTGCGCGTGAATCCCAATCCCCAGAAATTGGGTCACACAAACACACTCACGAGGAGATTATGAGTGGTATTATGATTTTGATTATGATTTTTGGTTAAATGCACTTTCAAAAATCGAATAAAAAGCACATACGACACGTGTGCACGCGGCCCTACGATTTTGACATTTGATTTGCGATGACCAGGAGTGCGGGGCAGGAGTGGAGGGGTGGTGCTGGTTCTTATGCAGGTGCTGGCCATATATTTATACTGTTTGCATATCAATTATGTGCCCTCGAAGCCGACAATTGCCTTGAGAGATGGCTGACTGGTTGTCTGTGGTAATTGGCAACAGCAGCAACAGCAGAGGCGGCAGCAGCGGCAGCGGATACCAACACGTGCGCCGCATCAAAATGCCAAATCAATTTCCATCGATATGTCTATAAAGTATCTGTACATACTAAAAACTTATGGTACAACCCGTCGAACGGCATTTTTTTCATGTTCAATGCGAGGAGAAACTTCCCTTGGCTTGCCTTGCCACTTTGCAGCTTTGTTGGCTTATCGCACGGCTGGCAAGCAGCCGAAGAGCCACAGTTTTAGACTCTTCCACATTCGGAAAGGGGATATCTAAATAGTCGCCAATGCAGCCTGTCAGTGAGCTGATGATCTGGCATTAGTTTTGACAATAATTATTCACATTTTCCCACGAAATGTTACCGGAAAGGGTAGCTAAAGCTTCGGCCTTTGAAGATTGTCTTTCATTTTCGATTTCGTTGGCAGTTTCATTTTGTTTTCTTTGGCTTGGCCGTTAATTATATACGAGTGCGAGTAGTTCCTCGTACGCGCACACACTTGTTGCATTGCGTATACGCAACGCTGGCCGCCGGTTGGGCCTGTCTTGTGGTCGATGGTCGCTGGTCGCTGGTCGCTGGCCGATCGGTGGCACGTTTAACCCATTTCGGGGCATGACAACTTTTGCCTTCGCCTGCGGCTTGCCAAACGCGAATTGAATTGGCCAAGCAGGTTGCGGCCTGCCTGCTGCATCGATGCTTCAGCTTCAGCCTCAGCTCACTGCCTGTCTTGCTGTTGATGATGTATGCGCCGAGAAAAGGCAAAGTGGAATGCAACATGCTGTAGCAAGTGGGGAAACTTTCACTTGTGCATTACGGCACACACAGAAGCCGCCTGGAACCAGAGTCCGGGCCACCATCCCATCCTCGGTGGTTACGGCATGCCCAAAATGGAAACAACTATATCTGTATTTGTATTTGTATCTGTTTCTGTTTCTGTTTCTGTGGCTGTATCTTCATCAGTTGCTGTTGTTGCTGACAGTGACAGCTAAATGTAGCTGCATCGCTCATTACAGTTGTTGTTGAGATGCATCTGCTCTTTCTATCGATGTTGACCTCTGTGCCGCCTCTTGCATCTTGTTTGCATTACCATAACCATGCCCCTCCTTCCCTCCGATCTCCCATTAAACGATCTCAATTTGTTTCGTGTTTGACACTCTTTTCAACTGCTTTTGTGTCGTTGCTTTGTTTTTACTTTGGCTGCCTGCCTCTGCCTCTGCCTCTGCCTCTGCCTCGAATGGAGGTCAAGTTGTGGTCGCCTCTTGTGTCACACTCGACGGATTGGCGGTTGGGCAAGCGACGGTTGACAAACCATTGCTGTTGATAATTAGAAGAGCCATCAGCAGCAGTCCAACGTGCGCCCCATAGGGAATCCAATAAAAAGAGTCTTAACAGCCATTCATCAATATCTGAGTCATGGCAGTCGCGCAGTCTCAGACCTAGACCGAAAGCTTATTTATAGGCAAATCCTGTAGACTGCGATTGTCATGCATTCAGAATATCAATGAGTGTGACATTTAAGAGGCAGATACAAACGCGGACGCGGACCCAAGCCGACGTATACGTAATAATATCGTAATGGAGAACCCATAAATATCTGCTGCACCAGCACCACTAACTCCAGCTTCACATGCACCACAAATATCTGGATCTATTGACTGGGAGACGTGGTATCGGCCGGGCCAGACATGCCATAAATTCGAGCACTCGCATAAACTGCAAAGTGCCTGCCACTGGACAAGCAGTGGGACAAGCAGTGGGACACGGGGGCAGGCGTCACGAGCAATTAACTAAAGCGAAACTCCTTGACCACAGAAGTGGAGGTAACAGCAACAAGCAATGCAAATATCGAGACGCTAACCGCTTGGCGTCGAACGGTGGCAAGTGGCAGACGGCAGACGGAAAGCGGCATGCGGCATGTGGCAGGCAGCTATCTGGGCTCTGTGGCGGAGTTGCCAAAGCCAAATGAATTTTATGGCATGTTATGGCATGCCTTCTTCTGCTTCCTCCGCCTCTCCTTTTGGCTTCTGCTATGCCGCAAAAATGTATTGCTCTCCACGGCGCATGCTTAACGCTTCGTTAGCCGAGCCGCTTGCCTGAAGTTTATTTGTCAACCTTTTGGCAGTGCACACTGTAAACTGTAAACTGTACACTGTACCTCCTTCTCCTTCTCCACCTCCTCCACTCGGCTGCTCATTGCGGAAGTCTTTGTTGCGGCTACGTGAGAGGCGTACACCATATTTGGCTGCTGCTGCTGCTGCTGCTGTTGCACTGTTCTGGTGTGTGGCACATGCAATTAGAATGCATGCAAGCGAAAATTCTTCTGTTTACAAGCGAATTGCCTCAAGGTTCGCCGCTGTGCAGTGTGGGGAGAATGGGGGGTATGTTTGGTTTGGTATCATGATGTAATGCAACGCCACCCATAACCAAAAGCAAAGCAGGAGAAAACAAGAACCTTGCGTGCGAGCAAAGACAAACAAATTATGGGTTCTCTCATCAGATCTAGTAACTGTTAGATGCACCATCTCCATCTCTCTCTCTCTCCTGTCTCCCAGCTGTGGCATTCCAACGTGCGAGCCAAATTAGTTGAGTTTTCAATCAATTATAAACCGATTTCACGCGAATCTCCGCCAGAGAAGACGCCCCTGTATATGTACCTGTATCCATTTGGCAGACGGGAAAGACTTTCGAAATGGCCAGACGATGTCGGCGAGTTCAAGCTCAAACAGCACACAGATTCACAGATACTCTCTACACACACACACAGGCAGACAGACGGACAGAGAGTCAGACAGACAGCCTCAAAGCCACGGCGCGGCCCAAAGGTGAACAACTTTCGCGACCTGCTCATGGGAAATATGACAAGCATGGAGGCGAGAAATACGAGAAAAAAAAAACAACCGTATAAAATATTGACCAGGCGAACGGATCGGATCGGATCGGATCGGCATGGCCACATGAGAAACAGCCAAAAAAAAATACAGAAAACCGAAAACCGAGAAACACCTGCTAATTTGGGTGCATTGGGATGGGATGCGGTGGGGTGTGGTGTCGTGTCGTGTGGGGATTCAGAGATTGGGGCAGAGCAACTCGACGGGTTCCGCCCATATTTTGGCATAATTTGTTCGATCCACCTCGATCCGATCCGATCCGTTGTCTCGATTTATTAATGGGAACAACATTTGATGTATGTATCCCTTGATAGTCGCACATATTTGTGCCTTGCCTGTGCTTAACCCATTTTCGATCTGGTTTGACCACTTTTTACGTATCAAAACAAAAGAAAACTGAAATCTAGTTTAATTCGAATCTGGGGTAGGCCATGGGAAGCGAAGCTGTGTGGTCCAGTCGGAGCAGGGGGCAGGCGGGGCAGATGCAGATTGCAGGTGCATTCGAATGTTAAGAATGCAATGATCCGATTTCCCATTTGCATTTGCATTTCCCCCAGAGTTTCCACATGAATGGAGGGAGACCTGTAGATCTGTAAATCTGTTCGTTTCTATTCTCTGCCGATTCGCGCAGTTGCGCAACTGAAATCAAGAGTTTTGCTGCCAAAGAACATCCACTGACCCACAAAAGATACATACATCACCGCACAGCTGCGGTCCATCCACAGGCAGCTGGGGAGTCGACTGCAGAGTACCCAGCATGCCAGGCAGCTGTCAAGGCACTGCTTACGGTATGTACCCCTAGTCGAGGGTAGCCAAGTGACTGCACGTCATGTCCATCGGCTGGGGCTGTCATCGTCTGACCATATTGGGCCGCCAAACTGGCAGCTGCACGACCATCGAGCGCCAGCCAATTGAATGATTCAAGTGGTCACTCGGACTCGCCGTGTTGGTGTGTTGCCAAGCATTTAGGATGACTCTGGCTACAGCTCTATGTCTTTGACTAACTGGCTGTGCCACGGCTGCAGCCGTGCCAGCAGTAATCATAATTTTCAGCTTCCATATTTGTCGACAATTGCCATTGCCGCATGTCGGGAGAGTGACACTTCTCCTCCTTTCGCTTTCGCTTTCGCTTTCACAGAGATCTAGGAGGCATCCACTGGCAGTGTGGCTGTACAGGGTCTGCCTGGGCCCGAGCATCGCTATAAACGTTTAATGGCTTCAATTAGCGACTCGTTCGTCGTGTATTGGCTGCCAACGATGTGCGAGGCTGCATCTTCCAGTTGTGGCCTTTTTACAGCTGGTCAGCATCAATGGCGGAGATTACCGCATGGCTCTCTCTTATGCAACATATGAAATATGTCTGGAACTATACGCGTTCGAGTCTTGGGCAGGGCCACAGCTGCAGAGCTGATGCACAGGTGCATGGCGCCCTGAATGACTGAATAGACCCCACTCGATGCCAGTCAATGCAGAACCAGTTGTGCAGCAGAGCAAACCTTTAATTATGCGACGATTCCATGTGTCATGCCCATATGGGAGTTTCTGGGGACATCGTTGGGTAATCATTGTAATCACTATAATCATGCTCTGATTTCCCTTCTGCAGGCTCCATCCGCACCTCGCTGCTGTCCGGCTCTATGTTCAATGTCACCTGGCACCTGGCCTATCCACACAAGGTAAGTTTACTGGGCCGCTGCGTTCTGTTGCAATGGGAGCAGAACACACGCCTTATCGGGGCCTTAATTAGCCGAGAAGCACGACTCGAAGCACAGTGATTGCCTCACATGCACACCACGCGCAGAGTCAGAGTCAAGTTCCCATCTTTGGGAAATGCAGCACGAGATCGGGCCGCTAGTTCTCAGTCATTGTTTGGCCTGTTCGTGGCTAAATTTGATCATCTGAGAGAGGTCTAATCAGTAGAGCAATCTTTTACAGGGCGGCTTTCGGCTGCAACTGCTCGATGCCCTCGATCGGCCCGTTCTGGACTTGACGCCGCACGTCAACAACTCGGAATTTGTGCGCACGGACGTCACGTGAGTTGATTATCAATGCCCAGCACTTGCTCCTGCCTGACAGAGATTCCTTCTTCATTTAAGCAGCGCCCAAGCGTATCCAGTGAACTTGCCTAAGGACTTTGAGTGCTTCAACTGCACCCTGCGCCTGCTGCGGCAGGCCGACGAGTGGTCCAGCAGCTATCGGTTCTGGTCGTGCGCCGATGTCGACATCAAGCCCCGGAAAGACTTCAAGGAAGCGTGCTCCGGGCACGGCAAGTACTACCCCTCGCGCTGCAGGTGCGACAAGAACTACTACGGAGCCCAGTGCCAGTACCGGGATGAGTGTGCCGCCGACTCCGACTGCGGTGCGCAGGGAAAGTGCATCGACCTCGGCGGCACCTCGCTGCCCCGCCGCCAGTGCTACTGCAACTTCGGCTGGTTCGGGTTGGGGTGCAACCAGCGGTCGCCCTACAAGACCACCGACCTAGACCTCTCCTCCTACACCAAGAAGGAGCTCTCGGCCGACTACCACATCTACTGGCGCCTTCTGGAGGAGCTCTTCCTCTAGCTCCATCATGAGTTCCACTTGCCGTGGAGGACCCGCCCTAAGCCGACCGCGGGCGCGCCAGAATGAGGCCTCACGTTTTTGAAGGGAGACTATGCCCTATAGCCACTGAACTGATGCTGAGAACTCGGCTTCTCGCTTGGCCTTGGGTTCTCGCTTGGCCTCGGGTTCTCGCTTGGCCTCGGGTTCTCTGAACCGGAGCCCAAGAGCGAGCCGGAACCCAAGAGCGAGCCTGAGCCTAAGAGCGAGCCTGAGCCAAAGAGCGAGCCTGAGCCGAAGAGCGAGCCGGAACCCAAGAGCGAGCCTGAGCCTAAGAGCGAGCCTGAGCCGAAGAGCGAGCCTGAGCCAAAGAGCGAGCCTGAGCCGAAGAGCGAGCCCGAGCCTAAGAGCGAGCCGGAGCCGAAGAGCGAGCCTGAACCAAAGAGTGAACCGGAGCCCAAGAGCGAACCAGAACNCAGTGAACTTGCCTAAGGACTTTGAGTGCTTCAACTGCACCCTGCGCCTGCTGCGGCAGGCCGACGAGTGGTCCAGCAGCTATCGGTTCTGGTCGTGCGCCGATGTCGACATCAAGCCCCGGAAAGACTTCAAGGAAGCGTGCTCCGGGCACGGCAAGTACTACCCCTCGCGCTGCAGGTGCGACAAGAACTACTACGGAGCCCAGTGCCAGTACCGGGATGAGTGTGCCGCCGACTCCGACTGCGGTGCGCAGGGAAAGTGCATCGACCTCGGCGGCACCTCGCTGCCCCGCCGCCAGTGCTACTGCAACTTCGGCTGGTTCGGGTTGGGGTGCAACCAGCGGTCGCCCTACAAGACCACCGACCTAGACCTCTCCTCCTACACCAAGAAGGAGCTCTCGGCCGACTACCACATCTACTGGCGCCTTCTGGAGGAGCAGAAGGAGATCGAGGTAGTACTCAAGGTGAACGGCACCTCCTGGGCGGGATTCGGCTGGCGCCCGCGCGGTCTTACTCCGGAGTGCAAAAACTTCCCTCTGATACGGGATATCGGTGACTTGACTACGACTCTTGAGCCGAAGAGCGAACCGGAACCCAAGAGCGAACCGGAGCCCAAGAGCGAACCGGAGCCCAAGAGTGAACCGGAGCCCAAGAGCGAGCCGGAACCCAAGAGCGAGCCTGAGCCTAAGAGCGAGCCTGAGCCGAAGAGCGAGCCTGAGCCAAAGAGCGAGCCTGAGCCGAAGAGCGAGCCCGAGCCTAAGAGCGAGCCGGAGCCGAAGAGCGAGCCTGAACCAAAGAGTGAACCGGAGCCCAAGAGCGAACCAGAACCTAAGAGCGAGCCTGAGCCGAAGAGCGAGCCTGAGCCCAAGAGCGAGCCTGAGCCAAAGAGCGAGCCGGAACCGAAGAGCGAGCCTGAGCCTAAAAGCGAGCCTGAGCCTAAGAGCGAGCCTGAGCCGAAGAGCGAGCCTGAGCCGAAGAGCGAGCCGGAGCCCAAGAGCGAACCAGAACCTAAAAGCGAGCCGGAGCCCAAGAGCGAACCAGAGCCAAAGAGCGAGCCGGAGCCCAAGAGCGAACCAGAACCCACAAGCGAACCAGAACCCACAAGCGAACCAGAGCCTGCGAGCACACCAGAACCGGAAACGAAAAGTGTGCCTGAGCCCGTGGCCCAGAGTTCAAAGAGCAAAAGAGTCGCCGGAGACTATGCACAGATGGACGGAGTCAGTGCCGTCGCAACAAGCGTCTCCTACCGCGTCAGCAGCAACGCGAAGCGCAGCCGCCGCGAGGCGACAGGTAAGCATGGCCACAAATACAAACACAGTCCGTAAGATCACTCCAGAGTTATTATTTATCCCACTTTTAGAATCGCCCAAGTACCGTCTGAACGCGTACACGCCGATCCACGACTTCAATCCAATGGACTGCACGGACATTGTTATTGGAGCGGCCCGTGGAATGGCCAGTCGGGTGGGAGACTACTACACGCGGGACCGATCGACGCCGCGCAGCGATGAGTTCTACGGCGGAAAGTCGAACCTGGCCCTGGGCACTGGCTTCGAAGAGAACGGCGTGACCACGATCATATTCCGGAAGAAGCTGGTGGCCACGGAGCCCACAGACCACACCCTGGACGATGCACTGACGCATGTGATCTGGGCCAAGGGCCAGGAGCCGGGCAGCTATGTGCACGTGCCAGCCTCTGGGCTGGAGACGCAAGCCTCCACCGTGAAGGACTTCTATCAGCCGGACGAGCTGAAGTACCACGGCCACAAGATGCAGCGCGGATTCACTCAGATCAATTTCTTTGGTGAGCATTCCCTGAACCGAACCCACCCTTCGGAAGCCGTCTTATGCCTCGTTCCCTTGCAGAGAAAGAGAAGGCCGCCGCCAGTGCGGACCGGAATGATCTGACCACGAATGTGCTGGACAATGATTGCTACGGCCACTGGAAGTATCCGTCCAACTGCTCGCCCCAGGAGCACACCTGCGAGTACTACGCCGCCTGGGAGACGGTCGGGCGCGGCGACGAGATGCGCTGGCACATTGAGACGTCCAACACGGAGACCTGGACGGGCATCGGCTTCAGCGAGGATCAACGCATGTCGCAGACCGACGCCATCATCGGCTGGGTGGACAAGCGCAACGGCCGACCCTTCCTCATGGACACGTGGGTGCTGGGCTATGCTCCGCCCAAGCTGGACGATCGCCAGGACATCTACAATGCCTCGGGGCGCATTGACAAGGGCGTCACGATCCTGGAGTTCAACCGCAAACGTGTGAGCAATGATGAGCAGGATCTGTCCTTCACCGACGACCACTGCCTCTATCTGTTCTTCCCCGTTCTGGGCGGCGCCTTCAACGTGGTCAACAAGAAGATCCGCAAGCACGAGCAGGTGCCGCCAGTCTCCTCGCGCCGCGTCTGCATCAAATCCTGTGGCAAAGGTGAGTGACACCCCCCGAATCCCCTCAAGGTATCCCCTTTCCAATTTCGTTGTCGCCTTGCAGAACTGGAGGCTGTGTTTGTTGGCACCAGTACGCCGGCGCCCAGCCGCCTGGTCTACGCTGTGGGCGTGAAGCTGATGAACCTGGGCGAGTCCTACGAAGCACCCAAGGCGGGCACGGTGGAATTCAACAACCTGGCTGCCACCATCTCGGACTCTTTCAACGGCATCCTCAGTCCCCTGCCCGGATACTACAAGACGGAGATTCTGGGCTTTGAAAAGTGCGTACACCACACCATTCTCGTTTCTCCATTCTTCTCTTTCTGAATGTCCAAACCTTTTTATCAGGGAGGGCAGCACGATGGTCGCCAAGGTGCAGGCTATGTTCGATAAGGCGGATGTGGAGAAGCTGCACGAACTGGACAACAATACGGTGGAGAAGATCGGCGAAGGAGCCGCCCTGAAGAACGCCGATGCGATTCGCGCGGCGCTGCAGGATCAGATAGCCACCGGCCGTGTGGGCTCTCTGACTGTAGATCCACAGTACCTTGACTTTGAGGCCTTGGAATGTAAGTCGCAACTGAACTTAGCTAAAACATTTAGTGACACTCTTCCCATAGACAAGAGCACCACCGAACCGAACGCCAAGGAGACACTGCTATCATTCTTCGACCTGTCCGAGACGCGTTTGTACATTGTACTCGGTCTGATTGCGGCCCTGGTGCTCATCGCTCTGATCCAGGCCTTCTGCACCATTTGGAAGACGTCACGCAAGAGCAAGAATACAAAGGTAAGCTGGAAAAATCAGGACACACCGGTACCCCCATCGAGTTGGCATTGGTCGTAGAGTGCAGTCGAATGCTTACAGCTCTAATAATCTCTTATCCATTGTACCGTGTCGTTTAAAGCTGGTTTACGTTATACCCGAGGAGTGGCGCATGTACCAGCAGCGACAGCACCAGCGCTACTACCAGCCCTCTAGCGATCTATAAGACTCAATGCCGTCAAGCAAACAAACACACAAAAACATTCCAATCAGAAATACATATCACTGTCACAGCCACTGCCCGATCATCCGATCATCAAGATCATTCTCCGAGAACCCTGACATCAGCTACACAGCTCTACAGCTGCCTTAAGTGCATTTAAGGATCACAGAATCCCAGCCTATAACTATAGTTAGTCCACGCGGAAACCTCTCTCGATCGTGTGTACCCATTCGCCAGCTGTTTGCGTTTATCCAAATCTTACGACTATCTAGAACTGAATTGGTAATTGACTTTGCATTTTCCTATTTCTGTTCTTGTTGCATTAACACGTCACCCGCTAACCCAACCCTTCTTCTCTGTGTCCCACCCACATCTGTCTTTTCTTTAACCTACAAATATTTCTGTGTTTCCAGGGCTTTGAAGTATTGTCTAATTTTCCACCCACTCATACGCTAATCGTTTAATATCTGTGCGTGCGCGGGTTCTCTTGACCAGTCGGCATTTGATATATGCTGCATACTCTCTCCAAAACATTGACTAGAACCTTGTGTAGAACTCTTGCTGTCTTCTTCGACTACAATTAACACAATTCTTCCTTTTCTTACACGAATGAGTTTCCCGGGTTAAACGTAAACGTAAACGCAGGCGTCACAAGGCACACATGTCCAGAGCAGATGAATAGAGTTCGTTCAATTGGGGAAACATTGCCTACCATACCAAATGCTGACTGGTTGGGCGCCGAGAGTTCAAAACGAGCCATAATCATGCTGATACCTATTTGTGCTTGCAGGAGAAACTCATCCAGAACTCACCCTGGAAGGAGTTCGCCTCGAACACCAACTACGCCTTCGACCCCTACGGCGAGACGGAGGAGAAGCACATGACCAGCACCAGCACAGCGGCCAAGGAGAAGTCTCGCCACCGCAACCAGTCCACCAGCAGCAGCCAGCAGACCACGTTGCCCATGTCCCACTCGCCCACCAGCAAGTCCCAGATGTACTACGAGAGCACCAATGGCCAGGGTAAGGGCAGCAATGGAAATAGCAATGGGAACGGCCACCCCAGCCGCGCCTCCAATGGTCGCCAAGAGAGCAGTGTGGGAGGCGCACCTGCGGCCTACTCGCGCAGCTCCTACGCGGAGCGGGCCTATTCCCTGCCTCGACAGACTCACAACTACCAACAGAACGCGACCAGTATGCAGCCGTCGGGCTACTACACCCACGATCGTCGCACCGCCCGCCAGGGCAGCCGGGACAGGGAGAGGGAAGAAGAGCGCCGTCACCGTCAGGAGCGGGAGCGGGACCGAGACTCGGGCTATGATCGGTCTCGCGACGATCCCCGCCAGAATGGTGGCTCGGACACACCCGACTTTTACTTCATGCCCTCCCAGCGCAAGTACTCCGGTGAAGTGGTTCGCGTCTATGTGGATTACAACAAGGATCCGAAGCATTAATAGTGGTTCCACATGTGGTGCCCCACTCGTAGCGATTTATTTAAAGCTCGTTTTAAGTTCTTAACATCTTAACATATCTTTGCCTGTGCCCCATGTCCTCTTTACCCACTCTCTCCTTTTCCTTCTCGTGCTCTATTTCGTTTCGATTTTGCCATAAAGCAGTTCCACTGCAAGCGCTTGGGGAGGGCGGCGAAGAACAGATGGCGTTCCGCTCCCCAGGATGGCGTTTCCGGGTGCGCAAGCTTTACAATTAACGCACAACGCATGATCCACAAGTATAGTGAATTGTAAATATATTGCATAGATATTAATGGTCTAAACAAACACCACACAACACAACACAACACACCACACAAATTATTCAAGCAAATCAAGCATTGTAATTAGGTACTCGTACGTGCACGTTCATTCCGAATGTTTTCGCATTGTCTTCTCTTAAATGTGCAAAGAAAAAATAGTCACTGTATTTAATGAAATTAAATATATGCATTAAGTACATTTAAATAAAAATAAGTACAAGAAATATCCTGATATTTCCACTCAATTATTGGGAACTTACCAAAGGGCGAGTAAAATGTTTTCTTGTTTTCTTACTTTCCAATTTTCTTTTTTGTATTTTCGTTTTACTTATGTTTTTATACAATTTTTACATATCTACAACATAAAAGGTACTGCCTAACGCAGTGGAACAAATCGGAATTCTCTTAATCGTAACACGATCTTCTGCTTTGGGGATGATCCGATGCTTCGAGTGGCTTTCTTTTAGCCAAGGTACGCAATATCGAATCTTAAACAGTAACGCTGTCGCCATCGCCAAGGAATCGAACGAGTTGAAGGCGAAATTATGGTTGTGATTCGTAGTTAAATATCTAGTTTTAGTATTCCATGCAATTGATTCGTTTTGGGGAAGAATTGCAGCCGAACGCCCGTGCCCCAGCAATCAGTTGGAGGCATGCTGGCTGTCGTCCTCACTCTTGTTGCCCAGTATCCAGTCCATAAGACCCATCGTAGGGGAACGCGGCGTGGGCTGGGCTGTAAATGAACAAAGTAAATGCTGAACAAAGGAGGGCAGATGCTGCTACTCACAATGATCCACGCCAGGAGGAGGTGGACTGGCTGCTGCTATTGCTGTTGGAGTGCCAAATGGAGTTACAGTGGTTACTGCCGCCGATCCTGATGCCTGCTTGGCCATGTCCCTTTGCAGCTGAACCATTTGTTGCAGACGTTGCTCACGCTCGTCCACGATGGCCTTGTCCTTAGAGTGTCTCACCGTTTGCAACTCGGCCAATCTATTCGAGAAATAAATATAGTCACGGCATACATTACGGAGACGGAGACGGAGACATACTTTTGCTTCAAGTCACTGCCCCTCGTGTTGGTGACTACTGCCAGATCGGTGCTGCTGGCGTTGCTCGTCTTTCTGGGCGTACTGGCACTGCTCACGGCGCTGGCAGCCACTGCAGCTGCAAAGATATAACGTTGAAAATAATGAGGAATTAGAATCATCTCCTAGGTATATGTGAAACTTACGATCGTCGCTGGAACGAACGCGCTCGGTCTCCAGCTGCCTCAGAGTGTCCGACAGTTTAAGCTGCAGGTGATCGCGTTCCTGCAGCAACTGGCCCAGCTCGAGTATCATCTCCTCGACACGCATGTCTCGTTGATGGAGCATCATCAGTGCATAGTCGAGGTCCGCCTTCAGCACGTACTCTGACTGCGTTTCGACTCCAGTAGCACCGCCGGCACCCTGATGCTGCAGCCGGAACGGATCGTACTGGGCAGCGAGACGAGCATACTCTGCAGAGCGAATGGCAAGCTGCTCCTTGAGTGTGACAATCTCCATCTCTTGCGTCTCCAGTGCCTTTTGCATCTTCATCAACGAGTCGTTGTCCTCTGACTGTGGAGCTGCCGCCTCTGTAGGATATTGCTGCTGCTGATGCTGCTGCTGTACCTGTTCCAGCTGAGCCTTGAACGCAGCTTCCCTTTGCGACAGATGGTCCTGCCATATGTTGGCCACCTCTCCACACTTTTGCTCCACCAACGACTCCCACTGCTGGTTGAGGGCATCCAGATCAGGTATCGAACTCTGACTCTGTTGGAGCATTTCCAGGGACTTGCGAAGCTCGGCTATTTCAATGTTCTTGGTGTCCAGCTCGAAAACGGTATGCTTCATCTTGTCCTCCAGCTCCAGGCTCGACAAAACATGATTGTTCAGCACACGCAGCTCCTCCTCCATGTCGGACTTGTCCAACTGCATTTGCTGGCACTGCACCCGCAGCTGTTGCAGCTCCTGATCTGTCTCTGTGGCTGCCACCGGTGCCGGAAGTGAGACCTCCTCCCTCTCCTCTTGCAGTTGCTTGATCTGCAAGCGCAGCAGCTGCAACTCCTGGTTCTTGGTTAGTATCTCAAAGACCAACTTCTCGGTCTGATCTTCGCGCATCAGCTCTTCGATTCGCTGCTTCAGGTGCACAATCTCCGACTCCTTCTCCTGCAGCTGGGCCATCTGCTCGTCACTGAGCGAGGCTGAGGTGGCCACTGATTGCTCCGATTGCCGCTGCGTCTGTCGCAACTCCTCAATCTCTGCCTGCCGTTGGCTAAGGCACTGCTCCATAGCCACTTTTTGTGCCCGAAGCTCTTCCAGTTCCGACTGCCGACTCCTCAGCTGCTCCACTTCCAGTTTGAGACTCTGCAGCTCATTGGCTTCGACTTGGCTGCCTCTAAGCTCGTCCAGCTCCGCTTGCAACTGCTGCAGATATTCTCTGAGCTCTTCCCGTTGTGCCTGCGCCTGGGCAGCCGTCTCCTCCGCTAGCTGAGCCTGTCGCCTCTCCTCCCGCAGCTGTGACTGCAGTTCCTGGCACTCGGCATTCAAGTCAACATTTTCCGCCTGTAGATTTTCAATTTGAATGAGGGACTCTGCATCGCTGCTGCTGGGAGCAACAGCCAAAGGTGGGGCTGTGGCAGCTGGTACATCCCATTGATCCATCTGGTTGAGCTTCTCCTGGAGTTCGCGGATACGCGCCTGGTACATCTGCACGTCCCTGTCTTGGCGCTCCTTCAGCTCTGCCATGCGATCATTGCCGGCGGTGAGAACATCGATGCGTTTGCACAGTTTCTCCTTCTCGAGGGCGTGCTGCTGCACCAGCTCCTCGCTCTTTGCCTGACGTGCCTCCTGCAGTTGCAGCTGATGCTTCAGCTCCTCGATGATGGCCCCGTCCAGATCGTTGTCGGAGGTCGTCACTGGGGCCAGAGCCTTGCTCTTGTACTCCTTGAGTCGCTTCAGCAGCTTTGCGGTTTTCATCTGCAGCTCGGCCTTTTGCTGCTCGGCAGTGGCCAACTGCCTCTCTAGCTGCCCAATCCTCGCGTGCATCGCCTCAACATCGGGCTGTGTGCGAATATCATTCGAATCTTGGGTAGCTTGCGCGGCGGCACTTGCCCAGGGATCCTCATCGACACCCCAGTCGACTGCCAGCTGCTGCTCCTGTTCCTGCTCCTGCTGCGGATGGCAGACGTACGCCTTCTTTGGTGTTATGATTTCTTCCACCACGGGCTCCGCCTGCGTCTGGCCCCAGTCCAGTTGCTGTTGGGTTACCACCACCGGCACAGATTCCTCCGGGCCACCCACGCCAAAGAACATGTCCAGCGAGGGTGCGCCCGTCGGTTGGATGAGCTTCTCGAGTGCTGCCAGTCGCTCGCGCTCCTCTTCGGCAGCCCTAATCTCGGCCAGCTGCTGCTCCCGTTCGTGCAGCAATCTCTCAAGCTCGGCTAGACGGCGCTCCTGGTCGGAAACCGACTGATTGCGGGCCACGAGCTTTGTTTCCAGATCCTGGGCGTGCTTCTCCAAATCCGAGACATTTCGCTGCAAATCCTCGATGGTGGGGGGCGGCGGCAGCGCGGATTGGGAGGGTGGTGCAGCCGACAACTGATGGCTGGACACCCTCAGAGGCTGGATAATCTCGTCGAAGGGTGATGGTGCTGTGGCGGCATCACTGGCAAAGAAAAAGGATGCAGCAGGAGCGGGAGCGGGAGCGGGAACAGATGCCTCTGCTGATGATTGCCTGGCGGCTGCTAGCTGTGCGGCCTGCTCCTCAAGTCGCGCCTGCAGTTCAATTAGTTGCTCCGTCAGCCGTTTGTTCTCCGTCTCGATGTAGACCTGGTCGTCGGTCTGGTTCTGGCCAAGGGTGTCCCATTCGGCAATCTGCTGCTGCAGCAGTTGCAGCTCCTGGGTGTGGTTGGCGCAGAGAGAGTCGATTTGCGAGCGCAGGTTGTCCATCTCCGTCTTGTCCTGAATCACCTGCATGCGCAGCTCCTGCAGCTCCAAGACGTCTTGCTCTGCGCTATCCTGCTGCAAACGGAGCAGCGTCACCTCACGGCTCAGGGCGGAACGTTCTCGCTCCACCTCTTGCAGCTCCTCGGTAATGCGACTGAGGTCCTCGCCCCGTTGTTTGATCTGCTCGTGGGCCCGCTCCAGCTGCTGGGTGAGTACGCGGCTCTCGGCAGTCGAGCGCTCCATGTGGGCATTGAGGTCGCACTCAATCTCGTCCAGCTCCGTGGCCTTGGCGGCTAGCTTGGCATCATACACCTGCCGCTGTCGCTGCAGCTCCGACTCCCTGAGGGCCAGCTGCTCGCGCAGATCAGCCAACTCCTGCTCGCTGTGGCTGCTCAACGTTTCGCGCTCCGCCTGTGCCTGAGCCATAAGTTGGCCGTGCTTGATCCTCAACGCCTCGTAGTCCGCCCGAACTTGAACCAGTTGCTCGCGGGCATCCTCGGACTCGCTGGAAATCAGCTCTATTTGGCGGTTGTGCGCCTGCTCCCGTTCGCCCAACTCTCGCACGCGCTCTCGGAGCTCTGACTCGTGCTCCTTTTGCTGGGAGGAGTTCTGGTGCAGCTGCTGCTCGAAGAGACTGGCCCGATCCTGGGCTGCGGCCAGTTGGTTGGCCAGACTGGTCATCTGCTCCTCCAGCGCGACGCTCTTGGCGAGCAGCTCCGTGTTCTGCGACTCGAGGGACTCGATGTAGGACGCATCCTGCTGCAGCTTGGCCTGAATGCCTCCGTGGATGGTCTCTAGGCGGCCAATGGTCACCTGGAAGTCGGCCTTGTCTCTGGCATACTGCTGCGCCAGCAGTGAGTGCTGCTCCTGTGCCGCCTGAAGCTGGGCCCGCAGCAGTGCCTCCTCCGCGCGCGGCTCCTCTGCTGCCACGGCTGCCGTCTTGTCCTGCTCGGCATGGAGGCGCAACTGTTGCAGCTCCCGCTGCAGTGCCTGAATGGTGGCATTGCGGTGCTTGATCACCTCCTTGGACTTGTCGAACTTGATGGACTTTTGCTCCAGCTGGCGATACAAGTCCGCCAGGCTGTGCTCCTGCTCCGTCTGCTGCTGCTCCCAATGTGCCTGCTCGCGTCGCAGCTCTGTGTTGGCACGGACCGTGTTCTGCAGCTCCACCTGCAGGCGCTGCTGCTCCTCGTCGCGCTGTTGCAGGAGATGTTCCTGCTCTTGGAGCTGCTGCCTGAGCTGACGCTGGGCATCGCGGC